CTTCCCGCGTGGCACCAGAAAGGTCAGTTCTGATGGTCACTTAGTTCTGATGGTCACTTAGTTCTGATGGTCTCTTAGTTCTGATGGTCACTTAGTTCTGATGGTCTCTTAGTTCTGATGGTCACTTAGTTCTGATGGTCTCTTAGTTCTGATGGTCACTTAGTTCTGATGGTCACACAGTTCTGAAGGTCACACAGTTCTAAAGGTCACACAGTTCTGATGGTCACTTGGTTCTGATGGTCTCTTAGTTCTGATGGTCTCTTAGTTCTGATGGTCTCTTAGTTCTGATGGTCTTGTTCAATACCTGTAGACTAGTGACTGACTGAAACTCCTGAAAATCACCTGCGTGATTTTTCAAAAGACTTTTTAAAGTATTTATCATTTTTTTTTTAAATGATTAGTAGCTTCCTTCAAAAATTTCAGCAAGGAAAATTAAAAATTAAAACAAAAACAACTTTTCTTAAAGGGAAAAGTTATTAACATATATCAGTGTATTCGTGCTTTGTATGCATGTATGTGTGCTATGTATGTGTGTACGTGTGTTATGTATCTGTGGGTGTGGTGTGTTTGAGTACATAACTTAAACAGACGGCCATAACGTGACTGATTTAGACGGCCATAACGTGACTGGTTTAGACGGCCATAAAGTGACTGACGTAGCTGAAGCCATCTTGGTTTTATCACATAGCAGTAGATATGAAAGGTTAGTGCCAGTTACAACGGACCAATCAGCTTCCAGCTTCCAACGATGACCGACCAATCAGCTTCCAGCTTCCAACGATGACCGACCAATCAGATACCAGAACGATAAACTAGGCACAAAGTTCGCGAGTCCAAGATGATGTAATTTTCTGAGTCGTACATGGTCTTTAATAGGCCTCTACCTCACTTCTACCTCACATCTACCTCACATCTACCTCACATCTACCTCACATCGCCTGACATCTACCTCACATCTACCCCACATCTACCTCACATCAACCTCACATCTACCTCACATCTACCTCACATCTACCTCACATCTACCTCACATCTACCCCACATCTACCTCACATCTACCTCACATCTACCTCACATCTACCTCACATCTACCTCACACCTACCTCACATCTACCTCACATCTACCTCACATCTATCTCACATCTACCCCACATCTACCTCACATCTACCCCACATCTACCTCATATCTACCTCACATCTACCTCACATCTACCTCATATCTACCTCACATCTACCTCACATCTACCTCATATCTACCTCACATCTACCTCACATCTACCTCACATCTACCTCACATCTACCTCACTTCTACCTCACATCTACCTCACATCTACCTCACATCTACCTCACATCTACCTCACATCTACCTCACATCTACCTCACATCTATCTCACATCTACCTCACTTCTACCTCACTTCTACCACACATCTACCTCACATCTACCTCACTTCTACCTCACATCTACCTCACATCTACCTCACATCTACCTCACATCTACCTCACATCTACCCCACATCTACCTGACATCTACCTCACATCTATCTCACATCTACCCCACATCTACCTCACATCTACCCCACATCTACCTCACATCTACCTCACATCTACCTCACATCTACCTGACATCTACATGACATCTACCTGACATCTACATGACATCTACATGACATATACCTGACATCTTCCTGACATCTAATAACTGACATCTACTTGACATCTACCTGACATCTACCTGACATCTACCTGACATCCAACAACTGTCATCTACCTGGCATCTACCATGCCTATACCTGACATCTACCTGACATCTACCTCACATCTACCTGACATCTACCTGACATCTACCTGACATCTACCTGACATCTACCTGACATCTACCTGACATCTAACAACTGTCATCTACCTGACATCTAACAACTGACATCTAACAACTGACATCTACCTGACATCTACCTGACATCTACATGACATCTACATGACATCTACCTGGTCTCTACCTGACATCTACCTGACATCTACCTGACATCTACATGACATCTACCTGACATCTACCTGACATCTACCTGACATCTACCTGACATCTAACAACTGTCATCTACCTGACATCTAACAACTGACATCTAACAACTGACATCTACCTGACATATACATGACATCTACATGACATCTACATGACATCTACCTGGTCTCTACCTGACATCTACCTGACATCTACCTGACATCTACCTGACATCTACCTGACATGAACTTGACATCTACCTGACATCTACCTGGCCTCTACCAGAAATCTACCAGAAATCTACCTGAAATCTACCTGAAATCTACCTGAAATTTACCAGAAATCTACCTGAAATCTACCTGAAATCTACCTGAAATCTACCAGACATCTACCTGAAATCTACCTGAAATCTACCAGAACCCACCTAGAACCCACCTAGGACCGGTACCTCTCAAGTGTTCCAGGCCGACTAATCTAGAGCCCGCCTGCTTCCACTTGGCTCAAGGGCCTGGTAACACAGTAGTACTGGGTGCTCATCATCCTAGCCTTTTGCTCGATGTCTTGTGGCACAGCGTCGCGAGCTCTTCAGGCTTATAAATAGCTTCAATCAGTGATTACCACAAGAGGAAGCATAAATTAAGTTTATGGGAGGAAGGTATGTCTTGGTTGGTTTAAGAGGGACCCAGGTAAGTGGTGGACCTTAGGTAAAGTGGAGGGGGGGGGTCTTAAGTGCTAGGCCCAGTTCATCAGTGGAGTTATTAGTCATCTTTATTACGCCTTGTTCCAACTATGATGAAGTGGATGAGTGGGGGGGGGGGAGTTGGGGGGGGGGATGCTGGGGAATAGGACTGAAGGTAAATTTAGTTCACTTCCAATTTTTGTAGGGAATAAATTCACCGGGACAAATCACAGGAAATACAATCACAGAAAAAAGTCACAGGAAATGAAAGATAAATTTGTATTTGAAGGGTATTAATGTCAATAATATTAGTGTAAACATATTTAGGTGATGATACTAATTTGTATAAGTATTGTAATGTGGTAGTCTGAAATATTTACTACGTACGTTTTTAACTTTCGAATTTATACATGATGGTTTTTTAATACTAACTTAAAATTAACCGATATGAGAAGAATCCGAACTTTGTATGATCAGCTGTCCCCTAATTAGTTCATCCTTATTTCAGCCACATTTGCCTTTTTTTGCCTGAGACATGTAATTTACAGCGTCAGTTTGCCTTGCATGTTCGCTTTAGTATTACAGTTTTCATCATCGGCTTGTGAGGACTGATACAGATTTACAATAGTTATACTTCTTTCTTACGTGTAGCTACTTTCATTCATTTAAGATGGTTTTCTTCAGCCGCGCATTACCACACAAAGCGTGGGATCATGTCTCAAAACGTCAACAATAAAAAAAAAAGGTCTTCGGCTAAAAACATTTAAAACGCAATAGTATGCCTACATTTCTTTTAATCAGTTTATAATCATTTTTATAGTTTTACAATTAGTTTTATAGTTTTATAAATTATAGTTTTAAAGTTTTATAATTAGTTTTATAGTTTTATACTGAGTATTCAAATAAATATGTAACAAAATTTGTGACTTTATTTTATTACTTATTTTCCGACAAGCTATTTCCTTTTCCTGTGAATTTGTTTTCTAGTAAAAGTTATGACTTTTTTCCCTGACTTATTTTCTGTGTCTTTTTTTCACGTTCCCAATGACATAGATCGAGTGTAAAAGCAATTATTTTAAACCTAAAATAGATATTACATTTTGTAAGGGGTTTCAGTAAAGTAGGAAGGCAATCGCTTATTTCATTATTAACTCTTTCTCTGCAAAAAGAAATTAATCTTTCCCCACACCATTCCCTTCCTCTAAAAAACAAACACACTCAATCGTTTTTTTTTTAATGGATCTTAATTTTCTCATTACGGGATGTCTTGATTTCTGAGGCCCATTCGTCCCCGGCCTCGTTAGCCCAGCACTCGCCCAACGATCGTCTGAGAGATTGGGCAGACGACACTAGCTGTAATCGCGCCAAGTTCGACCCAGTTTTGACTTGTGGTTTAATATGACGCGGACTTGTGTTTGGTCACTCACGATGAATAAATTAAAAATTCGCATTTTTTTTTCATCGTCCGCTCGCGCTTTCAATTAAAACCTCAGTCGACGCTTTCTGTGGGGGGAAATTATTCAATCTAAATTCAATCATAGCTCGTTTCCAGTCAGGGGTGATAATCATCTCTTCATTGTCTGCCCAAATCTGGCGAGAAAAATAGCTAATTAGAGTTGGCATCAACGAGGCGTGACGTCACAAGGGATGAGCCGCCAGGAGGATCAGATAAATATTGGCATTGTTTTAATCGAAGACCGACAGCAGACCCTGAACTAGCTAGTCGTCTGCTGCTAACTCCTGCAAGAACACGCCAGGCACCAAAAGTCTGCTGCTAACCAACACGTCAGGCACCAAAAGTCTGCTGCTAACCCTTATAGACTTGCCCAGTCGACTTACATACCATCTTTGGAAGTTCCCAAATGTTTTCGATAAGTCCCACCCAGTAAAACGAATCTGATCCAATGTCCACAAAAACTTTTCACTGTCTTCACCTTTCGTGCTTAAGACACATGGAGCAGAGGAAGTAGAGTTCACTAGCCTCGGCATATGAGCAAATGTTTGGTCAGCACTATGACCATCCGCCTTGGTTTCCCAAACATGAGTCAGATACCCGTTAGAGCTGGGTGAGGGGTCGGCGTGGTCGAGTCGATAAAGCTCATGGTTGCTAAACCGAGAAGACTCTGACAGCTGAGGCTCCAAAATCAAACAACTGCTGCCTTTTAGTTTGTTCTTGGTTGGACAAAGGCTATAGATGCACATTTTTAAAAAAATCGGAGTCAACAGCCTAAAAGGAGCATATTACTTATACTTAATTGTGTTGGAGGGAATCTCTTCCAAAACTAAAATTAAGAACGAAGAAGAAGAAGAGTTGGGTGGACTCAAGGGCGTCCTAAATACTCGAGCCCGGGATTCGCACTCGAGACTTTTGGATTAGTTGTTGTAAGCTCTACCAATCGGTTGTGTAGTTTATCCACCTTTGGTGTGCTGGTGTTCTTGACATTAAGCGTGCTGGTGTTCTTGACGTTTGGCGTGCTGGTGTTCTTGACGTTTGGCGTGCTGGTGTTCTTGACGTTTGGTGTGCTGGTGTTCTTGACGTCTCGCGTGCTGGTGTTCTTGACGTCTCGCGTGCTGGTGTTCTTGACGTTTGGCGTGCTGGTGTTCTTGACGTTTGGCGTGCTGGTGTTCTTGACGTCTCGCGTGCTGGTGTTCTTGACGTTTGGCGTGCTGGTGTTCTTGACGTCTCGCGTGCTGGTGTTCTTGGCGTTTGGCGTGCTGGTGTTCTTGACGTTTGGCGTGCTGGTGTTCTTGACGTCTCGCGTGCTGGTGTTCTTGACGTTTGGCGTGCTGGTGTTCTTCACGTTTGGCGTGCTGTTGTTCTTGACGTTTGGCGTGCTGGTGTTCTTGACGTTTGGCGTGCTGGTGTTCTTGACATTTGGCGTGCTGGTGTTCTTGACGTTTGGCGTGCTGGTGTTCTTGAAATTTGGCGTGCTGGTGTTCTTGACGTTTGGCGTGCTGGTGTTCTTGACATTTGGCGTGCTGGTGTTCTTGACATTTGGCGTGCTGGTGTTCTTGACATTTGGCGTGCTGGTGTTCTTGACATGAGCTCCCAAACTTCACTTGGACGGGCCAAGAAACTCACTACACTCTAAATTTAGAACGTTTTGGTGTAGTCATGTGACCCGGGTCACGTGGTGCGACAAAATGAAAGTTACAAAACTTGAGTTTACATTTCCTGTGTCAATCACGATGTCTCTACTAATTAGGGTCACGTTCGGCTCATCAGTGAGCTATTTTTAGACACGAACATCTGCAAACTGACGAAACATTTCTAGACTTGAAGGAAAAAAATCGGCTTGACATTACACGGAAATTCTTCAAAACCTGGACCGATGCTATTGCAGAATGTTTAATAGTTTCCATTGATCTAAAATCTTTTGACGGACATAATGACTGACATATTGACTAACATCCCTTTATACTGACTGACATGCTGTCTGACATTCAGAACTCAGCCACATGTCATAACAGCTGACATTTGCCCGAGTACACGACAGGTGTGATGGGGAGAGGAAAAAAATCCACATCCGGTGGATAATGGGCAGGGAAAATCATTTTTTAAATTTTGCTTTTTGAAACTTTCACCTGCGTGTTTAACCATTCCCAGCCAAACGATGCAGGTATGTAACACGTATGTAAAATACGTTTGTTCAGTCTTTTGACCAATCGCTAGAAAACACATCGATGACCTGGGGTACATGTTTTAACCAATCAATGAGTGGCGTGGCATCAAATCTCTAATCATCTCGATCAGATGTAAATCTTTCAAATTTTAAACTCATGGGCCAATCATTTTTATTTTTATCTTGCGTATGTCGCTGTGACGACGTGATGTAGTATTCACGTGATGTAATGGTCCCGTGGTGTGGTGATGACGTGATGTGGTGATGACGTGATGTTGTGATGACGTGATGTGACGGCCACGTGATGCAGTGGTCACTTGATGAGGTTTCTAACGTGAAGTCGTTTGTCACGTGATGTTATATTCATGTGATGTAGTCTCTACTCAGTTGTGTCCGACACCTTTAGCCTCTGTTGTGTCAGACACCTTTAGCCTCTAGTTGGTTGTGTCAGACACCTTTAACCTCTATTGTGTCAGACACCTTTAGCCTCTAGTTGGTTGTGTCAGACACCTTTAGCCTATATTGTGTCAGACACCTTTAGCCTCTAGTTGGTTGTGTCAAACACCTTTAGCCTCTATTGTGTCAGACACCTTTAGCCTCTACTCAGTGGTGTCAAACACCTTTAGCCTCTATTGTTTCAGACACCTTTAGCCTCTGTTGTGTCCGACACCTTTAGCCTCTATTGTGTCAGACACCTTTAGCCTCTACTCAGTGGTGTCAAACACCTTTAGCCTCTATTGTTTCAGACACCTTTAGCCTCTGTTGTGTCAGACACCTTTAGCCTCTATTGTGTCAGACACCTTTAGCCTCTACTCAGTGGTGTCAAACACCTTTAGCCTCTATTGTTTCAGACACCTTTAGCCTCTGTTGTGTCCGACACCTTTAGCCTCTATTGTGTCAGACACCTTTAGCCTCTATTGTGTCAGACACCTTTAGCCCCTGTTGTTCTCTCCCTCGCCATACCCGAGCCGCCCCCCAGAAACTCCCGGCATAGATTGAATGCACCTCGGCACCTCTAGCTCGCCAGGTGCCAGCTCAGGTACGCCAGGTACCAGCTCAGGTACGCCAGCCCCCCCCCCCCCCTGTTGTTTGATATTCCAGCCGACGGAAATTCCTCCCCCTCCAGTGACTCAGCCTTTATTTGTTCCCAGCTCATGTTATCTGCGCGGCACTCACCCGTGAAGAGGCGGGCCACCGACAGGTGCAGGCTGGCCAGCGGGAAATCTCAGTCCTCAGCTCGCAGATTGCTAAACAAGAGCCGGGCTCATGGCCTCGCTCTCATTCACAGGGCTCATACAGCTAATAGAGTCCTTTCATATGACGTCACGTCCGTTCGTGATACCTACGCCCGCCGCCACAGTCGTGTACACAAGACGTAAACACAATCAGCTGTTCGCCAGCGCTGGACGTGTTCACCAGCGCTGGACGTGTTCACTGTATGTAAAGAATCGCGCCCGCGGAAAAGGAAAAATACGTTAAAAAACTTGAACTCTTAGGAATTGAAGATCCTTATACTGTTATTGACAGTTTCGTATAAATAAATATGTGGACAAAATTTCTAAATAAAAATACTGTTAATAATACTGTTTGCGTTTAGAGTTAAAGTAGCCGAATCTGATCAAATGCAGTTCTCGATACTTTGTTTCATGTAAGGACAGTAAAATAATAAACTTCATTTTAATTATAAAAGATAACTATTAATAAAACAAATATGCTCGACCTTCACAAATACTAATAGTAAAAGACAAAGTCAAAAGTAGTAGGCTAATAAGAATAATAAGATCTAATAGTAGGCCTAATACCTGGCTCCGCTGGGTAGACATAGAATCTAGAATCTACTTCTTTACTTAAATTTAATTACTTTAGATCTACATTCGATTCAAAATACACCCATAATAAATCAAAAGTAGTCATAATAGGCCTAATAAAGCATTTAATTGTCTCTAAGATCTAAAATCTCGCTCTATTATCTAATCATTTTTTTAGCAAACGAAATTTTCTGAAATTGAAATAGATTATATGACTAGACTTAGATCTAGAATCTGCTACTTAAATTAAATTGTAAAAACTTTATACAAGCATGTAGTTGATATTATTGTAGTAGAAGGCTTTAATAAATTACTAAGGCCTACCTACTTTGTTGTCTTTTTACAGCAATATGTATCTGATACTGGACTGAGTTTAATTGAATTCAAATTCATATCTAGTAATTGGTCTACTAAGTTTTTGTAGCCTAGTAGTACAATCTAGATCATACCAGCCAACAACAAATAACCACATTATTATTATTTGGTTAATGATTAGGCTAATTTTTTTTTTAAATCCACTGTTTATAAAAGAAACAAATCAAGAAACATTATAAGTGAGATGGTTTAGAATAATAACAATGGACCCAGTCTACAATTGATACAATTGCAGGTCTACATAGGGCCTACAGTCTAGTAGTTTACAGTAGGCACCTAGTGTGTAGCTAGTATACTAGTGTGTAGCTGTCCAGAGTTAAGATTCTTAATGCCTTAATGCTTTCCCCTGATAAGCCGTGTGTGCTATAAATGACATAACATGACACCGAGGTGAGAAGTGTTGAGGGGAGAGCAGTGGGACTTTCCCCTTTGTTCTCCCTGCTGGGCCCTGAGGGTCAAAATTATATAAGAGATACTATTTCTGTGGGGCTGGGTATCACGGAGGTGAGACATTTTCAGGGGAGGGCAGGGCAGACTCCTCTTTGGTTTTATTGTGGGCTAGATACAGGTGGAGGCAGCCATCATCAGGGTTGAACATCAGTATTAATGTGTCTGATCACTTCCCTGCTGGATTATAAGGTCTTAAATTGTATAACATGCTACCCAGATTGGTTATTACCCATGGATTATATTAGCCGTTGTAGTGTGGGTTTTGTAGGAGTTAAGTGGTCTCACGTTTGCTACAGTAGATAACCTCTAATATATTACTGCATTTGATCAGCTTCGTCTACTTAAACTCTAAACGCAAACGGTATTACTAACAGTATTTTTATTTAGAAATTTCGGCCACATATTTATATTATCCACGAAACTGTCAATAACTGTATAAGGATCTTCAATTCCTAAGAGTTCAAGTTTTTTAACATATTTTTCCTTTTCCGCGGGCGCGATTCTTTACATACGGTGAACACGTCCAGCGTTGGTGAACACGTCCAGCGCTGGCGAACAGCTGATTGTGTTTACGTCTGATGTACACCACTGTGGCGGCGGGCGTAGGTATCACGTGATTTAGGTCACGTGTTTGCAAGGACTCTATTACACAGTTAATTACTTCCGGTTCGTCGAGCTGAAAAATGACGACACTCTACGGCTGATAGGGCCCACATACAGTAAGCGGCCCACATACAGTAAGCGGCCCACATACAGTAAGCGGCCCACATACAGTAAGCGGCCCACATTCAGTAAGCGGCCCACATACAGTAAGCGGCCCACATTCAGTAAGCGGCCCACATACAGTAAGCGGCCCACATACAGTAAGCGGCCCACATACAGTAAGCGGTACCACATAGTAGTGGGCCGCCCCACATATTCTAGGCGGGGCTCACATTCAGTGAGTATATTGTGGCTGGGGTTTACATACATTAGGCGTAGCTCACATACAGTGAATGGGGCCAATGAACTATAGGCGGGGTGCACATACAGTAGGCGTGGCTCATGTCCAGTAGATATCCCAGCGGCTGACCACCGTCCAACCCTCTACCAGACCACTGGCCACATTTAGAGCTGGTTAACACTACTGTGTCCAACAGCACGGCGGACCATGTTTAACGCTAAACCCCACATCACACTCGGGGGTCAAAGTGGTTAACGAACAATTACCCCCACATCAAACAACGGAATCTACAGGTCACACCCCCCCCCCCCCACCTCCCCACCCCGATCAGCCCGGTGATGAGTTAACAAAACACGCCGTGATACTTTCACCTTTCCCTGTTGTTCTCGCCTGCCGACCCGGTGTAGACACAATAATACGTTATGAAATAATATCCCAGATTACCAGCCAGCCCGTGTGAGAAACACGCCAGGTATGTTGGTCTCATTGTTACCGTTGGTCTTGGCACTGTCGGCTGCTGTATCAGATGCGCCAGACGACATCTTCTGGTATTTGCATAGCACCAGGCGCGTGTTTGATTCCTGGGTTTGCTAGCATCAGGTAACACATCGCTTCGCGTCATCGGCTGAAATATGACCTGTAGAATTTATTATATGTCGATCCTTTCGATCTGTAACCCTTTCGATCTCCAACCAAAGATGATTGCTGTTTATTCAATGGATCAGTCCATTCATCTCCGCAGGTATGTGCAGCCTCTCTGCTTCCCACGGTATTTTATCAAAATGTACCAAAGAATTCTTCACCAATTTTTGGGCTATCAGAGGCAAAAACAAATTGCTAGCAGCGTGCGGTCACTCTTCACGTGATCTCTAGGTGAGGAGCGGGCGGTCAAACGGTGCACGTGAATTCTCTAACAGTCAACACTCCTTGGATGCTGGTGAACGTATCACACTTTGATATCACATGTTAGTCTGCTTACACGTGTATGTGAAAATGTCATATCACACATGTATATCACACATGTATGTATGGATGTCACATGACACATACGTTGTTGGCAGACCAAAAACTTGGTCAAGAAAATTTACAACCGTGGTTTTTGTTCGCCTTACATTATCAGACACAGAGCGTGCTTCTGGAACATTCCACGACCTTCCCGGCAGCCCTGAGACGATAAATCATAGTGTATCGTCTGCTGTACGACTGCTGCAGAATCTGACTGTTTTGGTGCAGACGTCAAAGATGTTTGGTTCTCAATCACTAGCCAACATGCATCCCCCCCCCAGGGTAACTGACATTTGCTACCTTTCAGTCCCCTTCTCAACAAACTTTATTATTTATTAACGCGGTTACCTACGCCCACTTTTCCCAATGCTAGGAAACTTTCACTCTCATAGATATGCCCTTCTAACTGGTGCCCTACTACCAGCATAGATATGCCCTTCTAACTGGTGCCCTACTACCAGCATAGATATGCCCTTCTAACTGGTGCCCTACCACCAGCATAGATATGCCTTTCTAACTGGTACCCCACCACCAGCATATTTATGCCCTTCTTAATGCTGCCCCACCACTCTCATAGATATGCCCTTCTAACTGGTGCCCCACCACTTTCATAGATATGCCCTTCTAACTGGTGCCCCACCACTTTCATAGATATGCCCTTCTAACTGGTGCCCTACTACCAGCATAGATATGCCCTTCTAACTGGTGCCCCACCACTTTCATAGATATGCCCTTCTAACTGGTGCCCCACCACTTTCATAGATATGCCCTTCTAACTGGTGCCCTACTACCAGCATAGATATGCCCTTCTAACTGGTGCCCCACAACCAGCATAGATATGCCCTTCTAACTGGTGCCCCACCACTAGCATAGATATGCCCTTCTAACTGGTGCCCTACCACCATTATAGATGCATTCCCCCTCCCACAACTTGAGTTGCCCCCTCCAAATTGCCCCCCCCCAACACAAAATTTATTGAGTTGCCCCCTCCAAATTGCCCCCCCCCCCCCCAACACAAAATTTATTGAGTTGCCCCCTCCAAATTGCCCCCCCCCCCCCAACACAAAATTTATTGAGTTGCCCCCTCCAAATTGCCCCCCCCCCCCAACACAAAATTTATTGAGTTGCCCCCTCCAAATTGCCCCCCCCCCAACACAAAATTTATTGAGTTGCCCCCTCAAAATTGCCCCCCCCCCCAACACAAAATTTATTGAGTTGCCCCCTCCAAATTGCCCCCCCCCCCCAACACAAAATTTATTGAGTTGCCCCCTCCAAATTGCCCCCCCCCCAACACAAAATTTATTGAGTTGCCCCCTCCAAATTGCCCCCCCCCCCCCCAACACAAAATTTATTGAGTTGCCCCCTCCAAATTGCCCCCCCCCCCCAACACAAAATTTATTGAGTTGCCCCCTCCAAATTGCCCCCCCCCCCCCCAACACAAAATTTATTGAGTTGCCCCCTCCAAATTGCCCCCCCTCAACACAAAATTTATTGAGTTGCCCCCTCCAAATTGCCCCCCCCCCCCCCAACACAAAATTTATTGAGTTGCCCCCTCCAAATTGCCCCCCCCCCCCAACACAAAATTTATTGAGTTGCCCCCTCCAAATTGCCCCCCCCCCCCCCAACACAAAATTTATTGAGTTGCCCCCTCCAAATTGCCCCCCCCCCCAACACAAAATTTATTGAGTTGCCCCCTCCAAATTGCCCCCCCCCCCCAACACAAAATTTATTGCCCCCTCCAAATTGCCCCCCCCCAACACAAAATTTATTGAGTTGCCCCCTCCAAATTGCCCCCCCCCCCCCCCAAGACAAAATTTATTGAGTTGCCTCCTCAAACTTGCCCCCCCCCCCCCCAGCATAAAGTTACTTGAGGTACCGCCAGCTGTCCGCCACCTACCTACTCCCCCCTTTCCCCCCCCCCCCCCCCCCGCCACCTACCTACTCACGTTTTCATCGAGCCTATAATATACCCACTGGCGTTTTATTTCCTCCCCAATGTTTACAGAAAGCATGAAAGGCGTGTGCTCGTGTGATTCAGGGGGAGGGGGGGGGGGGGTTGAAGGGGGTCAAAACGTAAACACTTAGCCTAAATTAATGATGTTTATTTATTGGGCCAGTGAGATTTCAAGTCTACAGATCAAAAACTCTTGCTCAAGCTGATATTGGTTCAATTAGAGGAGCAGATTTATGCTTGAAAGTTCCATTTTTTAGCCTTTCTCTGAGACGTGTGATTTTAAATTTTGATATCGAAAGTAAAGGAGACCGGATGTTGAACCTACACTACATGAGGCTCCCAAATGTGCGTCTGTTGGGTGTTATCAAAGGGCTTTTTTCGTTGCAACATATACATGTGGTATTTATGTTCCTCATGTAGACATATTTCTTACGTATGTGCTGCACAGAATGAAACATTTCCTTTCACAGTGCAGATTGCTCTGAGTCATATCAGGTTAGACTGTCTTAATCTCAGCACTACCACCTGTCTTAATCTCAGCACTACCACCTGTCTTAATCTCGGCACTACCACCTGTCTTAATCTCAGCACTACCACCTGTCTTAATCTCAGCACTACCACCTGTCTTAATCTCAGCACTACCACCTGTCTTAATCTCAGCACTACCACCTGTCTTAATCTCAGCACTACCACCTGTCTTATTTCCGGCACTACCACCTGTCTTAATCTCAACACTACCACCTGTCTTAATCTCAGCACTACCACCTGTCTTAATCTCAGTACTACCACCTGTCTTAATCTCAGCACTACCACCTGTCTTAATCTCAGCACTACCACCTGTCTTATTTCCGGCACTACCACCTGTCTTAATCTCAACACTACCACCTGTCTTAATCTCAGCACTACAACCTGTCTTAATCTCAGCACTACCACCTGTCTTAATCTCAGCACTACCACCTGTCTTAATCTCAGCACTACAACCTGTCTTAATCTCAGCACTACCACCTGTCTTAATCTCAGTACTACCACCTGTCTTAATCTCAGCACTACCACCTGTCTTATTTCCGGCACTACCACCTGTCTTAATCTCAACACTACCACCTGTCTTAATCTCAGCACTACAACCTGTCTTAATCTCAGCACTACCACCTGTCTTATTTCCGGCACTACCACCTGTCTTAATCTCAACACTACCACCTGTCTTAATCTCAGCACTACAACCTGTCTTAATCTCAGCACTACCACCTGTCTTAATCTCAGCACTACCACCTGTCTTATTTCCGGCACTACCACCTGTCTTAATCTCAACACTACCACCTGTCTTAATCTCAGCACTACAACCTGTCTTAATCTCAGCACTACCACCTGTCTTAATCTCAGCACTACCACCTGTCTTAATCTCAGCACTACAACCTGTCTTAATCTCAGCACTACCACCTGTCTTAATCTCAGTACTACCACCTGTCTTAATCTCAGCACTACCACCTGTCTTATTTCCGGCACTACCACCTGTCTTAATCTCAACACTACCACCTGTCTTAATCTCAGCACTACAACCTGTCTTAATCTCAGCACTACCACCTGTCTTATTTCCGGCACTACCACCTGTCTTAATCTCAACACTACCACCTGTCTTAATCTCAGCACTACAACCTGTCTTAATCTCAGCACTACCACCTGTCTTAATCTCAGCACTACCACCTGTCTTAATCTCAGCACTACAACTTGTCTTAATCTCAGCACTACAACCTGTCTTAATCTCAGCACTACCACCTGTCTTAATCTCAGCACTACCACCTGTCTTAATCTCAGCACTACAACTTGTCTTAATCTCAGCACTACAACCTTTCTTAATCTCAGCACTACAACCTGTCTTAATCTCAGCACTACCACCTGTCTTAATCTCAGCACTACAACTTGTCTTAATCTCAGTACTACCACCTGTCTTAATCTCAGCACTACCACCTGTCTTAATCTCAGCACTACAACTTGTCTTAATCTCAGCACTACCACCTGTCTTATTTCCGGCACTACCACCTGTCTTAATCTCAACACTACCACCTGTCTTAATCTCAGCACTACAACCTGTCTTAATCTCAGCACTACCACCTGTCTTAATCTCAGCACTACCACCTGTCTTAATCTCAGCACTACAACTTGTCTTAATCTCAGCACTACAACCTGTCTTAATCTCAGTACTACCACCTGTCTTAATCTCAGCACTACCACCTGTCTTAATCTCAGCACTACCACCTGTCTTAATCTCAGCACTACAACTTGTCTTAATACCAGCATTACGATTATTCTGGCACTATCTTCATGTATCTATATTTTATTTGGGTTCAAATCTCCTTTACTTTTTTATTGAATATGTGAAGTTTTTTTCTCCCTGTTGTATATTACAAGCTTTTATTTAACTCACTGTCTCTGTCTATCGTCAGTCGTCAGTCTGTCGTCAGTCTAGATCGAAATGCCCGAACGAAATTATGGGCACTTCTAACTGACAGATACGGTTCGTAGTTGGTACGTGGGTCAATACATGTAGACAATGCAATATGACATTAGACTTGACTTAATTGGTTGCCTAATTAATTGTTTATTAATTAAAATTGTGCCCAAATTAGTAGGCCGTCTCATCCAACTATTCCGCACTATTATACACGCATCATCATGTTTATTAGGTGTGAAATGGTTTTTAGTCATGGAACTCTATTGTAAGTTTTAAACATTTAAAGTACTGAAAAAAAATTCATAAAAAACGTTTTAATAACTAACTTTTATGTAATAATGCTCAAAAAGTAGAAAATTATACACTACTATTTAAATAACTATTAAGAAAAGCGGGGGTCTCTTCCTAAATATTAGTAAAGGTATCCAATAGATACTAAAGTGACCCACGCTTTTCTTTATAGTTATTTAAATAGTTGTGTATAATTTATTTTCTACTTTTTTGTGCATTATTAAAGAAAAAGATTGTTATTAAAACGGTTTTCATGAATGTTTGTGTGTGTATTAGTTTGAGCTGAATATGTGTAGTATTTTCTCCCTGTTGTATATTTGTGTATTAGTTTGAGCTGAATATGTGTAGTATTTTCTCCCTGTTGTATATTTGTGTATTAGTTTGAGCTGAATATGTGAAGTATTTTCTCCCTGTTGTATATTTGTGTATTAGTTTGAGCTGAATATGTGAAGTATTTTCTCCCTGTTGTATATTTGTGTATTAGTTTGAGCTGAATATGTGGAGTATTTTCTCCGTTGTATATTTGTGTATTAGTTGAGTTGTCCCCCACCAGTACCCAGCACCCTCACAGATCTCAGCCTGTGTGTGAGTACTGTACGGCCGTGGTTGAGCCTCACATAGCGGCTTATCTCCCGTCCGTGGCACCGTGTACCTGGGCCAGATCTCACACCTGAGATTGTGGGGACCTGCTCTGGGAGTTTGAAATTGAAGTGTCATGTTTATATTGCTTGGAGGAGCTTAAAAGAGCTAGCGGTGAGCTGAACTTAGACAATTTCTTCCATTTCCAACAAACACGGCCCGCTGGGGGCTGGTCTGAGAAAACATCGTCCACCCCCCCCCCCCACCCCCCCCCCCACCCCCCCCCCCCCCCCCACCCCCCATCTGCTGCACCAACTCACAGCCCGACCCCAGGGAGTTTGGCAGACGACTGGCAAACATTTTAAAACTCGCCGTTTGCCTATACACCTTTTAATAATTTACTACATTATACTACATTATAAATCACCATAAAAATGTAGTGAATCCCCCACCTCCACACTACCCTCCATTTCCGTACCACACCACAAAACAAGAGATTCTTACGCACTGAAGTTTCGACCAAAGGCATTCGTCTGAAATCTAGAGCTTTTTCGGGTTTTTTTTTTTTTGGGGTTTTTTTTTTGCAATCGTTTACTAACCTTACAGAAGTTGAATGATCGTTGTTTGTGGTTGTATTCGATTTGACCGCTGAATGGGGATGTGGGTGGGGTGGTTAGTTGTGTTAGTGTGGGGATAGAGGTGGGTGGTTAGTTGTGTTGGTGTGTGGATGTGGGTGGGTGGGGTGGTTAGTTGTGTTGGGGTGTGTGGATGTGGGTGAGTGGTTAGTTGTGTTTTTGTGTGGATGCTTATAGAGAAGTTGATGAGGGTGTGCAGTTGACGTCTAATGAATGGTGTTGCCGTCCCTCGTGGTGTTGCCGTACTAACAGACGCCATGTGAAGACCTTCCTAAAGAAACGTGCACAAAATAACTTCAGAAACTTGTAGACAGAAACTGGCTTTCAGTAGAATGGCTTATCTGCATTAGCGCTGAAGTTTGTTTCTTGACGCCATCAATAGAATGGCTTATCTGCTATAGCGCTCAAGTTTGTAAGAAGACAAACGTTTAAAGAAAAAACTATCTTCTGAGAAAGTTCCACTCGATACCGTGTTATGATTAGTTTGCTATTTCCAAGCACGGCTGATAAAAAAATTTCTTCTCTGAGAAAATATTTCTCTTAGCTGGTATTTTAAAAACTTCAATTCAAAGATTTAAAAAATCAAAAAAGAATTTTTTAAAGTTTGAACATACAAATTTTCAGTTTTGATATTTCAGCTTTGTAGCTTTCATTTTAAATGTGGTATTCTTGCTGTGTACATTTTAAATGTGGTATTCTTGCTGTGTACATTTTAAATGTGGTATTCTTGCTGTGTACATTTTAAATGTGGTATTCTTGCTGTGTACATTTTAAATGTGGTATTCTTGCTGTGTACATTTTAAATGTGGTATTCTTGCTGTGTACATTTTAAATGTGGTATTCTTGCTGTGTACATTTTAAATGTGGTATTCTTGCTGTGTACATTTTAAATGTGGTATTCTTGCTGTGTACATTTTAAATGTGGTATTCTTGCTGTGTACATTTTAAAAAGACCCATTTCAGAAACCACAAACATTAAGGTCTGAGATTTTCTACCAACCACATGCCACGGATGTAGTAGTTGCTCCAGTAGACAATTGGTCATCCAGCTGTCCACCAGTCATCTAGCTGTCGATCTGTCGGGGTCGGCGTGGTCGAGTCGGTAAAGCTCATGGTTGCTAAACCGAAAAGTCTCAAGTTCGAACCCTCGGGCAGATGAGGCTCGTTAGCTGGGGACAGCCACTCTTCTAGGAGAGACAACTCCAAAATCAAACAACTGCTGCCTTGTAGATTGTTCTTGGTTGGACAAAGGCTATGGAAGCAAATCCAAAAAGATAAAATACTTAAAAAAAACTTTTTAAAAAACCACGTTTTTCTTGTGGACTAAAAAACGTGGGTACGTTCACCATCAAATTTCCCGACCCATCTGCCCGACCCACGTTTTTTGTCAGTCATCACAAGAATCTGCACAGCTCGAGGAAGCACAAAAGAAAAATTTATTTTCTACTTTTTAGTCCACAAGAAAAACGTGGTTTTTTTAAAAGTTTTTTTTAAGTATTTTATTTTCTCCTTTTTAGTCCGTTGCTACACATGAAAAACGTGGTTTTTAAAAAAGTTTTTTATATAGTTTATTTTCTACTTTATCTAATGACTTGATTAAGTATGACTTGACTAAGTGTTTATACATACACGGACTAAAAATCTTGAGCGACCAGGATTCGAACCTGGGTTGTCGCGGCCACAACGCGAAGTACTAACCACTATACGATCACGGCCAGCGCGCTCACATCGATTGGGGCCGAAGTAACTGTGTCGATAGGCCTCCAGTCTTGTCGGTATCTTTAGAAATCATGTCCTCAATTTTATGGTCCTTGGGGCGTAATTAAATTAAGCTAATTACGGTCTCTAATTGCTAGTTTTTATGATTGCATCTGAAATTGTTAGGCGAAAGTAGCCTACATGCCAAATTTCAGATCTCTAGAGCAATCAGAAGTGGGCTAATTTTCGATGTCAATTTTAACAACAAACATCCAAACAAACAAACAAACGCGAAGCTGAGTTAAGAAAAACGTGTTAAAAAGCAGGCTGAAATCGGAGTCAATGGCCTCAATGGCGCATAACCAGTTGACACGTAACGCTTATTGTGTTGGAGGCGTGGTCGAGTCGGCAAAAAGCTCATGGTTGATAAATTCGAACAAAGTCTCGAGTTCGAACCCACTGGCAGATAAATCTCGATCCCCTTCAACACTAATAATTAAGAACGAAGAAGAAGAAAAAGATCCAGCTGTCCATCGGTCATCCAGCTGTCCATCGGTCATCTAGCTGTCCACCGGTCATCCAGCTGTCCATCGGTCATCTAGCTGTCCACCGGTCATCCAGCTGTCCATCGGTCATCCAGCTGTCCACCGGTCATCCAGCTGTCCATCGGTCATCCAGCTGTCCATCGGTCATCCAGCTGTCCATCTGTCATCTAGCTGTCCATCTGTCATCCAGCTGTCCATCGGTCATCCAGCTGTCCATCGGTCATCCAGCTGTCCACCGGTCATCCAGCTGTCCATCGGTCATCCAGCTGTCCACCGGTCATCCAGCTGTCCACCGGTCATCCAGCTGTCCATCGGTCATCCAGCTGTCCACCGGTCATCCAGCTGTCCACCGCGCCGATAGTCAGCTAAAAAATAATTTTCTCATCGTGTTTTTTTTACTCTTTAACGTCAGTGTCATGGTCAAAGTAAAAAAAAGTCTTTGTACTCAAGGTTAACAGACTTTATGTGACGTTAAACATAGACTGTATGTGACGTAAACATAGACTTTGTCGTTACTCTAATCTTGTTTGACACGTCACATAGTAGGTTTTCATCCCCTCCATTGGTCGAACAAAAACCGTGGTAAAGGACTCATCACGACACCAACAGGACCAAAGAGGACATCGCGACACCAACAGGACTAAAGAGGACATCGCGACACCAACAGGACCAAAGAGGACATCACGACACCAACAGGACCAAACAAAGAGGACATCGCGACACCAACAGGACCAAAGAGGACATCACGACACCAACAGGACCAAACAAAGAGGACATCGCGACACCAACAGGACCAAAGAGGACATCACGACACCAACAGGACCAGACAAGGAGGACATCGCGACACCAACAGGACCAAACAAAGAGGACATCGCGACACCAACAGGACCAAAGAGGACATCACGACACCAACAGGACCAAAGAGGACATCACGACACCAACAGGACCAAACAAAGAGGACATCACGACACCAACAGGACCAAACAAAGAGGACATCACGACACCAACAGGACCAAACAAAGAGGACATCACGACACCAACAGGACCAGACAAAGAGGACATCACGACACCAACAGGACCAAACAAAGAGGACATCACGACACCAACAGGACCAAAGAGGACATCACGACACCAACAGGACCAAAGAGGACATCACGACACCAACAGGACCAAAGAGGACATCACGACACCAACAGGACCAAACAAAGAGGACATCACGACACCAACAGGACCAAACAAAGAGGACATCACGACACCAACAGGACCAAACAAAGAGGACATCACGACACCAACAGGACCAAAGAGGACATCACGACACCAAGAGGACCAAAGAGGACATCACGACACCAACAAAGAGGACATCACGACACCAACAAAGAGGACATGACGACATCAACAGGACAAAAGAGGACATGACGACACCAAGAGGACCAGACAAAGAGGACATCACGACACCAACAGGACCAGACAAAGAGGACATCGCGACACCAACAGGACCAGACAAAGAGGACATCACGACACCAACAGGACCAGACAAAGAGGACATCACGACACCAACAGGACCAGACAAAGAGGACATCACGACACCAACAGGACCAAACAAAGAGGACATCACGACACCAACAGGACCAAAGAGGACATCACGACACCAACAGGACCAAAGAGGACATCACGACACCAACAGGACCAAAGAGGACATCACGACACCAAGAGGACCAAACAAAGAGGACATCACGACACCAACAGGACCAAAGAGGACATCACGACACCAAGAGGACAAAAGAGGACATCACGACACCAACAAAGAGGACATCACGACACCAACAAAGAGGACATGACGACATCAACAGGACAAAAGAGGACATGACGACACCAAGAGGACCAGACAAAGAGCGGCCACAAGATATTGTGTTCAATACCGCGGCTATCGGCACCCCACAGAGGTCGTGATTCAGGCAGTGCCAGCCTTTTGTCTCAGAACTGTTAGAGGGGGGCGGGGGCAGGGGGGGGGGGCAACTGTTAGACTTTAGAGAATTACGACAGTCTTGGGCCGGGGGGGGGGGTGAGATTAGATGGGGCCCATTTCACTAAGCTGGCTGTGTGACGTCACAGCGGCTGATTGCCTGTGCCAATTAGAGCTTCATTAACCTGTGGAGCGGCCAAGTGTACCCATGGTGTTTAGTTCAGCTTCGGTTCGTCTTGCCATCTGGACTGAGATTAATTTTTTAAAATATTTCTACAGCATTCGTTGAACTTTTTATTCTTGTTATTATGTTTGTAAATAAATTAAAAAAAAAAACAGCAACAATCGCTTAGTATATATATATATGTATTCTGTATAGTTGTGTACACAATTCGAAAACAATGATACTTTTTCCGGACGAATTTCCGAGCCCACGTGATGGTGAAATCCACACATGACAAATCAAATGTCAATTTGTCTTTTAGTTTGACCACCGACACTCTCACACAGATGTAAAGATGATCCGACCACATCCCCCACCCCACCCCCACACATCCCACACATTTATTCACCGCGGTGTCGTGTGTGTCGTCGACTGTGAGTTGTGTGATGGCGTCATCAGTCAACTAACCAAAACAACCACAGCAGCCGTTCTTGTCCTTGGTGTGACCTTGACCTTTGGTCTTAGAGGCCGAAAGCCCAGCTTTGGACTCGCACCTGCCTTTCTGCTGCATGCTGAGGTCAATGCCGTGGTCCTTGCAGTAGATGAAGTTGATGAGGGAGATGACGCGGCAGCTGTAGCCGTACTCGTTGTCGTACCACGCCACCAGCTTGACGAACGTGTCGTTCAGGGCGATGCCGGCCTGCGCGTCAAAGATGCTGCTGCAACTGTTGCCACGGAAGTCGGAGGAGACCTGCAGTACAAGGTTAGGTCATGGGGGACCTGCAGTACAAGGTTAGGTCATGGGGGACCTGTAGTACAAGGTTAGGTCATGGGGGACCTGCAGTACAAGGTTAGGTCATGGGGGACCTGCAGTACAAGGTTAGGTCATGGGGGACCTGCAGTACAAGGTTAGGTCATGGGGGACCTGCAGTACAAGGTTAGGTCATGGGGGACCTGCAGTACAAGGTTAGGTCATGGGGGACCTGCAGTACAAGGTTAGGTCATGGGGGACCTGCAGTACAAGGTTAGGTCATGGGGGACCTGCAGTACAAGGTTAGGTCATGGGGGACCTGCAGTACAAGGTTAGGTCATGGGGGACCTGCAGTACAAGGTTAGGTCATGGGAGACCTGCAGTACACGCTTAGGTCATGGGGACCTGCAGTACAATATTAACCAACAACAGGTTGTAGGTTTGAACCCACAGCTACACCATGTTTAACTGAAGCTCTACCTACCAACATTTCATCCGTAAATCCCAGAATGCCCTTCATGGCACCGGATGAGGCAGCTTTGATGGCGTCCACTATGTCCTTATATGGTGTGGGTTTGGCCAGTCTACACGTCAGGTCAACCACCGATACGTCTGGTGTCGGCACACGGAATGCCATGCCGGTCAACTTGCCGTTCATTTCTGGGATCACCTGGTAGATTACAGCAGGAAAGTCTAGCTATATTGTCACACTCATGGCTGTAGTATAGCTATATTGTCACACTCATGGCTGTAGTATAGCTATATTGTCACACTCATGGCTGTAGTATAGCTATATTGTCACACTCATGGCTGTAGTATAGCTATATTGTCACACTCATGGCTAGTATAGCTAGATTGTCACACTCATGGCTATTATAGCTAGATTTTCGCACTCATGGCTGTGGTGTAGCTAGATTGTCACACTCATGGCTAGTATAGCTAGATTGTCACACTCATGGCTATTATAGCTAGATTGTCACACTCATGGCTGTGGTATACCTAGATTGTCACGCTGGTTACATGCATGTTAGTATAGCTAGATTGTCACGCTTATGGTCACGTTATATGCTTAAATGGTCATTTAGCATCTGTTAGTAACATCTTACATTTAGCACCTGTCATGATATATTTACATCCTTCACGTCACCAATAACAGCCGTGACCTTACTTTAACCGCCCCTGGTATGATGTTGACCAATGGGACCTTACCTTACTGACAGCTTTAGCCGCCCCTGGTATGATGTTGACCAATGGGACCCTACCTTACCGACAACTTTAGCCGCCCCTGGTATGATGTTGACCAATGGGACCTTACCTTACCGACAGCTGTAGCCGCCCCTGGTATGATGTTGACCAATGGGACCTTACTTTACTGACAGCTTTAGCCGCCCCTGGTATGATGTTGACCAATGGGACCTTACCTTACCGACAGCTGTAGCCGCCCCTGGTATGATGTTGACCAATGGGACCTTACCTTACCGACAGCTGTAGCCGCCCCTGGTATGATGTTGACCAATGGGACCCTACCTTACCGACAGCTTTAGCCGCCCCTGGTATGATGTTGACCAATGGGACCTTACCTTACTGACAGCTTGAGCCGCCCCTGTTGTTGCCGGGATGATGTTGACAAATGGGACCTTACCTTACCGACAGCTTTAGCCGCCCCTGGTATGATGTTGACCAATGGGACCTTACTTTACTGACAGCTTTAGCCGCCCCTGGTATGATGTTGACCAATGGGACCTTACCTTACCGACAGCTTTAACCGTCCAAGGTATGATGTTGACCAATGGGACCTTACCTTACCGACAGCTTTAGCCGCCCCTGGTATGATGTTGACCAATGGGACCTTACCTTTCCGACAGCTTTAGCCGCCCCTGGTATGATGTTGACCAATGGGACCTTACCTTACCGACAGCTTTAGCCGCCCCTGGTATGATGTTGACCTATGAGCCCTTACCTTACCGACAGCTTTAGCCGCCCCTGTTGTTGCCGGGATGATGTTGACCAAAGCACTCCGGCCAGCCCTCCAGTCCTTGGAGCTCGGCCCGTCCACGGTCATCTGAGTGGCCGTCACGGCGTGGACAGTGGTCATCAAACCCTCCACGATGCCAAAGTTGTCGTGGATGACCTTGACCAACGGGGCCAGGCAGTTGGTCGTGCAGGAGGCGTTGCTTATGACCTGTGGCGACCCAGGTGGGGATAAAGTACCCCCTTCAATTTGTTCTCATTTGATAACATCTCAAACCAACCGACCACCCCCAAACACACACAACCCGCATGAAAGCCAGAAGAAAACCTACCTCCATGTCCGAGGTGTATTTATCCAGGTTGACCCCACACACGAACATGGGGGCGTCGGCTGAGGGCGCCGAGATGATGACCTTCTTGGCCCCGGCCTTGATGTGGACCTGGGCCTTGTCCAGGGTGGTGAAGACGCCCGTGGACTCCACGATGTACTCAGCGCTCACCGACCACCAGGGGATGTTCTCTGGACTCCGCTCATTAAACACTTTGATTGGCGTGCCGTTAATGACTAGCTCGTCACCAGAACTACAACATAGAGGGGGATCAATTTCATGCTAGTACATCTAGATATGTACAGAACTACAACATAGAGTGGGATCAATTTCATGCTAGTACATCTAGATATGTACAGAACTACAACATAGAGTGGGATCAATTTCATGCTAGTACATCTAGATATGTACAGAACTACAACATAGAGTGGGATCAATTTCATGCTAGTACATCTAGATATGTACAGAACTACAACATAGAGTGGGATCAATTTCATGCTAGTACATCTAGATATGTACAGAACTACAATATAGAGTGGGATCAATTTCATGCTAGTACATCTAGATATGTACAGAACTACAACATAGAGTGGGATCAATTTCATGCTAGTACATCTAGATATGTACAGAACTACAACATAAAGTGGGAACAATTTCATGCTAGTACATCTAGATATGTACAGAACTACAATATAGAGTGGGATCAATTTCATGCTAGTACATCTAGATATGTACAGAACTACAACATAGAGTGGGATCAATTTCATGCTAGTACATCTAGATATGTACAGAACTACAACATAACGTGGGATCAATTTCATGCTAGTACATCTAGATATGTACGGTCAATAGAGCTACAACATAGAGTGGGATCAATTTCATGCTAGTACATCTAGATATGTACAGAACTACAACATAAAGTGGGATCAATTTCATGCTAGTACATCTAGATATGTACAGAACTACAACATAAAGTGGGATCAATTTCATGCTAGTACATCTAGATATGTACAGAACTACAACATAAAGTGGGATCAATTTCATGCTAGTACATCTAGATATGTACAGAACTACAATATAGAGTGGGATCAATTTCATGCTAGTACATCTAGATATGTACAGAACTACAACATAGAGTGGGATCAATTTCATGCTAGTACATCTAGATATGTACAGAACTACAACATAAAGTGGGATCAATTTCATGCTAGTACATCTAGATATGTACAGAACTACAACATAAAGTGGGATCAATTTCATGCTAGTACATCTAGATATGTACAGAACTACAACATAAAGTGGGATCAATTTCATGCTAGTACATCTAGATATGTACAGAACTACAACATAAAGTGGGATCAATTTCATGCTAGTACATCTAGATATGTACAGAACTACAACATAAAGTGGGATCAATTTCATGCTAGTACATCTAGATATGTACAGAACTACAACATAAAGTGGGATCAATTTCATGCTAGTACATCTAGATATGTACAGAACTACAACATAAAGTGGGATCAATTTCATGCTAGTACATCTAGATATGTACAGAACTACAACATAAAGTGGGATCAATTTCATGCTAGTACATCTAGATATGTACAGAACTACAACATAAAGTGGGATCAATTTCATGCTAGTACATCTAGATATGTACAGAACTACAACATAAAGTGGGATCAATTTCATGCTAGTACATCTAGATATGTACAGAACTACAACATAAAGTGGGATCAATTTCATGCTAGTACATCTAGATATGTACGGTCACCAGAGGTACAACGTACCAGAATAAAAATTAAGTTCCCTTTCGAACCTGACGGTCCGTGGGGCAAGTGAAGTTGAGTGAGATTCATTTCATGTCAGTATGTCATGACCTTTCAAAAGTGTTTGGTGTTGGTTTAAGTTACTTCGGTACTCGTACTCAACAGTTCCTTTCAGGCATCTCTTGGGGAGGGCAGTGCTCCCAACCCCCGAAACTCGTCCACCGCCCCCCCCCCCCCCCGACAACACAAAATGCATAGAAAATATTTACAAACAGTGCTCCCCCCCCCCCCTGGAGAAAAAGAAACGCCTGTAGACTACTGTGTATCTAATACTCCACGGTATACCGTATAGAGATATTCGAATTCCCATACTGATCTGCTTATACGTTATACGTAGGCTATACACTCAACATCCATAATGCATTGTGTTAATGTCACAAAACCCCATGTACACAACATCATATGTAGATAACATCCCATGTACTCGGCATTCCATTATTCATTGTGTTAATGTACACAATCCCCTTGTAAACAACCCCCCCCCCTGTAAACAAATCCCCCCCCCCCCCCCCCAGATGAAGGTTCAGTTACCTGCTGACTGTCCCGTTGAACCTGCCGTGCGTGGAGTCGTACACAAACATGTACGCCATGTACGCCGGCTCTATGAAGGGGTCATTGACCGCCACTACTGGCACGCCCATTTCGATGGCTGCCCGGAGAGTCAGACGACCGATGCGACCAAAGCCATTGATGCCCACCTTGGGTTGGACTAGAAATCAACAAATTGGATCAAGTTCATAGATTGTATTTACAAAATAGCCAAAATTATTCATTTTTTTCACACTCATTAACACATTTTTTACCACGATCGGTTTTTTCTCTACTATTTGCAATGAGTTACGCAATGTTGAAATGTCACTTTATCGATGTCATGCATGCTTAGACTGAGTGACATCAAACAAAGTTTATAATTGACATAACCAAGCTAGGTAAGTTTAGTTTTAATTTTCACACTTAAAATGGTATTTCAAATAACATTGCTTCATTCGTAAACCTTACCTTAACGATTAACGGAGTAGTAGTGGACAAAATGAGAGCTAACAAAAGTCAAGTTCACAAGCTATTGTAGATCTAGATTTCTAGATCTAGTCTACATCATTGGGGGACTGGCTATGTCGATACAAGTATTACAAATAATTATGTTAGTGTTCGATTCAAAGGTTTAGAGTATCTTTATGGCCTGTTATGGACGATATTAGTTTCGGATTACGGGTGGGCGGTTTTAAGACCACGTATCGAACACATGAATTCTAACTAGATCTAGATCTAGATCTGTTAGTAGTCGCGGTAGATCTAAAAACCCAAACAAGTCTGCTGTGGATTAACTGTTGCGAGCAGCTGGGAGGGTATGGCCTAGCGTTTACCTCGAGTAGTGCAGCAGTTCTCAGGCAAGCCGTTAAAGAGTGGTGCCTGTTTTCGTGCAGACATCACTGGGTAGGGTTTGTTTATTCGGAGCTAAGCAGATTGAGCTAAATATAAACCCCAGTCTGCCACATTTTCTCTGCAGACTCTCTTCAAAATGGAGGTCTAATTGCCACCAAAACAGTGACGTCATTTGCTAAAATGGCGCCTTGAAACCCAGCGTCACTGGATCACTTGTGTTTATTGCTCAGACAAAGATTTATTTTCAATAGTTTTAAAACTCTGAAGTTTAAAATAAAATATTAGAATATGTGTGTGAAGAGAAGACCTTGATATGCCCAGTAAAGGTGAACATTAGATAATAACAACTTGGACGGCGTGGTCGGATGAGTGAGCTGACGAATGCTTGTGCCCGAAAGTCTCGAGTTTGTACCTGAGGTCAAGTCCGTAGGACGTACCTGAGGGGTCGAGTCTGTATGACGTACCTGATGTCGAGTCTGTAGGACGTACCTGGGGTCGAGTCTGTAGGACGTACCTGGGGTCGAGTCTGTAGGACGTACCTGAGGTGCAGTCTGTAGGACGTACCTGAGGTGGAGTCTGTATGACGTACCTGATGTCGAGTCTGTATGACGTACCTGAGGTCGAGTCTGTAGGACGTACCTGGGGTGGAGTCTGTATGACGTACCTGATGTCGAGTCTGTATGACGTACCTGAGGTCGAGTCTGTAGGACGTACCTGGGGTGGAGTCTGTATGACGTACCTGATGTCGAGTCTGTATGACGTACCTGAGGTGGAGTCTGTAGGACGTACCTGGGGTGGAGTCTGTAGGACGTACCTGAGGTGGAGTCTGTAGGACGTACCTGAGGTGGAGTCTGTAGGACGTACCTGAGGTGCAGTCTGTAGGACGTACGTGGGGTCGAGTCTGTAGGACGTACCTGATGTCGAGTCTGTAGGACGTACCTGAGGTGGAGTCTGTAGGACGTACCTGGGGTGGAGTCTGTAGGACGTACCTGAGGTGGAGTCTGTAGGACGTACCTGAGGTCGAGTCTGTAGGACGTACCTGATGTCGAGTCTGTAGGACGTACCTGAGGTGGAGTCTGTAGGACGTACGTGGGGTCGAGTCTGTAGGACGTACCTGATGTCGAGTCTGTAGGACGTACGTGGGGTCGAGTCTGTAGGACGTACCTGATGTCGAGTCTGTAGGACGTACCTGATGTCGAGTCTGTAGGACGTACCTGAGGTCGAGTCTGTAGGACGTACCTGATGTCGAGTCTGTAGGACGTACCTGAGGTGGAGTCTGTAGGACGTACGTGGGGTCGAGTCTGTAGGACGTACCTGATGTCGAGTCTGTAGGACGTACCTGAGGTGGAGTCTGTAGGACGTACCTGGGGTGGAGTCTGTAGGACGTACCTGAGGTGGAGTCTGTAGGACGTACCTGAGGTGGAGTCTGTAGGACGTACCTGAGGTCGAGTCTGTATGACGTACCTGAGGTGGAGTCTGTAGGACGTACCTGAGGTGGAGTCTGTAGGACGTACCTGAGGTGGAGTCTGTAGGACGTACCTGAGGTGGAGTCTGTAGGACGTACCTGAAGTGGAGTCTGTAGGACGTACCTGACTCACGTTAGGGATTGCAAGACGGCTAGGCACAGTTCTGAACACAATACCCCCCTGCTTGCCGTCAATAAAACACGAACTCTCTGACGCTAAAGGGAAAAGATGATGACTCATACAAGACGTTAATTCATTTAATAGTTTGAAATACTGAGTAATAAAATAACTGCGGCGGGTCTTGATAATAATAATAAGAATAAACTACCCCCGCCCTCCCACCCCCGAAAAATGATCAGCCAATCGTCCTTAGCGAGAGCCGAAGATGCAGGCAGCCAAACACAGGTCTAAACAAACCTGGTGTTGGAAGATGAAAGGATGCGAGCTGTACCTGGCCAGGTATACTACGTCACTGTGACGTAGACCACACAGACCACCTTAATCCTAACAATCTGATGCTGGCTGTAATTGAAAGTAAACTGGTCTCTTATCTACCATCTCAGGTAACAGCAATTATTGATGGCACAGGTAACATCAATTATTGATGGCACAGGTAACAGCAATTATTGATGGCACAGGTAACAGCAATTATTGATGGCACAGGTAACAGCAATTATTGATGGCACAGGTAACAGCAATTATTGATGGCACAGGTAACAGCAATTATTGATGGCACAGGTAATAGCAATTATTGATGGCACAGGTAATAGCAATTATTGATGGCACAGGTAACATCAATTATTGATGGCACAGGTAACAGCAATTATTGATGGCACAGGTAACAGCAATTATTGATGGCACAGGTAACAGCAATTATTGATGGCACAGGTAACAGCAATTATTGATGGCACAGGTAACAGCAATTATTGATGGCACAGGTAATAGCAATTATTGATGGCACAGGTAACAGCAATTATTGATGGCACAGGTAATAGCAATTATTGATGGCACAGGTAATAGCAATTATTGATGGCACAGGTAACAGCAATTATTGATGGCACAGGTAATAGCAATTATTGATGGCACAGGTAATAGCAATTATTGATGGCACAGGTAACAGCAATTATTGATGGCACAGGTAATAGCAATTATTGATGGCACAGGTAACAGCAATTATTGATGGCACAGGTAATAGCAATTATTGATGGCACAGGTAATAGCAATTATTGATGGCACAGGTAACAGCAATTATTGATGGCACAGGTAACAGCAATTATTGATGGCACAGGTAATAGCAATTATTGATGGCACAGGTAACAGCAATTATTGATGGCACAGGTAATAGCAATTATTGATGGCTGATGTAACAACAATTATTGATGGCACAGGTAACAGCAATTATTGATGGCACAGGTAATAGCAATTATTGATGGCACAGGTAACAGCAATTATTGATGGCACAGGTAACAGCAATTATTGATGGCACAGGTAACAGCAATTATTGATGGCACAGGTAACAGCAATTATTGATGGCACAGGTAACAGCAATTATTGATGGCACAGGTAACAGCAATTATTGATGGCACAGGTAACAGCAATTATTGATGGCACAGGTAACAACAATTATTGATGGCACAGGTAACAGCAATTATTGATGGCACAGGTAACAGCAATTATTGATGGCACAGGTAACAGCAATTATTGATGGCACAGGTAACAGCAATTATTGATGGCACAGGTAATAGCAATTATTGATGGCACAGGTAACAGCAATTATTGATGGCACAGGTAATAGCAATTATTGATGGCACAGGTAATAGCAATTATTGATGGCACAGGTAACAGCAATTATTGATGGCACAGGTAATAGCAATTATTGATGGCACAGGTAATAGCAATTATTGATGGCACAGGTAACAGCAATTATTGATGGCACAGGTAATAGCAATTATTGATGGCACAGGTAACAGCAATTATTGATGGCACAGGTAATAGCAATTATTGATGGCACAGGTAACATCAATTATTGATGGCACAGGTAACAGCAATTATTGATGGCACAGGTAACAGCAATTATTGATGGCACAGGTAACAGCAATTATTGATGGCACAGGTAACAGCAATTATTGATGGCACAGGTAATAGCAATTATTGATGGCTGATGTAACAACAATTATTGATGGCACAGGTAACAGCAATTATTGATGGCACAGGTAATAGCAATTATTGATGGCACAGGTAATAGCAATTATTGATGACCTAAGGTAATAGCAATTATTGATGGCACAGGTAACAGCAATTATTGATGGCACAGGTAACAGCAATTATTGATGGCACAGGTAATAGCAATTATTGATGGCACAGGTAACAGCAATTATTGATGGCACAGGTAATAGCAATTATTGATGGCTGATGTAACAACAATTATTGATGGCACAGGTAACAGCAATTATTGATGGCACAGGTAACAGCAATTATTGATGGCACAGGTAATAGCAATTATTGATGGCACAGGTAATAGCAATTATTGATGGCACAGGTAATAGCAATTATTGATGGCACAGGTAATAGCAATTATTGATGGCACAGGTAACAGCAATTATTGATGGCACAGGTAATAGCAATTATTGATGGCACAGGTAATAGCAATTATTGATGGCACAGGTAATAGCAATTATTGATGGCACAGGTAACAGCAATTATTGATGGCACAGGTAATAGCAATTATTGATGGCTGATGTAACAACAATTATTGATGGCACAGGTAACAGCAATTATTGATGGCACAGGTAACAGCAATTATTGATGGCTCAGGTAACAGCAATTATCTATGACCTACGATAACAGCAATTATCGATGACCTAAGGTAACAGCAATTATTAATGACCTAAGCTAACAACATGTATGACTGGCCACCAATAGAGGTCCATCAGAAGGGTACCCACACATCATCAGCCTAAAAATATGTTCTCCTAAAACATATTCTACATAGTCCAGCACCCCTAAACACCCCCTCCCTATACACACACACTCACACACACATTGCTACACATCACCAAAATAAAATACCCCAAAGATCGAGCCAATCCAAATCTCAAATCTAAGCCTAAATTGTATAAGAAAAGTATTTTTGTCCTGCTGAGTCGCCGCTCTTTGAAGCTGGGCACAGTGCTGCTCAATTTTCGCTTCTTCCGCCATCGATCGGCGCGGGTATTTAAAGTTGCTCAGCAAATATTTGCGCGCCACAAGTGCTCCTCTGTGCTGATGGACTATATACAAATAGCATTAGAAGCCCCACGCTTCGAGTCCCTTTGATCTCTTGATAACTCTGTGTGTTTTATGGTGTGTTTCGTGTGTTTCCAGGATGGGATGAAAAGGGGAACCCACCATCGGGCCACCGTTTCAATATTTTCTTTCATTTGCATCGCTTATGGACTGGCAAAAACGACGTGGTCAAACGCCGACATACAATTTGCAATCTGCTTCCAACTTTCAAATGGAGGCCAATATGCTTCCAACTTTCAAATGGAGGCCAAATCAGGGAAACTAGAGGCTCCAAAAGTTGGGGATTGTAAAAAAAAAAATTATGATAAAAGATCATGAAACAGTTTCTGATTAAAAAGTTGAATCCAGTGGGCTGTCGTTACACGGAATCTGAGTTGATGGAAGTAAAGACGGCTGGGCTAAGTGCTGACTGCAATGTCTCTTAAAATGCTATGGTAAGAGAAACAGATGAACTCTACTTCATCTGCTCCATGACCGTGCCGTCTGAAAGAACTACATTAAACAGGATATGGATAACACGAATCTTGTCACTTAAAAGTAAATGTCTCGAAAGATTTTACCGATGTATAGATTGATTGGTTGGTGTCTCATCAGTCATATATGTCATTGATTGGTGTTTTTATCGGTGAAATCTGTCATTGGTTGGTGTTTTATCAATCAAATCTGTCATTGACCAGAGCTAGAAACATGGTTTATAATAGCGATATCTAAAGGCTTGTATCAACAGCAACCACTGCCTTATATGATAGTTCTAAATCCTAATCAAACATGTTCCTTGACCCCACTAACGTGTTCCTTGACCCCACAACAATGTGACTTGAGTAAAAGCTTATAATAAATGGGGTCTAAGAAAAAAATTAGATTTGTATTAAAAATTAATATGGCTTGCAAAAACAGTGATTTGTTATAAATAAGTGTAACAATAGAATAATTGCTAATTTGTTTATTCATGTTACTTAAAATTTGTATATCAAACTTTTGTATCAACTTCTGAAAACTTTAAAATCATCCAGACTCACTCTCCCTCAATCATCCGGTTTCAGTTCTCCAATCATTCAGTCTAACTCTCCCTCAATCATCACATCCATCCTTCAATCATCTGGTCTTTCTCCAATTATTCAGTCTTACTCTCATTCAATCATCACATCCATCCTTCAATCATCTGGTCATTCTCCAATCATTCAGTCTAACTCTCCCTCAATCATAACATCCATCCTTCAATCATCTGGGCTCTCAAACATCCAATCTGAATCTGCTCCTAAGTCCTAATGTCTCAAATCTCTTCAAAGGGGCTCCACATTTTTTCAAACTGCACAACTTTTGAGTCAAATTTCTTCAGTCGCCCAGGGTTAAGTTAGCCGTCCAATCAAAAGGTCTCCACATTTTTTCAAACTCCAGAACCTTCTGTCGCTGGTCCTCAAAGCTTTGCTTGTGTGGGTGTCTCCACAGTGTGGGCTCGGCATCCAACATTCCACCAACAATTTCCTGTACGTGACAAATGTTGGTTATTGTATGGCTAACAACTTGTATCACAACAGTCAGTACAAATGTTGGTTATTGTATGACTAACAACTTGTATCACAACAGTCAGTACAAATGTTGGTTATTGTATGGCTAACAACTTGTATCACAACAGTCAGTACAAATGTTGGTTATTGTATGGCTAACAACTTGCATCACAACAGTCAGTACAAATGTTGGTTATTGTATGGCTAACAACTTGTATCACAACAGTCAGTACAAATGTTGGTTATTGTATGGCTAACAACTTGTATCACACCAGTCAGTACAAATGTTGGTTATTGTATGGCTAACAACTTGTATCACAACAGTGGGTCACATTTTCACACCTCCATTAGCCAACAAACTTATTTGTCTGGGACTAAATTGTTAGAGACTTGACTTATGAACTATTTCAACAACCTTCACAGGGGAGACAACTTTAATAAATACAATCAGCAGTTAAAGGGATGCCAGGGGCAGGCAACTATTCTGGTTCAAACCTGTAAACATCCATTTCACTTACCCTTCCAAAATATGCTGTGAATTTGGCCTCGTCCTCAATAACTGTAGCGTATCCCCCGTCTAGACCAAAATCTACACTAAAATATGGGAAACCTTTTGGTATCTGGAGAGAGAAAATATGTGTGTTAAAGGGCAGGTTCACACATCTATTAGAGCATTTCTTGCTTCTGGTGCAACCAAGCAATTGGTCAAGTTTTAAGCACTTGATTTATTCTAAACTTTTAAATGTCCACAACAATGTACTGACCACATGTCTAACAATGAACTTAAAAACTGTACTGACCACATGTCTGACCAACAATAAACTTAAAAACTGTACTGACCACATGTCTAACAATAAACTTAAAAACTGTACTGACCACATGTCTAACAATAAACTTAAAAACTGTACTCACCACATGTCTAACAATAAACTTAAAAACTGTACTGACCACATGTCTAACAATGAACTTAAAAACTGTACTGACCACATGTCTGACCAACAATGAACTAAAAAACTGTACTAACCACAAGCCTAACAATGAACTAAAAAACTGTACTGACTACATGTCTGACCAACAATAAACTTATAAACTGTTCTGACCACATGACCAACAATAAACTTAAAAACTGTACTGACCACATGTCTAACAATGAACTTAAAAACTGTACTGACCACATGTCTGACCAACAATGAACTAAAAAACTGTACTAACCACAAGCCTAACAATGAACTAAAAAACTGTACTGACCACATGTCTGACCAACAATAAACTTAAAAACTGTACTGACCACATGTCTGACCAACAATAAACTTAAAAACTGTTCTGACCACATGTCTAACAATGAACTAAAAAACTGTACTGACCACATGTCTAACAATGAACTAAAAAACTGTACTGACCACATGTCTAACAATGAACTAAAAAACTGTACTGACCACATGTCTAACAATAAACTAAAAAACTGTACTGACAATATGTCTGACCAACAATAAACTTAAAAACTGTACTGACCACATGTCTAACAATAAACTTAAAAACTGTACTGACCACATGTCTGACCAACAATAAACTTAAAAACTGTACTGACCACATGTCTGACCAACAATGAACTTAAAAACTGTACTGACCACATGTCTGACCAACAATGAACTTAAAAACTGTACTGACCACATGTCTGACCAACAATAAACTTAAAAACTGTTCTGACCACATGTCTAACAATGAACTAAAAAACTGTACTGACCACATGTCTAACAATGAACTAAAAAACTGTACTGACCACATGTCTAACAATGAACTAAAAAACTGTACTGACCACATGACCAACAATAAACTTAAAAACTGTACTGACCACATGTCTAACAATAAACTTAAAAACTGTACTGACCACATGTCTAACAATGAACTTAAAAACTGTACTGACCACATGTCTGACCAACAATGAACTTAAAAACTGTACTGACCACATGTCTAACAATAAACTTAAAAACTGTACTGACCACATGACTAACAATGAACTAAAAAACTGTACTGACCACATGTCTAACAATAAACTAAAAAACTGTACTGACCACATGTCTGACCAACAATAAACTTAAAAACTGTACTGACCACATGTCTAACAATGAACTTAAAAACTGTACTGACCACATGTCTAACAATGAACTAAAAAACTGTACTGACCACATGTCTAACAATAAACTTAAAAACTGTACTGACCACATGACTAACAATGAACTAAAAAACTGTACTGACCACATGTCTGACCAACAATAAACTTAAAAACTGTACTGACCACATGTCTAACAATAAACTTAAAAACTGTACTGACCACATGTCTAACAATAAACTTAAAAACTGTACTGACCACATGTCTGACCAACAATAAACTTAAAAACTGTACTGACCACATGTCTGACCAACAATGAACTTAAAAACTGTACTGACCACATGTCTAACAATGAACTAAAAAACTGTACTGACCACATGTCTAACAATGAACTTAAAAACTGTACTGACCACATGACTAACAATAAACTTAAAAACTGTACTGACCACATGTCTAACAATAAACTTAAAAACTGTACTGACCACATGTCTAACAATAAACTTAAAAACTGTACTGACCACATGTCTGACCAACAATAAACTTAAAAACTGTACTGACCACATGTCTGACCAACAATGAACTAAAAAACTGTACTAACCACAAGCCTAACAATGAACTAAAAAACTGTACTGACCACATGTCTGACCAACAATAAACTTAAAAACTGTACTGACCACATGTCTGACCAACAATAAACTTAAAAACTGTTCTGACCACATGTCTGACCAACAATAAACTTAAAAACTGTTCTGACCACATGTCTGACCAACAATGAACTAAAAAACTGTACTGACCACATGTCTAACAATAAACGTAAAAACTGTACTGACCACATGTCTAACAATAAACTTATAAACTGTTCTGACCACATGACCAACAATAAACTTAAAAACTGTACTGACCACATGTCTAACAATAAACTTAAAAACTGTACTGACCACATGTCTAACAATAAACTTAAAAACTGTACTGACCACATGACTAACAATAAACTTAAAAACTGTACTGACCACATGTCTAACAATAAACTTAAAAACTGTACTGACCACATGTCTAACAATAAACTTAAAAACTGTACTGACCACATGTCTAACAATAAACTTAAAAACTGTACTGACCACATGTCTAACAATAAACTTAAAAACTGTACTGACCACATGTCTAACAATAAACTTAAAAACTGTACTGACCACATGTCTAACAATAAACTTAAAAACTGTACTGACCACATGTCTAACAATAAACTTAAAAACTGTACTGACCACATGTCTAACAATAAACTTAAAAACTGTACTGACCACATATCTAACAACAAACTAAAAAACTGTACTGACCACATGTCTGACCAACAATAAACTTAAAAACTGTACTGACCACATGTCTAACAATAAACTTAAAAACTGTACTGACCACATGTCTAACAATAAACTTAAAAACTGTACTGACCACATGTCTGACCAACAATAAACTTAAAAACTGTACTGACCACATATCTAACAATAAACGTAAAAACTGTACTGACCACATGTCTAACAATAAACTTAAAAACTGTACTGACCACATGTCTAACAATAAACTTAAAAACTGTACTGACCACATGTCTGACCAACAATGAACTTAAAAACTGTACTGACCACATGTCTAACAATAAACTTAAAAACTGTACTGACCACATGACTAACAATGAACTAAAAAACTGTACTGACCACATGACTAACAATGAACTAAAAAACTGTACTGACCACATGTCTGACCAACAATGAACTTAAAAACTGTACTGACCACATGTCTAACAATAAACGTAAAAACTGTACTGACCACATGTCTAACAATAAACTTAAAAACTGTACTGACCACATGTCTGACCAACAATGAACTTAAAAACTGTACTGACCACATGTCTAACAATAAACTTAAAAACTGTACTGACCACATGTCTAACAATGAACTTAAAAACTGTACTGACCACATGACTAACAATGCACTAAAAAACTGTACTGACCACATGTCTGACCAACAATGAACTTAAAAACTGTACTGACCACATGTCTAACAATAAACTTAAAAACTGTACTGACCACATGACTAACAATGAACTAAAAAACTGTACTGACCACATGTCTAACAATAAACGTAAAAACTGTACTGACCACATGTCTAACAATAAACTTAAAAACTGTTCTGACCACATGTCTGACCAACAATAAACTTAAAAACTGTACTGACCACATGTCTGACCAACAATGAACTTAAAAACTGTACTGACCACATGTCTAACAATAAACTTAAAAACTGTACTGACCACATGTCTAACAATAAACTTAAAAACTGTACTGACCACATGTCTAACAATAAACTTAAAAACTGTACTGACCACATGTCTAACAATAAACTTAAAAACTGTACTGACCACATGACTAACAATGAACTAAAAAACTGTACTGACCACATGTCTGACCAACAATGAACTTAAAAACTGTACTGACCACATGTCTAACAATAAACTTAAAAACTGTACTGACCACATGACTAACAATGAACTAAAAAACTGTACTGACCACATGTCTAACAATAAACTTAAAAACTGTACTGACCACATGTCTAACAATAAACTTAAAAACTGTACTGACCACATGTCTAACAATAAACGTAAAAACTGTACTGACCACATGCCTAACAATAAACTTAAAAACTGTACTGACCACATGTCTAACAATAAACTTAAAAACTGTACTGACCACATGTCTAACAATAAACTTAAAAACTGTACTGACCACATGACTAACAATGAACTTAAAAACTGTACTGACCACATGTCTGACCAACAATAAACTTAAAAACTGTACTGACCACATGTCTGACCAACAATGAACTTAAAAACTGTACTGACCACATGTCTAACAATAAACTTAAAAACTGTTCTGACCACATGACCAACAATAAACTTAAAAACTGTACTGACCACATGTCTAACAATGAACTTAAAAACTGTACTGACCACATGTCTGACCAACAATGAACTTAAAAACTGTACTGACCACATGTCTAACAATAAACGTAAAAACTGTACTGACCACATGACTAACAATAAACTTAAAAACTGTACTGACCACATGTCTAACAATAAACTTAAAAACTGTACTGACCACATGTCTAACAATGAACTTAAAAACTGTACTGACCACATGTCTGACATCTTTCTGTCTGAGACTGTGAAGTTTTTTGTTGTCTGACCACTCAGGGCCTGCCTCTTGGATGGCTTTCTGAAGGTTCAAACATTGATCACATTAGGAACACGACAAACTTTTCATAATGACACAGACAGAAATAAGAAAATTATTTATATTTAGTGAATAAAAGATTATAGTACAAGTTAAAGTTTAAACATTTATGAATGGGATGGATTTTTGAAAAAGTATAGTTTAAAACAGGGGTCTCCAAACTACGGCCCGCGAGGTCCTCTTATCCGGCCCGCGGAGATCTTTTTGTCCACAGAAAAAAAGTTTGTTGGTGATGGCTGAGGAACTTTGCCCAGAAAAATCAAAGACATGCCTGGAAGAAACTGGCCCCCAAACTGAAATTTGATAGTTAATGCGGCCCTCGGGCTGAAAAGTTTGGAGACCCCTGGTTTAAAACATGGATAGATCAAAACAAATTGAGTCTAGGCTAACAAGTACAGTAAATCATGTTAGTAGGAGAATAAAATGATGTTGGTAGGAGAATAAGATGATGTTGGTAGGAGAATAAGATGATGTTGGTAGGAAAATAAGATGATGTTGGTAGTAGATTAAGATGATGTTGGTAGGAGAATAAGATGATGTTGGTAGGAGAATAAGATGATGTTAGTAGAAGAATAAGATGATGTTGGTAGTAGAATAAGATGATGTTGGTAGGAGAATAAGATGATGTTAGTAGAAGAATAAGATGATGTTGGTAGGAGAATAAGATGATGTTGGTAGTAGAATAAGATGATGTTGGTAGGAGAATAAAATGATGTTGGTAGGAGAATAAGATGATGGTTTATTACTTTAAAATAAATGGGAGCTAAATCTCCCAGCTCCTTATCCAATGGGATACATTCAAACGCTGTGTGGGGGAAGTGTTTCAGGTGCATCACAGTTTCCATGACAACAACATCTTGGCCTTGTGAGGTGAACATCTGGACTAGACTTTTTCTAAACGTCTGCCATGAATGGAGGGAAAAAGTATTTTACATGTAACTTTTTCTAAATTTCTTGGTTTGGCATGAAAGGGAGGGAAAAAATATTTTACTTGTAACTTTCTAAACGTCTAGGTTTGGCATGAAAGGGAGGGAATAAATATTTTACACGTAACTTGTTTAAGGACATGAGAATTTGAAAGAAAGTAAATTGTAGAATTAAGTTCCATCTAACAAAGTATGAGGACAAGTGTACCTGCATCTCCCGCCAGACATCTTCATCCATGCTTGTAGCAGATGACACATGGTGAATAGGGACAACAAAACAGTGGCCCTCTGTCAAGGAGCGGTGGGGAGGCAAGCACAGATAACTCTGTATAAAAGTTCAATTTCAGGAATTTACAAATGATTAGCATGAAAAATCCTTTATACTAGCAGATAACTATGAGAACCTATCTACGAAAAAAGTGTAACATTTTATTCTGTGGCATATTGACATGAATAGGGCTTGACACAAGATTTTTTCTCTTATAAACAAAGTGACTCACCTTTGACCCTATGGCAATGATGAGGTGTTTGGGAACCTTCTTGAGGCACCTGGTACACTTGTCCATGGCTGAGCTCATCTTCTTGTGTTCTGCAACAGTGTTGTTTGTAGTTTAACTTGTGCAGTCATAATTTTTTTTTTTTTTTTTTTTTTTTTAACTTTTCCAGTCGTATATATTTTTTTACTTTAACATGACTTTGACCATTTAAGCTGAAATATTTTTAGTTGACAAAGGAAGTTACCAAAAATAGCAGCAGCCTTGTCCCTTGTAGCAGCTTGCTCAGCGTGTTGTTTGATGGCAGCTTTTGTCAGGAAAATGTCGTCAACATCCATGTCTTTGTCATGTGACTAGACAAGTTAAAGCAAATATTTTAATCATCAACATCCATGTCTTTGTCATGTGACTAGACAAGTTAAAGCAAATATTTTAATCATCAACATCCATGTCTTTGTCATGTGACTAGACAAGTTAAAGCAAATATTTTAATCATCAACATCCATGTCTTTGTCATGTGACTAGACAAGTTAAAGAAAATATTTTAATCATCAACATCCATGTCTTTGTCATGTGACTAGATTTTATCATGTGACTAGACAAGTTAAAGCAAATATTTTAATCATCAACATCCATGTCTTTGTCATGTGACTAGATTTTGTCATGTGACTAGACAAGTTAAAGCAAATATTTTAATCATCAACATCCATGTCTTTGTCGTGTGACTAGATTTTGTCATGTGACTAGACAAGTTAAAGCAAATATTTTAATCATCAACATCCATGTCTTTGTCGTGTGACTAGATTTTGTCATGTGACTAGACAAGTTAAAGCAAATATTTTAATCATCAACATCCATGTCTTTGTCATGTGACTAGATTTTGTCATGTGACTTGACAAGTTAAAGCAAATATTTTAATCATCAACATCCATGTTTTTGTCATGTGACTAGATTTTATCATGTGACTAAACAAGGGCAAATATAAAACAAAAAAAAATTAATAAAACAATCTAGACTAGCTGACCTATCATAAGTTCTAGTACTTACCCTACCAGCCAACCTGGCAAACATAGAATTCTGATCTTCTGCTGTGCCAGCTTTTTCCCTCTCAACCTGAAGATATGTCAAATAAGTGTTAGCTTAGAGCGATTGTATCTGGCTAAAGTACACAAGTAACCTGAGAACTATGCAGCAGCTATAAGTGTTAGCTTGGAGAAAGTGTATCTGGCTAAAGTACACAAGTAACCTGAGAACTATGCACCAGCTATAAGTGTTAGCTTGGAGCAATTGTATCTGGCTAAAGTACACAAGAAACCTGAGAACTATGCAGCAGTTATAGGTGTTAGCTTGGAGAAATTGTATCTGGCTAAAGTACACAAGTAACCTGAGAACTATGCAGCAGCTATAAGTGTTAGCTTGGAGAAATTGTATCTGGCTAAAGTACACAAGTAACCTGAGAACTACGCAGCAGCTATAAGTGTTAGCTTGGAGAAATTGTATCTGGCTAAAGTACACAAGTAACCTGAGAACAACGCAGCAGCTATAAGTGTTAGCTTGGAGAAATTGTATCTGGCTAAAGTACACAAGTAACCTGAGAACTATGCAGCAGCTATAAGTGTTAGCTTGGAGAAATTGTACCTGGCTAAAGTACACAAGTAACCTGAGAACTATGCACCAGCTATAAGTGTTAGCTTGGAGAAAGTGTATCTGGCTAAAGTACACAAGTAACCTGAGAACTATGCACCAGCTATAAGTGTTAGCTTGGAGAAATTGTATCTGGCTAAAGTACACAAGAAACCTGAGAACTATGCAGCAGTTATAGGTGTTAGCTTGGAGAAATTGTATCTGGCTAAAGTACACAAGTAACCTGAGAACTATGCAGCAGTTATAGGTGTTAGCTTGGAGAAATTGTATCTGGCTAAAGTACACAAGTAACCTGAGAACTATGCAGCAGCTATAAGTGTTAGCTTGGAGAAATTGTATCTGGCTAAAGTACACAAGTAACCTGAGAACTACGCAGCAGCTATAAGTGTTAGCTTGGAGAAATTGTATCTGGCTAAAGTACACAAGTAACCTGAGAACAACGCAGCAGCTATAAGTGTTAGCTTGGAGAAATTGTATCTGGCTAAAGTACACAAGTAACCTGAGAACTATGCAGCAGCTATAAGTGTTAGCTTGGAGAAATTGTACCTGGCTAAAGTACACAAGTAACCTGAGAACTATGCACCAGCTATAAGTGTTAGCTTGGAGAAAGTGTATCTGGCTAAAGTACACAAGTAACCTGAGAACTATGCACCAGCTATAAGTGTTAGCTTGGAGAAATTGTATCTGGCTAAAGTACACAAGAAACCTGAGAACTATGCAGCAGTTATAGGTGTTAGCTTGGAGAAATTGTATCTGGCTAAAGTACACAAGTAACCTGAGAACTACGCAGCAGCTATAAGTGTTAGCTTGGAGAAATTGTACCTGGCTAAAGTACACAAGTAACCTGAGAACTATGCACCAGCTATAAGTGTTAGCTTGGAGAAAGTGTATCTGGCTAAAGTACACAAGAAACCTGAGAACTATGCAGCAGTTATAGGTGTTAGCTTGGAGAAATTGTACCTGGCTAAAGTACACAAGAAACCTGAGAACTATGCAGCAGTTATAAGTGTTAGCTTGGAGAAATTGTATCTGGCTAAAGTACACAAGTAACCTGAGAACTATGCAGCAGCTATAAGTGTTAGCTTGGAGCAATTGTATCTGGCTAAAGTACACAAGTAACCTGAGAACTATGCACCAGCTATAAGTGTTAGCTTGGAGCAATTGTATCTGGCTAAAGTACACAAGTAACCTGAGAACTATGCAGCAGCTATAAGTGTTAGCTTGGAGAAATTGTATCTGGCTAAAGTACACAAGTAACCTGAGAACTATGCAGCAGCTATAAGTGTTAGCTTGGAGAAATTGTATCTGGCTAAAGTACACAAGAAACCTGAGAACTTTGCAGCAGCTACTCACCAAAGTCTTGAGGTCAAACTGGTCATCATTATCAAAATAAATTGTCCTGTCCCCTGTCATACTGTGTGTGGGTACCTGGTGGACATACAACATTGGCTATATAGAGGAGGTGGACATACAACATTAGCTATATAGAGGTGGACATACAACATTAGCTATATAGAGGAGGTGGACATACAACATTAGCTATATAGAGGAGGTGGACATACAACATTGGCTATATAGAGGAGGTGGACATACAACATTAGCTATATAGAGGAGGTGGACATACAACATTAGCTATATAGAGGAGGTGGACATACAACATTAGCTATATAGAGGAGGTGGACATACAACATTAGCTATATAGAGGAGGTGGACATACAACATTAGCTATATAGAGGAGGTGGACATACAACATTAGCTATATAGAGGAGGTGGACATACAACATTAGCTATATAGAGGAGGTGGACATACAACATTAGCTATATAGAGGTGGACATACAACATTAGCTATATAGAGGAGGTGGACATACAACATTAGCTATATAGGAGGTGGACATACAACATTAGCTATATAGAGGAGATGGACATACAACATTAGCTATATAGAAGTGGACATACAACATTAGCTATATAGAGGAGATAGACATACAACATTAGCTATATATAGGAGATGGACATACAACATTAGCTATATAGAGGAGGTGGACATACAACATTAGCTATATAGAGGAGGTGGACATACAACATTAGCTATATAGAGGAGGTGGACATACAACATTAGCTATATAGGGGAGGTGGACATACAACATTAGCTATATAGAGGAGGTGGACATACAACATTAGGTATATAGAGGAGGTGGACATACAACATTAGCTATATAGAGGAGGTGGACATACAACATTAGCTATATAGAGGAGGTGGACATACAACATTAGCTAGATAGAGGAGGTGGACATACAACACTAGCTGCATCCCGTGCTCCGCCACGGTAAATCTTTTTTAAATGTACCAACTTTGGAACAGAACAAAACAAACAAAAACAACACAAACACAAAAAACACAACCACAAACACAACACAACCACAACACAACCACAACACAACCACAACACAACCACAACACAGCCATAACACAACCACAACACAGCCACAACACAACCACAACACAACCACAACACAACCACAACACAACCACAACACAACCACAACACAACCACAACACAACCACAACACAACCACAACACAACCACAAACACAACCACAACCACAACTACAACACAACCACAACAAAAACACAACCACAACAAAAACACAACCACAACACAGCCACAACACAACCACAACACAACCACAACACAACCAAAAATCAACCACAACACAACCACAACACAACCACAACACAACCAAAAAACAACCACAACACAACCAAAAAACAACCACAACACAACCACAACACAACCAAAAAAAAAAACAACACAACCACAACATTAGAATCACCACCAAACAACACGCTTTTTTAGGCGTCCGCGCCCAAAGAGAGCCTTTCCAACATTAAAAATTTAAGTCACATAAATAGATCCTACTCCATAACTTACAATAAAACAATGCGATGCAAATGAATGTACGGCAAGTGGTGTTTACTTTTATGCTTCTAAGAAAACACATTGGCAATGTAATTAGAATAACCACCGAAAAACACGCTTTTCCCAGGCGTCCGCGCCTAGAGAGAGTCTTTCCAGCATTCTCTATACTATAATTATAAAATTTCACCATCTGTTAACACCAAAAAACAAAAACAAAAAATAGTGATTTTGAGAAATCATAGACTAATTAGAAAATAATATAAATAATCTTAACATTTTTCTCTTTTAATTATGAACCTTAACATAGACTAATCAATGCGGTAGTAATAAAAAAAAGATTAACTTAAATTATTGTTGAGTTAAATATATTTTTAAATTACCTCCCTTGAAAAAATTACCACAAAAAAAAAGTTGAATTAATTAGTTTTTTCGACCTACTTTTATGGAAATGTATCCATTTTTTCTAGGAATATAAACTAAAATGATATTTGACATTGATTTTTTTAATATGTTTTAGCAATGTGCGAATATTCAATATTTTCATAACGTTATGCAAAAAAGTAAACACAGTGGCATTTATAAAATAGCTCTATGCCGTTATATAAACGAACCCTACTCTATTACTTATAATAAGACACGGCGGTGCACTGAAAAGCACAGCATGGTGCGAATGTTTACTTTTATGGTTCCGAAAGCTATAGCGATGACAGAAGGAAGGAAGGAAGGAAGGACTGACACACGCTCAGCCCGCTTATATTATAGATTAGCTATATAGAGGTGGACATACAACATTAGCTATATAGAGGAGGTGGACATACAACATTTGCTATATAGAGGAGGTGGACATACAACATTAGCTATATAGAGGAGGTGGACATACAACATTAGCTATATAGAGGAGGTGGACATACAACATTAGCTATATAGAGGAGATGGACATACAACATTAGCTATATAGAGGTGGACATACAACATTAGCTATATAGAGGAGGTGGACATACAACATTAGCTATATAGAGGAGGTGGAGGTGGACATACAACATTAGCTATATAGTGGAGGTGGACATACAACATTAGCTATATAGTGGAGGTGGACATACAACATTAGCAATATAGAGGAGGTGGACATACAACATTAGCTATATAGGGGAGGTGGACATACAACATTAGCTATATAGGGGAGGTGGACATACAACTTTAGCTATATAGAGGAGGTGGACATACAACATTAGCTATATAGAGGAGGTGGACATACAACATTAGCTATATAGAGGAGGTGGACATACAACATTAGCTATATAGAGGAGGTGGACATACAACATTAGCTATATAGGGGAGGTGGACATACAACATTAGCTATATAGAGGAGGTGGACATACAACATTAGCTATATAGAGGAGGTGGACATACAACATTAGCTATATAGAGGAGGTGGACATAGAACATTAGCTATATAGAGGAGGTGGACATACAACATTAGCTATATAGGGGAGGTGGACATACAACATTAGCTATATAGAGGAGATGGACATACAACATTAGCTATATAGAGGAGGTGGACATACAACATTAGCTATATAGAGGAGGTGGACATACAACATTAGCTATATAGAGGAGGTGGACATACAACATTAGCTATATAGAGGAGGTGGACATACAACATTAGCTATATAGAGGAGGTGGACATACAACATTAGCTATATAGAGGAGGTGGACATACAACATTAGCTATATAGAGGAGGTGGACATACAACATTAGCTATATAGAGGATGTAGAGGAAAGGAAATACTTGATATATGTTGTACACAACCCATAAATAGCACAAAAATACCAACAACCCAGAAACACCACACAAACACTAACAAACAACAAAACAACACAAATACTAACAACCCACAAACACCACACAAACACAAACACCTTAAAAACAGCACAAAAATTCTAACAACTCACAAACACCACATAAATACCAACACCCCAGTACAACTATCCCCATATCACACAAACAAATTCTGACAGTACTTACAGTCTTCTTGCGTTTTTTCCCACTTGGGCCCCCCCACTGTTCACCAGATCCAGCGACCGGCCTGACCAGTCCTCCCTTGCTTGTCCGAGACAGAACAACCACGTTGTCCTCCTCTCCTTCCTCCTTGTGAGCCCTGGTCTTCCTCTCCCCACCCTGCTCCTTCCTTCTGTGACAGAAATCTGCCTGCTTCTCTCCCCCAGATTTTGAAGCTTCTCTCTGTTTTCTGGCATTTTCTAATTTCTCCTTCAGTTCTGCAGCTAAATCCTGACACAGTATTTCACAAATGTTAATTCAAAAATAAATTAAATTAGTGTTTAGGTAAAACCATAAAAGACCTTTTAATGTAAACAACTGGCATTAAATGAGCACACAGATAATAACTCACATTTTCTCCCATGATCTCAGCTCTTAAAATCTTTGCCGCCAATTCATTCAATTCTTCTTCACTTAAGATCTTTGCTGGTTCCTCGTGTTTCTTTTCTTCCTCTGATTCAGAAGAGCTCGCAGAACAAGCACTGTCATCTAAAATAAATGATTTACGTTTTTATTCCATGATTTTTTTTGTTGCAAACTTTGAATATTAATGTGAATTAAAAAAGGCACTAACTAGTCAGTATTCACTACAACAATTTGTGTAGTTTTTTGTTAAAAACTTGAACACTAACCTGAAGCAGATGAACTGGTAGATTTTCTTCTGATGTTCACCTTTTCAGCTTTCTTCTTCTCTTCTGTAGGCTGTTCTCTGACTGGCTGCACCACTGGCTTCTTCTTCCACGCAGGAGTGTCATCACCTGACTTCCCTCTACCCCCTTCACCACCTGACCTGCCTCTACCTCTATAAGAATCCTCTTCAGCATCTGAGGGTCTCACAAAGCCTTCTCTTCTATAAGAGTTGCGTCCAGGTGAAGACCTCTTCCTATGATCAGAATGGGAATTTTTTACATCCTCATCACTGTCAGATCCAGCAGGGAGACGAAAGCCAGACCTTTTGTCAGCTTTACCTTTATCAAAATCAGAAGCAGGGCGACGAAAGCCAGACCGTCTGGTATCTTTATCATCCTCATTATCAGATCCAGGGCGACGAAACCCAGATCTTCTATTATCTTTATCCTCATTATGATCAGAAGCAGGGCGACGAAAGCCAGGCCTTCTATTATTTTTATCCTCATCACTACCAGATCCAGGACGACGAAAGCCAGTTCTTCTATTATCTTTATCCTCATCACTACCAGATCCAGGACGACGAAAGCCAGTTCTTCTATTATCTTTATCCTCATCACTACCAGATCCAGGACGACGAAAGCCAGGCCTTCTATTATTTTTATCCTCATCACTACCAGATCCAGGACGACGAAAGCCAGATCTTCTATTATCCTTATCCTCATCACTATCAGATCCAGGACGACGAAAACCAGATCTTCTGTTATCTTTATCCTCATGTCTAGGCTGATCTCTGTGTGAATACCTGGAGTCACGATTTTGCTTTTCTGATGGATCATCCCTACGGCTTGTACCCATCTTTTCTTGAGTTCTGTCCATTTCATATTTCCTTGGCTCCTTTCTGCCCTCTATTCTGTCTCTGTTATCTTTCCTTTGAGCAACATCTTTTTGTTTCTTTTCTGCTTCCTCCAACATAGATTCAAGCTTTTTAAGAGACTGAAATATATAGAGAATAAAAAGTTGAGAAATTCATACATTCTATTGGATAATTTTACAAACTTTTAAAATGTATTGCACCCACTCACCCCCACCTCTCAGCTACCACTCCCCCCACCTCTCAGCTGCCACTAACCCCCCCCCCACCTCTCAGCTGCCACTTACCCCCCCCCCCCACCCACCTCTCAGCTGCCACTTACCCCCCCCCCCCCCACCCACCTCTCAGCTGCCACTTACCCCCCACCTCTCAGCTGCCACTTACCCCCCCCCCACCCACCTCTCAGCTGCCACTTACCCCCCACCTCTCAGCTGCCACTTACCCCCCACCTCTCAGCTGCCACTTACCCCCCACCTCTCAGCTGCCACTTCCTCTAAGCTCCTTCCTTCATCCTCAGCTTGCTGCTTACACCTACTGTAGGCTTTCCTTAACCAGGCAACTCCACCATCACCTGTGCCACTAGATGGCACCTTCACATCTTGACGACTATCTGGGAGACCTGTGCCACCATCTTTCCAGTAGGGGTTTAGTTCACGTACATGCCGGCCTGGCTTGAAAAAAATATCAAACTAAAATAAGTAAATACAGCTTTCTAAGAGCACTACACACAGCAGGGTTGTGTGGTTTAACTTATATTAGCATACAATTGCACTTACAAACAGTTATTAGTTCAGACCTTGCAACTATCTTATTTCTTGTAACTTATTACTAAAACAAAATGATTGTTATATTTCTTCAATCCTGATCAGAAATAACACTTTAAAAACATACCTTTTATTTACAGTAACATGAAACTGGTTTCTACTATATAGACCCTGTAAGTGATATCTTAGCTGTAGGTAATAAAATCGTTCTGTTACTAGCACTTTTAAAATGCAAACTAAATTCTGGAATCTTTACCTGTGTTAATTTTTCAACCTCCCTTCTGGCTTCTTCTTTGTCTTTCAAAATGGCATTTCGAATTTCTTGCCTAGAGGTGGTTGGTATCAGGTTAATTGGGGCTTCCATCCAGCTTTCACGCTAATGAAAATAGATTTCTAAACCATTAATTTTTACACATGATGTAAAACAACTAAATCATCAACTAAGTATTCAAACACGAGAATCATGATCTAAGAAACAAATAAAACTGATTTACTTGGAGTTGAGGTCCTTTAACTGAAGCAGGTCCATGGTTGGACTTGGAAACTTCTGTCCAAACTTCACCTTCACTTGCATTCTTTAAAAAAAAAATTCTCTTCATATTTTAATTTTTCCTTCAGTAAAATTTATTTTTTTTACTTTACTTAATTAAAATTTTATACTAAAAAACATTATACTGACCTAAAAGTTATTTAATTGTTATAATTTAAATAAAGTTATAATCTGGTGAACTTAATGCTAAAATTACATTAAATACATACACTATCATTTGATGCTGAACTTGATCGTTTTTTCTTTTTCTTTTTTGCTTTCTTCACTTTTTTCTTTTTTTCTTTTTCCACTTCCTGAATTACAATTTACAAAATCAATTTTTCTAATTATTTTTTTGAATAATTAATAAAATAAATTTTCAGTATTTTCACAGCCCAAAGTAGTAGGCCAATAGAAAATGGTAATAAAACCTAACATATATATAACTCATAGCTTAAACTACTAAAAGAAGAACAGTTTTTTGTTTTTGTTTCTGGCTTAAATTTTTGACAAAATGGTAACTTTTGTGATGTAGTCAAGTTGTGTAGTTTAAGTAATACTTTGCTGGTAGATCTAGTACTTGCCATTCCAAACTCTAGCCCAAACTAACAGCAAAAACAGCACACAAAAAACTCAATACAATAATGTGTTGCCAAGCCCTGTTACAGTTGCAGCAAATATAAAAGATAGGCAGTCCCAAATAAATTTTTTAATTTAATATTTATATTGCACTTTTCAATATAAAAATGACAGAAAAATGCAACCTGCCTTTTCTTCTTTATCAATGCGCTGTGTGACTGAATCAAGCATCCATGTTCCTTCACCTAATTTTCTTGCCCTTTCTTTCTTTGCCTCAGAGATTTCATATTTCTTTTTGGCCTTTTTTTTAAAAACACATTACAAATAGGTTTAATTAATATCAGCTAAATAAATAAACATAGGGCCCTAGCCTATTAAATATTTTATTACATTCTGAAAATAAGAAGCTTTCATTAGTAAGTGACTAAGTCAAAGCCAAAACTTTATAAGACTTTAGACTTTAGAGTTTAGAGTTTAGTTAGATAGAGTTAAGAGTTTTAATTAGGCTTTTTTTTACAGTATAGTACCATAGGCCCTTTAGCATATATTATCGGTAATCTATCGTTTTGGGTACGTAAAATCGCCCGCGGCTAGTAATGTACGAAAAAGTCACCTCATTGTCAAGGCTTTAATAGAAGTATATTTTGATATATTTGTGTCAAATATTATAGATAAATGAATAAATAACCTAAATCAATAGCTAAATATATCAATATAGGCAAAAAATTAACTTTTAACAGCAGTGTTTGCGAGCAGGATTTCCTATATAAACAGCAGCCATTTGTAAAATAGAGTTGCCTTCCCCTGATCTCGCGCTATAAGTTAACAAAGAAAGAACTTAAACAAGATGGCTGCTATAGTAAATGAGCATGGTTGCATCTGTTGGAAACATCGCTAGTATTCATTTATTATTGAAAAGTTTTAATTCAATTGTTTGAAAACAGGTACATAAATGAAACAAGGAAACATTTTTGTATTTTTCAAAACACAAATCCTCCTCAAAATGTGAAATAATTATTAAAATTTAAGGAGTCACCTGTTTTTCACATTACTAGTTGCGGGCGATTTTACGTACCCAAAACGATAGATTATTATTACCGGTCAGAACGTCCCCCCGTCGTGGCCTCAACCAACTGGCGACTTGTTGCATTGAGTTAAATATAAACTCAAAACAATAATAGATCTATAAACAATGTCCTTTCAGTAGGTTAGGCCTAGATCTAGATCTATAATTTATTGATTGTGAGAGTCAGTGAGTGGTCTCACTCAACGCTAGCGCGGCTAGGACATGACGGTAATCTATCGTTTTGGGTACGTAAAATCGCCCGCGGCTATTTATGTACGAAAACGTTACCTCATTGTCAAGGCTTTAATAGAGGTATATTGTCATACTTTTGTGTCAAATATTATAGAAATATAGATAAATGAATAATAAACCTAAATCAATGGCTAAATATATCGATATAGGCCAGAAATTAACTTTAAACAGCAGTGTCTGAGAGCAAGATTTGCTATATAAACAGCAGCCATTTGTAAAATAGAGTGACTTCCCCCTGAATCTGGCGCTAAAAGCTTATAAAAATAAAACTTAGACAAGATGGCTGCTATAGTAAATGAGCATGGTTGCATCTGTAGGAAACATCGCTAGTCTTCATTTATTACGGAAAAGTTTTAATTCAATTGTTTAAAAACAGGTACATAAATGAATCAAGGAAACATTTTTGAATTTTTTAAAACATAAATTCTCCTCAAAATGTGAAATAGTTATTAAAATTTAAGGAGTCACCTGTTTTTCACATTACAAATCGCGGGCGATTTTACGTACCCAAAACGATAGATTACCGACATGACATGAGTTGAGTACGACCCGACCCCAAATCGAAATATTAATAATAATTCGCCAGTACAGTAAATAATACTAGGTGAGTATTACGAACGGATTCAACGACTACTTTTGTACCTGTTCAAGTATTAACTGTCTGGCTTTTTTGTTCTCTTCTTTCTGGGCGTCTAATTCGTACACACTCTGAAAATTTTTGTATTTGTCAGACATGTTTACAGAAAGAAAACTTGCAAGGGACGTTATTCTAAATTTATTTTATAAAAATTTCGCAATTTTAATTTTAATAAACAAATAGCCCCCCCCCCCCCCCCCCCCCCCCCACACACCCCAGTCCTATTTAAATGAATTTAAAATAGACGACTATAATAATAGCCTATATATTATATTTTATATGCTTTATTTAAGTTTTTGTTCTAACAATACTGTTAGAATTTCTGTGTCCAACCAAACCCATATTTTTTCCAGCTACAATTGTTTATCAAGTAGATTATGTTTAAACTTAAAGAGAGGGTTTAGATTAGATCATTAGTCTCTAGGTAGGTAGTGATACAACTACTAGCATAAAAAAGGTTTGTTTTGACCTTTCAGTATTTTATAAGCACCAAATATTATTATTCTTGATATTTTTCACAAGTTTGTATTGTATCTGTAAATTTTATTATATTTTAGGCCTATGGCATATAGTCTTGTTCGATAAGCAATATTGAAAGTGGCAATTATAGGATTGCACAAACAAACATGAAGGAACTAAATACTAACAAAATTAGTTCCAGCCTTATTTATTGCCATAACCCACACTAAAAAGGAATAAATTTCAAATACAATTGAGAGCCGACTTATTAACCAAAATAATTTTTTTACGTTTTCAGTTGTTCTTCCAATATTGAATATGATTCCCCAAATTTTTTTCCAAATTGATTCAAAGTATTTTTTAAAACCTGCTATGTAACAATGAGTCTATAATAAATGATATAAGTAAAAACAGAAGAAAACCATTTATTGACTTGGTGTTTTTATTTGTTTTTTGTACAATTTAATATGTTGTATCAATAAAGAATTTACAATTTTAAAAAAAACAGACAAGGAAAAATATGAAATAATTGATATGTGATGAGTGTGTTATTGACAAAAGACAATAATATAAGAATGTATCTGATATTCAATCACTTGTGCACTGGTATGGGCTATATTGTTGCCAATATAAATAGGGTAAAATGTTTTATTTTGTTTATGTTTAAGAATAAATGCTTTTTCAATATTTAACAGGATAATACAATTAAATGCTTTTATTAGGTTTGGTATCCAGATTTTGAGAAACAAAGCTTGCTGTAAGAAACACATTCGAAACCAAAGCAAATGACCAGACTTAAATATACTTTAAAATATAATACTATTTCATACTTCATTAGCAATTTTTAAACATTAACAAAACAAAGCATCCAACTCTCCATTATGTTAAAATAACTCAGCCTTATGACTATTTGCAGCATTTGGCAACTTCTTTTGTCTCACTGTGTTGACAGTTTCCCTTCTTTTTTAACTTCATTTTCCTACAGTTTTAAAAATTTGTTCTATAGTGTAAAAAATTACAATTATTATAATTTTTTAATTACACCTATACATGATTGGTAAAGGAAAGCTTGCATCAGGTCATCACAGGTTTAGTTTTTAACCAGATTTATTATTTACAATACTTTCTTGAACAGTATAATACATATTACATTCAAATCATTTCCTTCATGTGTTAATGAGGAATGTTTCAATAGCCTACTGTTTTTAATTTGTATTCCTGTTCATGATTTTTATTCTTGTACGAGACAAATAACAGTTTATATTTCTACATTTCAGTGAAAAAAATATTCACTTTAAATGCTAATGTTTACACCTTATCAATATTCAAAATCTTAAACATAATGTTTTTTTTGAAAATCTGTTTTTGCCCCAAGTTTAATATTATTTCTTTTCTTAAAGCATTGTTATTGAGCTAAGAATTTAATGCTGACTTTAAGCTTACTAAAGAAATTGAATTAATTCATTTCTTAATCTGTTGGATGCTTAAAGCAATGGCAATGAGATAGATATCAGCTTGCATAATAAGTTAGTCCATAATTTATTGAAGGACTAATTTTTAAAAAGCGGCAGCACATAAGTGATTATTGTCAAAGTACTATCATTTCAAGGTAGGCAATCCATTGTTTGTTTCTCAATCATCCTGAAATGGACAAAAGTTAAATTTTGTAATATTGGTATTAGCATCACAAGTAATTTTTAAAATTAATTATTTAGTACAGTGTTCCTTCACTTATCAAGGTTGTTTCATGGGAGGCCCGCTCCTTATATCAGTTTCTGTGAAGTAAGAATGCGGTACTTATTTAATAGTTATACTTTGATTTAAGCCTTTAAAATAGCTGATCACACTCACACATAGCCTTCTCCCATTACCATAATAACTTTTCCTTAATAGTACATAAATATTTTAGAAAACTTCTACTAAAACATACTACAGCTAGAATGATGAGATAGAGATTAAATGAATGCCAAGAAACTCTACTACTTCCGCTACAGACAGGTGTGACAGATCTCTATGTACTTGATATAAACAGAGTTATGGGGAGTTGCTGGCTCTGACATGGAAGTGTCAATTGAAAACTGAAAAAAAAAAACTATACTTGAACCCCACTCAATATTCTGCAAGTTGCTAGAGTTCCTAAGACTTTTTGACCACTGTTGCAGGATGTTCAAACATTAGGCCAACCTCCTTTCCTTAATCAACCTATTGTTCTTCTTCCTCATCCTGAACTTGACATGGTCAGCTTCTCCGTGACTTTGTCCACCAATAAACTAACCCTAAAGTAGCGGAAGGAACACTGTACTTTTTAAAAAAAATTATATTGTAAAAAAAAACTGCAATTCACCATGGTAAATGTAACAATTAACAACACATGTTTTCAGGTTGGATAATTTCTTTTTCTTCACCTACCCACTCCTCATCTGCCACTTCTGATTCTTTACTTTCTTGCTGTTCATTCGATGTTGATTTCATCTTCATGATTTTATCTGTCCAATTATCCCCCATTTTTTCATCACCAACAAAGTTTCCTTTTGCAGCTGTAACAGTGTCACATAAGACCAGACTTTCTGAAAACAAATAATACACAAAGAATAAGAACTAACTCTTTTTGCAACAATATTGTTTTACAAAAAAAAAACAATGCATAACATTAAATTAACCAATTTTTTTTCTCAACAATTACTCTTCAGGCAATGAGATTTTAGTAACCACTAATTATAAATACAACATACCAATTAGCGGACTGTTTCCTGCTGTTTTGATTCTAACAAAGGTTTCATTAAGAATTTCTATTTTGTCCCTTTCTTCTTCCTTCAGTAAAAAGTAAATGTCTCCACTAGAATCTTTAGACAAGACATCATTTAACATAGCATTTATTTGTGGATTCTGAGTTAATGACTTGACTTCATCAACTGAAAGTCTGTCTGAACTTCCCTTCTGTCTGACATCTGAAAACAAAATTTGAATGTTGATTTACTGTTCTGACTAAGATGTTTACTGAGAGGGATCAAGCAATAATAAACAATTTTTAATTCCATTTATCATTGTAAACTGTCTTTAATATAATTTTTTTAAAATTTCTAATGGATTGCTACCTAGATTATGCAATCTGCAATAATTTGAAAGTGATTTTTTTTAATTAACGGAATACATACTTAACACCTTAATATTAATAATGATGAGAAGTGATGTTAAATTCTTAAAATTGACTCATAAAATGTGCTGTTTACCATAAGAAGAGTTGAGAAAACCAGTGGACACTTTGGTTGTTTCACTAAAGTTTGGCTCCTGCTCCTTCCCTGTTGCATCAAACTTCCTTTTGTGTGCTTTTTCTATTCTTAGGAACAATATGAAGTACCTCGTCTAAAAATTGTGGAAAGCCAAATTTTAAAGCTTTCAATTTAGACCTAACATATATCCTAAAATTTTAAGTGCAGAAAATATGATTGATCTGACATTAGATTATCTGAAATGTTACCACCATACAAGTATTGGAATTATTATAAAATTTACTTAGGTAAATAACCTTGTCTGACACAGCCCTTTCTTCTGAATTGGAAATGCTAATCCTGGCCTGGCTGATTACTTTACCTTCCAGCAAAACTCCAGGTTTTTCCCTGTAAAATAAAACCAATTACTACATAAATCAACACTGATAACTATGTGAAGCAAAACTTGTATTAGAATTTAAGGGATGTTAATTTATTAACTTACATAGAATGTTTCCAATCCGAATGGTTCCACTGTCCTTTCCATTTCACTGAGTGTAAAGGGAGATTGGTCAGGGGTTTATTATCATACATTCGACTCATGTTGTACTTGTAAGCTTACTCCTACCAAATAAACAATACATGACAATATATATATATCAGTGGCATGGCTAGGTGGGGGTCGCACCATGCAGTGCTTTTACATTGCATTGTCTTATTATAAGTAATAGTGTAGAGTTTTTTTTTATATAACGACTTAAATTTATTTTATAGTTGCCACAGTTTTTAAACTTTCAAATAAATGTGAAGAAAATATTAAATACACACACATTGCAAAAACATTTTAAAGGGATCAATGTCAAATATAATTTTCGTTTAGATTCCTAGAAAAAGTGGATACATTTTCATAGCAGAAGGGTTAAAAAACTAATTAATTAAAATCTTTTAATAGTTATGCCAGGGGAGGTAATTTAAAAATAAATCCAACTCACGCTGATAAAAAAAATGTGAATGCAAAATGCGGACATGCAAGAGGTTATTATTGTTAGAATATTATAATTAGCATGGATTGATATTTAAGTTGTGTTTATGTTATGCATTTTTTGTTAGCCCTTTCGTTTGCAAAAACATTTTAAAGGGATCAATGTCAAATATAATTTTCGTTTAGATTCCTAGAAAAAGTGGATACATTTTCATAGCAGAAGGGTTAAAAAACTAATTAATTAAAATCTTTTAATAGTTATGCCAGGGGAGGTAATTTAAAAATAAATCCAACTCACGCTGATAAAAAAAATGTGAATGCAAAATGCGGACATGCAAGAGGTTATTATTGTTAGAATATTATAATTAGCATGGATTGATATTTAAGTTGTGTTTATGTTATGCATTTTTTGTTAGCCCTTTCGTTTGTGTTTTTTGCATTTGTGTTTGCGTTTTCTTTTGTGTTTGTGTTTGTTTTTTTCTTTTGTCTTTGTGTTGTGTCTGTGTTATGTTTATGTTTGAATTTTCATTTGTGTTTTTTGTGTTTGCATTGTGTTTGTGTTTGCATTGTGTTTGTGTTTGCATTGTTTTTGTGTCTTCTTTTGTGTTTGTGTTTGCTTTTTTCTTTTGTGTTTGCGTTTGCGTGTTGCATTTGTGTTGCGTTTGTGTTTGTATTTTCATTTGTGTTGTTTTGCGTTTGCATTTTCTTTTGTGTTGTGTTTGTGTTTTCTTTTGTGTTTGTTGTTGTTTTTTCTTTTGTCTTTTTGATGCGTTTGTGTTATGTTTATGTTTGCATTTTCGTTTGTGTTTTTTTGCATTTGCATTGTGTTTGTGTTTGCATTGTTTTTGTGTCTGCGTTTTCTTTTGAGTTGTGTTAGTGTTTTCTTTTGTGTTTGCGTTTGCTTTTTCTTTTGTGTTTGCGTGTTGCATTTGTGTTTGTATTTTCATTTGTGTTGTTTTGCATTTGCATTGTTTTTGTGTTTGCATTTTCTTTTGTGTTGTGTTTGTGTTTTCTTTTGTGTTTGAGTTTGTGTTTAGTTTTTTTCTGCTCCCAAGTTGGTACATTTAAAAAGACTCATGGCGGAACATGGGTGTGCAGCTAGTATATAATAAGCTGCTACTAACAATTTTAATTATGATTAGCTTTTTACTTTTAGAATTTCATTGTACCAATAATATCATCTACATTTTTATCATTTTCTATGCAGTTTTTATTCATGATTAAATTATATTATTTATTTAATAACAATATTGAATAATGAATACAATAAATAATATATTCAGAATAATTCCCCCATCCCATTTGAATAGGCCCTAATTAGGGGAAGTTATATAATTATTTATAATTTAAATAACTGTTATAGATAGACAGTCATTAAAATCTCAATGAATCAAATGAATAGGTTACAATTATAGATAAAAGAATAAGTTAAGTAAGATGATAGTTGATAGCGCATGGCAGCATAGATGCAGATGGGTTTAGACGTAGATCTAGATCTAGTATTAGCGAAAGTATTGTAATTGAGTCAGTGACACAATGAGTCAATATTACTAATACTACTACTCAGCTAACTCAATACTAATGACTAAGTTAAGTAATTAATGAAACTGTAAAATAAAGTATAAAGTACTATAGACTATAGATATAGACATATAGTAAATTATAGTATATAAAATAGTATATATAGTTATATACTATACTATAATACTACTATATACTATAATCTATATAGTATCTAGAATCATTATACTAGATCTAGATTAGAGATCTACTTCTGCTCTAGAAATTGTATTTACAAAAAAAACAAGCCTGACTATTGATTTTAATAATACATTATGATAATGTAGTTAATGATCGTTACTTTGCTCTTGAAATTTCTATTTTAATAGGCCAAATTAACGAGAGACTTTTTGTTCCCATAAAATTAAAAACCTGGATAGTCTGTGAGATTTCGCTTTCAGGAAATAACTCTCTCATAAAAGAAATTAGGAAATAGATCTAAATCTAGATCTAGATCTGTTTGTGTTTACTGTTTTTTTATGTTTAGGCCTACAATTTGAGTTTAGGTTAGGGCCGACTAAAGTTTACTGTCATGTTGCAACTTTGTGGAAGAAAAGACATGAACTTTTCCAATTTTTCTTGTAGATAATCTAGACTAGGTAATCTCACGATATAGCGTCGGAAATTATCCGGTAATGTTTGTTGCGTTTCGTGTGTCACTCACTGACAGTCACTGACTAATCACACTCAGACAATCACTGTAACTGTAACGGTGGCATAGACATATGCCTAACCCTAATTAATTATAATTTCTAACTATAAAATTAGTCGAGATCACAATACTACTACTATTCACTAACAACCCAACACACCTATTTTATGGAAGAGTCTATTATCGGACATCAGTAGGCCTATCTAAAATCATCCAAAATGAGTAACAATTAAAAATAGTAGATCTAATAAATATTAAATAGGCCTGATAATTAAATTAATTAGGCCTATTTAATATTTATTAATAAAGTCGTGTGTAGTAATTAGTGTTATTTTAAGAAACACAGAAAAAACTTGCAGATTTGCGACAACTAGATCTAGTAAAATAAGACGATTAGATTTACTAAAGGTAAAAGTAGTAAGAACTACTACAAGGTTTAGTAGCATCAACAATCAGCACATATGCTTAAAATAATTGGAAATATAAAATAATTAGCAAAACAGTATTTAGGGCCTAAAATGCAACTAAAATCAATCTATGCACATTTTTAAACATTGTGTATTTAAAAAAATATGGTGCCAAATAAGTGTTGGTTTACAGTATTTCCGGTGGTTTACGGAACGGTTGGAGAGACCACACCATGGTTTTACTGTTTTTTACTGCTGTACCATTCCGGAATAATAACCGACACTGTATCGTGATATTACCTAAATCTCTAATAAAAAATAATCAGACTAATATTAATAGCTAGTCTAATGGCAAACGGTGAAAGCATTGCTGTTTCAAGACGCTACACTCAGGTTGTTGATGCTCATGCGCACCTAACGAATGAGTTGCTGATAGGGGTAAAAAAATAAACTTTGTAACTTGACAAATGTAATTTACTTATTACTTAGTAGGCCTAATTACTAATTAAAATTTCTCAACTCAAAATAAATGACTACTTGATCAATTTAAATTTTAAAAGTAATAATCCTTCCTAATATCTTAATAATAAATATTTTGTTGCGTGTTTCTTTTACTTGCATGCATTTCTACACTTTTCTGGTAATTGTTATGTTTAGGGTTGTAATACAGGCAAAAAGATATTTGCAATGACTTATTAGTAAGTTATTAGACTTATTAGTAACAACCTATTATCATTTAATGCAATAAAAATAATCAATATATGATATGAGTATGTTATTTCCATTTGTTTTTTGAGAAAAACCAGCTTGAGACAGGTTCTTAATCCTCAGTTTTTAAGTGTAACATTTGCTTTTAAGCATTAAATTTTTTTTTTTTAATATGCCACTTGAAAGAATGATACTTATAGTACAGTAAATAATTTACTTTATCTAACATGAATGAAAATGTGTTGCAGGATATTGATAATATCATTGCAAGAGCTTTAGTGGTAAGTGGTTGTCTTTCTTGAACATTTGTTAACTGCTGAACTAAACTTTTCCAGAAAGTATCTAGATCATACATGTATGAAAGTCAAAAGACCTTTTTATTTATTTATTTTTTTCATTTTCAGAAACATGTAGCAGCTGCTCTTGTGGTGACAGAAAATCTTAAAGACTTTGAGCATGTCATAGACCTGTATAGGAGGTACATCATGTTTGCTATGTGAACTCGAAGATTTAGGAATATTTTTTTTTATATAAACAGTATGCTTAAATCATGTAATAATAATGAATTAAAAAGGTTTGTGCTCTAGTACTATACTACTACTCTGAAGATTTTATTGAGCTCTAGAGTTTTAAACTTACATTTATAATTACTTTTTTAGTAATGTTTCAGTATAAATATGTTAAGGCCTTAAATTTTGTTAATGTCCAACATTATAAGTTTGATAAGTAGCAGAAGCTTTTTTAGCTTTAAACTATTTAAAACCTAACTCATAACTATATTTAAAATAGGAATTTTTTTCTGCTCTTTTTTTTTACTCATTTACAATACAAATTATTCAGCAAATTTTCTGGACAGCTTTCCAAGGTTTGTGGTTCCATGTCTTGGAATTCACCCTATTCAGGTAAAAATGTTATTAATTGCACTTGTTCTTAGTTTATTCACATCTCTTAATTTTATTTTGATAATTTAAAAATCTTCTTTTAAACCATTTTTTAACATGTTGGTTTAAATTGAAAAACATTTTTAGTGTTCCGGAACCAAGGATGATGCTGGTATTGAAATAATGAGATCTGTAATACTAAATGTAAGTTTTAGTTAGTATTAACTGCCTAGGACAATATTCTTTGATATAGAGAGTTTAATTTAATATATAGAGTATAACATCTATAAAGTAATTATAAATTATGTCTATATTTCAAATAGATCTACTTTACTCTTAGTATTTTTTAATGATTAATAAAATTAATTTTAACCATACCAATTCAAAGGACTATGAAGGTGTAGAAGAATCTATTGAAGATAATTTAGACATCATTGGTGGTATTGGAGAGGTGAGTTAGAACAAAATGAACTTCTGAAGAAAGTTATGCCGGATACTTTTAAATCACAACAAATTAATAGTACTCTCTTGAGGCAATGCTAGTTAACATAAATACCTGTTAAACTCTGCTTGTTTAAAAAAAATTAGTTTACATAAGCAAGTCTGTCTTAATTTTTAAGATACTTTGAATGGTCTGTCATACAACAGATTGGTTTAGATTTCACCCCAAGGTTCTGCCAGAAGCCAGATGACAAAGAAATCCAGACTCTGATTCTAACAAAGCAGGTTGGAAGAGATTTTACTGCTGTTTGATGTAGTTACTTCTTTTATTACATTCCTTACTATATAGAAAATGTTTCCATTTAGGTGCAGCTTGCTGATAGACACAGACTACCAATGTAAGGGATATTTCAAATATTGTTTAACCTCATGTTTTTTTTTTAATCTCCATAAATATTTATAGTTATTGTTAATGTGTGCTTCAGCTGTGACAGTAAAATGTGATGAAAGTACCCTTTAGACGTTATACTGATGATGTACTTCTTTTTTGACCTGAAACAAATAATGATTTAAAAATTCCACAGTAACGTTCACTCAAGATCGGCTGGAAGAAAAGCAATCCAGCTACTTAAAGAACTTGGTAAATATCATTTTTTTAAAGTAGTTTAACTGAATGTTAAACAGAATTATAATGTTTGAAATATTAATAAAGATTATATTCAATATGCCTAGAGAATTCATCTGATTAAAAATCTTGAAATCAAAGAATTACATTTTTAAAACTTCAGCAGTAGAGCAATGATGAGCATTTTAACAGAAATCTGGCACTATGTGAAAAAACTACCTAATGAAATGATTTCAATTACTCATAAATGGCCTTAACCTTTTGCTCAGGTGCACAAAATGTTCTTTTACATGCTTTTGATGGTCGTGCTTCTGTAGCATTGGAAGGAGCTTCAAATGGTTTTTATTTTTCTGTTCCATCTTCAGTTTGTAGAGATACACAGGTAGCTACTATACTGGTATTATTTTAAGTACACAATAAGTTACTAGACTGGTATTATGTTAAATACACAATAAATTACTACACTGGTATTTTAATTGTTTAGCCTAAATCTAAAATAGACTAGTTTGTAAGTTTCTACATATTCTTGGCAATATTCAGATCCAGAAGATGGTAAAAGCCTTACCTTTAGATAAACTGTTGGTTGAAACAGATGCCCCATGTATCTCACCAGTGAAAGGGGTAAGTACAATATAACTGTTCGTATATGCATATCTTTCCACTAATATACACATGCTGTTTAAATGCATTCAAAGTTAAAATAAATTCCACATTAAATGTTACTACAGTTATTTAAGAACTAGAAACTACTTTATAACTCACTTTTATTTAACTTGATTCCCCGTTCTTTTGTCTTCATCATGGTTCGAAACATGTCAGCGAAATTTAGGCATTTCTTATAATCTGATTTATTTCTACTTTGATATGTATGTCAAAACCCAATGGCGATGTAATGTGACATAAGATTTGACAGATTCTGATGTTTAATTAATTTTTATTTAAATTGTTTACATATTGCTATATAAAGTATTAATCTTATTGTGCTATTACATGCAATTATGTGCATTTGTTTTGTGCGCAAGGGTTTTCAATAATGTGATTTGATTTATTGAAAATGTAAAAGTATTAACAAAATAATAATATAACAGGCTTATAAAAAAAAGGCTTTTGTACATGCACTAAACAGAAGAAAATAAAATGATTTTTTCAAAATATATATAATAATCCACCATGATTTAAATAACTTTATAAAAGAGCTTAGGTTGGTATATTAGTTATTGAATACCCTAACTAAAAATTGTATAGACTTCTTTTCAGTGCATATATAAAAGCTTGTCATTATCTAAGTTTTTTTTTTTTTATAATTTAGAAACTAAATGTAATATCCAAAATGTTAACAACCAGATTTCTAGCTGAAAAGAACATCATTTGTATTTATTCTTGTTATTGCATTTTTTTTAAACATCTATTTCCTAGACTGTCAATGAGCCCGCAAATGCCATGGTATCCATTGAATATATTTCAAAAATAAAGAAAATACATCTTGAATACGTAAAGACCATCACAACAGAAAATGCTGTCCGGCTTTTCCCAAAGTTGAAAGATATCCTGTAAGAAATTTCTCTTGTGTAAATAATGCTGAGTTATTCTGAACAGATTTGCAATAAAATCTGGGTTTTTTTTTAAATATCAGTTTTGTTGTTACTTTTCTTTACAATAGATAGTCAGTATTTTATTTTAATATGGATAAACAGGTTATTGAATAATTTTAACTTCAATTATTTGTTCATTGTTTGATTTATTTATTTTTAAACAAGGAAAATATAACTGATCCCCAATGCTGTAACTCAAGGGTCACTAGACTAGGTGATCCCCAATGCTGTAACTCAAGGGTCACTAGACTAGGTAAACCCCAATGCTGTAACCCAAGGGTCACTAGACTAGGTGATCCCCAATGCTGTAACTTAAGGGTCACTAGACTAGGTGATCCCCAAGGGTCACTAGCCTAGGTGATCCCCAAGGCTGTAACTTAAGGTTCACTAGACTAGGTGATCCCCAATGCTGTAACTTAAGGGTCACTAGACTAGGTGATCCCCAATGCTGTAACCCAAGGGTCACTAGACTAGGTGATCCAATGCTGTAGCTCAACGGTCACTAGGTGATCCCCAATGCTGTAACTCAAGGGTCACTAGACTAGGTGATCCCCAATGCTGTAACCCAAGGGTCACTAGACTAGGTGATCCCCAATGGTGTAACTCAAGGGTCACTAGACTAGGTGATCCCCAATGCTGTAACTCAAGGGTCACTAGACTAGGTGATCCCCAATGGTGTAACCCAAGGGTCACTAGACTAGGTGAACCCCAATGGTGTAACTCAAGGGTCACTAGACTAGGTGATCCCCAATGCTGTAACTCAAGGGTCACTAGACTAGGTGATCCCCAATGCTGTAACCCAAGGGTCACTAGACTAGGTGAACCCCAATGGTGTAACTCAAGGGTCACTAGACTAGGTGATCCCCAATGCTGTAACTCAAGGGTCACTAGACTAGGTGATCCCCAATGCTGTAACTCAAGGGTCACTAGACTAGGTGATCCCCAATGCTGTAACTCAAGGGTCACTAGACTAGGTGATCCCCAATGCTGTAACTCAAGGGTCACTAGACTAGGTGATCCCCAATGTTGTAACTCAAGGGTCACTAGCCTAGGTGATCCCCAATGCTGTAACTCAAGGGTCAACCAAAAAAACGAGGTCATGGGTACTACTCAATTCAAAGGTCAAACTGTACTAGGCACGTCCGCTAATGGTCGGATGACCGGGAGCACCTCCCCCCCCCCCTCCTCCTTGGTGCCCACGTTTGTTTTAAACAGTGCCATTCACTATGCATGCAGTGGAATATTACAATCGTTTTCTAAGTCGAATAGGGCTCTTCAACCAGCGGTCTTGTGATGCGTTGCAAACCATCCTCCTCGTGAACACTATGGTGCCCAGTGGCGTAGGCAGGGGGGGGTTAAGGGGGGTCATAACCCCCCCCCCCCCATAGACCACTCGGTATATATATAAAAAGTATGAGGGGGGGTGAAAATCGAAAGTTTGAGGGGGGGGGTGCAAATCGAAAGTCTGAGGGGGGTGGGGTGCAAATCGAAAGTTTGTCCCCGGGTAAAATTTGGAACCCCCCCCCCTCTTGAGACGATCCTGGCTACGCCACTGATGGTGCCTACCTTCATTTTAATGAGCGCCACGCACTATTGATAAATGGACTACTATAATCGCTGGATAAATCGAAACAAACGCGTCCGCCGGCGCCCCGCTGTACAGGTGACTGAGAATCCTGGGCTCCCCTGTGAGCACTATGGGGATACATTCGTTTTAAATAGCGCCATACAATAGGGACCCGGTGGGCCACTACATTCAATGACTAAACCGAACCAGCAGACGCACCGGGCCACCTGCGGCAGTGTAACTGGTGGCTTCCAAGAGCCCCTCGCGACGCCCCTGACACGTGTGCGGTTGTAGATGTGTGTGTTATAACTCACTCTTACGGATGGTGATTAACGTACACTCAAAGCTTTCATACAGCACGCCCTGGGCGGTAGTGTGGACAAACCCGGCCCCAACAACTAGGATCCAATAGCGCCAGCATTGTTTTAGAAAACAATCGTCCAACATTCATGATTGATAACATATTAATGAAACCCTTTAAACGTTTCGTCGCTCTCGTGTGTAGGACAATGCCTGACAGGTACTCAACTGCTAAATAAAGTGTTTATTAAACTTGATGGCGTCTGTTGTTGTGTTCTATGCACTAGATGTTGAGTATTGTAAAATGGTTGTTGCATTTAATCTACATTCCTGAGTGATAGCATTGACGGCTAACTAATATTATAGTGAGTGACATTGTTTAAAATTGTACGGCAAAAAGAAATACTTATTGCGGATCACGTGATCAAAGGGAGTGAGGGATGGTATCTGATCAAGCAGGTGTGAGGGAGTTGTTACAGCTAAGACTCAAGGAAGAAGAAGATTGGGAAAATGTCAGAGCATTGTTTGTGCATATTTTGGGAGCTAAGGGGGCTGGCCAAATACAATACCATGGAACTGTCAGAAGGTCACAATGTGAAGATATAAAAGGTAATTGATGAACATTTTAGTTATGAACTAGTGAAACGTTTGAAAGCATCATACTTGAAAGTAATCAGGAAGTAGATGAGAAAATTGAAGACTGTGTAGCAACTGTATTGTCCACGTTGACAAACCCGTGCTATTTTTGCCAACATGTAACAGATAAGGGAAACTAAAACTAGATAGGGTATTGTTAGGATAGTCAAAGGGCGCATTTGTGGTGTCGTCTAAGGGAAACTGTAAATACTCCAGTTCGAGGTGAACATTTTTATGGAAAAAAGCACAAATTTGTTAAGGAGCTATGCCGGTGTGGGGTAGAATTTGAAGCAAATGTGGAAAGAGAAACCACTTTGACGTAAAATGCTATGTGAAGAAGTTAAAGTATGTTGCTGTTGAAGAAAAGGACTGTTGGTCGTTGGCATCAAACGAAGAAATGATGTTGGCTATCGATGGTAAGTAGCATCAGGTGATCATAGTATTCTATTTGTCTTCCTTTATGATATATCCAATGTCAACAAAAAGACATCTGCGGATATAGTCACGGACTGCAAACACGCTAATAAAGATATAGATGATGATCTTTGAAATGAGCTTCAAGTAGTAGCTCTAAGGCTTCCAAACCTTATGTCACCATCAAATGTGCTTCGCTATAGAGTACAACCGAAATTTAAAGATTGTGTACCAAATGTTGTTGTTTCCTTGCGAATGCAATTAACACTTTCCAGTGTCCGTGGAGAGCGCAATTTTTCAAAATATAAATTAATTACAGGGGCGGAACTACTATACCGCCAGACCCCGAAATGTTGGGGGAGGGGGGGGGGGGGGGAATCAAAATTCGACAAAATACATATTTTTTTGCTCCTTGTTAAACCAGTGGTTTTGCAAAAACAAAACACAAATCGACTACAGCAGCTATTGTTCTACAGTAACTAACACACACTGTTGTGTAGAGAAAAAAAAAACGACATAAGTTGTACTTGTAGTATGAAAAATATGAAAACCTTTAAACCACGTCCATGAATTATTCTTCTTTAAATAGCCGAAGCCGAATATAATATATATATATATATATATATATATATATATATATATATATATATATATATATATATATGTATGTATATATGTATATATATATGCCCTAAATGTATATATATATATATATATAAAATATATATGTATATATTTTACACATATATTTTATATAATAGGCCTATATGTTTTTATATTTTTTTATATTTATATATTAGGCCTATATATAATATGGGGGCCCGAAAAAAATGTGCGTGGGTGGGGGGCATTTTAATAAGTTATGCAAGGGCCCTAAAAATAACCTGCCGCCGACACTGCTTACACAAAGGAGGAAAGGCAACACTATTGTTAAAAACCCAATAGTTAGTTGGTATAAGTTTTGAGAGGGGGAGAGGGTCGTCAAAGTGGACGGGGGGCAGGGAGAGGATCTAAAATACGAATTTTTTGTGGTCATCATAAATGGACGACTCCTAGTTACAGTGGTTACTAAAGTACTTAAGTAGGCTATATTAGGTGCAGTTTCTTCCAGGTATCACTTCGAGGAAGGGGGGGGGGGGGCAGTGTCTGCCCCCCCCCCCCGAAGAAAGTCTCCCACCCCCCCCCACCCCCCCCCCCCGAAAATTTCAAGTGCCCCCCCCCCCCCCCCCCCGGAGAAAAAAGTTTGGAAGAAACAATGATTAGGTGTGTTCTAATTTAATGATGTCTACTAAAAAGAAAATATTTAAAAAAAACCCAGTGAAATGTGAAGCAAAATAAATTTCTAGATGCTTTACTAAGGGGTCGTCCATAAATGACGTCACACTCGTAGGGGGGGTCCGCAATTTTGTGACGGTGTGTGATGAGTGGGAGGGGGGTTCCGATGGTGCGAAGTCACACTTTTGCACACACAAAAAGCGTTAGAAAACGAATTTTAGACGTTATTTTGCGTTTTAGAAAACTGTTTTAATAAATTGTAATAACAAGATTTTGGAAAAATATAGATCTAGCTAAATTCAACTGCAATTTTGAGGGGGGTTGTAGGCAGAGATGTGACGTCATTTTAGGGGGGGGGGTCTGGCTTTTTGTGACGGAGGGGGGGAGGGGGTAAAATCGTCATTTTTGGATAACCTCCTAACTACTAGATCTAGATCTATATTTTAAGAAATCAAAATATCTGCCTCCATTTTCTCTGAACAAAAGTGCGATAACCCTGTTTGATTACATTTTTAGTAAACCCCAGTTAATTCTGAGTTATTGTTACTAAACTCTTTAGGTTATTTAATATTTTGGTCTGCTACCGTCATAGCTTTCTACTGAAGTTTCTATTTTCTATCCATGGCCTAATGGAACATTTAATTTTTAAAAATTAGGTAGATCTAGGCCTAATCTTACACCATTCACAGTTTATTTGAGTTTATTTCGAGTCGTCCCTTTGAATCCCGGTCAGAACATCCCCCTCGTAGACTAGAGTTAGTTATTAATATTACTAGATCTAGATTCTAGTTATTTTATAATTTTATTAGTTAACAAATCTAGATCTAGTCTAGATCTAGATCTAGAATTCTAGATCTGGATCTAGAATCTAGACATCGAGTGTGGTAACGGTAATCTATCGTTTTGGTAGAGATCTAGATCTAGGATAGATCTAGATTCTAGTCTACGTGACGTAAAATCGCCCGCGGCTAGTATTTATTTAATGTCCGAAAAAGTTACCTCATTGTCAAGGCTTTACTTTAAAACTTTAATTATAATAATTTTATTAATTTAAATAGAAGTATTGAATATTGTGTTGTATTTGTGTCAAATATTATAGATAAAAATGAATAATAAACCTAAAGCAATGACTAAATTAAAATTTAGTAAATAGTAAATATTAATGAATGTAGATCTAATTCTATAATCATCCCATTAATCATTAATGAAACATTCAAGGAAACATTTTTGTATTTTTCAAAACATAAATATTTTGTCAAATATTACCAAAATCAATAAATGGCTAAATATATCAATACGAGCCGACCCGCGGCATTCATACACAGCTATTTAGTTGTTTTATTTTCTACTTTTCAGTAATTCATAATTTGTGAATTCGACAGTACCAATGCTGCCACTGAAAATATTTGCTTTAAAACGCTATCAGTAGGTCGTTAAAGACGATACTACCTCACCCTCCTTCCCCCCCCCCCCCCCCCCCCCAGTGAAAGCAGCCTCCTCTTAGTTTCAAACAAAATTATCTGCCCCTAGTAACCGTCACTAAACCCGGCTCTACGATTGTAAACATTTAGCGTGAACCAAAGCTCACCAGACCATGTAGGGGTGGGGTGGTAGGGAGCGCACTTACAGCTTGTTTTCTAGCGTCTCCAAGAAGAGAATTATATATAGAGGGTATAGATTGGCCAGAAATTAACTTTAAACATCAGTGTTTGCTAGCAAGATTTGCTATAGATCTAGATCCAGATCTATAAACAGCGGGTATCTGTAAAGAGTGGTTTTTTCCCTGAATATCAAACTATAATTTTACAACAAAAAAAACTTGGACAAGATTGCTGCTAAAGTAAAGTAAATGAGCTTGGCTGCATCTGATGAAAACATTGCTAGTCTTTATTTATTTCTGTTAAGTTTTAATACCATTGTTTAAAATCAGATAGATCTACATTAATGAAACTTTGAAACATTTTGTAACTTTTAAAACATAAATCATCCTAAAAATGTGAAATAATTACTAAAATTTAATGAGTCACATTTTTTCACATTACTAGTCTTGGCCGATCTTACGTACCCTAAAACGATAGATTACCAACTTAGGTACCTAAAACGATAGATTACCAACTAAACATGATCTATACTTAAACTAGAATACTAGATCTAGAATTTCTAGATCCTGTCCTAAAAAAGACTAGACAGTAGATCAGATAGTCAGAAAGGGGAGGGGTTAAACTTGAAGAAGAAATATTTAATTTTTTTTTCTGTTGTCACTAGCCTAGATCTAATACTAATCGGTCTTGATCCTTTAAAAAAACTTGGTTAGAATTTAGACTGAAACAAAAGTTTATCTCTCCATGTTATCAATAAAACTAGCATACACATACTCTGGCCTAAAAATGGTAAACAAACACTTTCCATGATGTAAGATCTGTTATCTCATGCTCTTGCTAGTCTCTTGCTTGTTAATCTGTTCTAGTCTGATAGCTGACATTTTTCACAATTATTTCTAGGCTCTCTGTTTAACTTGGGTAATTTTTAATTACCTGCTAAAGTCTGTGTAACTGTATAATATTATCTTTTGAAGTGTTAGCTAAATGTATTAATTTTTTTTTCAAGTTGAGAACATATTGGAATTAACTTGTTTTGTTTTTAACATAATAGGTCAAACTAAAATGGAGCATCTAAACCATCTTTTGATTATTCTGTTCTATACTGTTTTAATCGGTAAGATTTACATGTCTCTTCACACATTTTATTTAACATTAATATTTATTACGAGCCGGCCCGCGGCATAACATACGCCGCTATTTAGTTGTTTCTAATTTTCAATAATTCATAATTTGTGAATTCGACAGTACCAACGCTGACACTGAAAATATTTCTTTAAAACACTATAAGTAGCTCGTTAAGGACCATAACCCCCCCCCTTCCTTCCCTCCCCCCCCCCTTCCTTCCCTCCCCCCCCCTTCCTTCCCTCCCCCCCCCCCCTCCTCCCCCCCCCTACGTTTAAAATCGTTGGCTCTGCTTGTAAACATTTAGAGTGAACACAGCTCACTAAAACCATGTAGGGGTGGGGAGGTAGGGAGAGCGTTTGCAGCTTGTTTTCTAACGGCTCGAAGAAGAGAATTATATATATAGATTCTCTTAAATGTGCAGTTGCATTTAATCAATTCCGAACTATGGACTTATGTCAGCATGTATTTTATTCCACTGCCTTTCTGCTTTTTCCATGCAGTTGACAGCTATTTATTGTTGCATCTGTGTAAATTATTTCAGTATACAATGTGCAATTTAAGAAATTCAAATAAATGGGAGCGACTTCCCCTAAACTTTCTCGAATATTCTTATATAACACTGCAAGGGGTGGCAACTCGGGATATCGACATTATTTTTAATCAATTTTTAAATACTCAAATTTTTAAAAATAGAATAGAATCTCCTTTAAAAAAAAGAATTGCGCACCAACTGAACAGCAAACAATGTGTGTAAAACAGTGCAGAATATTATTACTTTATAAATTCATATGCTTTAGAAATAGGAATTGATGTAAAGTACTACTTCTGGTAAATGGAAATGACTCAAAATTTGACTGAAGGCAGTAGATCTTTTACCTATATTTCAAATTTCGTCTATCTATCTGAAATAGTACTCAAGTTATAGGCTTTTGAAAAACCAAAAGTAGAATAAGTTCTACTTCCGGTTACCGAAAATTGCTGAAAATTTGAAACAGAACTACAAATCAGATATAATACTTATATATGAAATTTCATCAACATAGCTGTAAGAGGTCGGCCATAAATGACGTCACACTCATAGGGGGGAGGGGGGTCCGCAATTTTGTGACGGTGTGTGATGGAGGGAGGTGGGGGGGTTCAGATGGTGCGACGTCTGGCTCTTTGTGACGATGTGTGACGGAGGGGATTTGGATTTATATTTATTGCCTGATTAAAATAAGTCCCATATATGATGAAGTACTGAGAAATATCTTTGTTTATTTTCTTATTTTAAGTGCATTCTAAAGGTTTATACACTTGTTTTATTTTTAAATGTTGTTGAATCATTAAGAATATATTTCTAGAGAATTAAAAACACTATCTTTTTAATTACTATTATTATATAAGTAAAAACTTTTTTCTCAAAAGGTTCTACTGGCTCCAATGCAGTTTCCTCAATCCCCATAACCACTACTCCTACTCCTACCACCACAACCTCAACTACAACCTCAACTACAACCCCCACAACCACTACTCCTACTCCTACCACCCCCACAACCACTACTCCTACTCCTACCACCCCCACCCCCACAACCACTACTCCTACCCCTACCACCCCCACAACCACTACTCCTACTCCTACCACCCCCACCCCCACAACCACTACTCCTACCACCCCCACCCCCACAACCACTACTCCTACTCCTACCACCCCCACCCCCACAACCACTACTCCTACTCCTACCACCCCCCACCCCCACAACCACTACTCCTACTCCTACCACCCCCACAACCACTACTCCTACTCCTACCACCCCCACCCCCACAACCACTACTCCTACTCCTACCACCCCCACCCCCACAACCACTACTCCTACTCCTACCACCCCCACCCCCACAACCACTACTCCTACTCCTACCACCCCCACCCCCACAACCACTACTCCTACTCCTACCACCCCCACAACCACTACTCCTACTCCTACCACCCCCACCCCCACAACCACTACTCCTACTCCTACCACCCCCACAACCACTACTCCTACTCCTACCACCCCCACAACCACTACTCCTACTCCTACCACCCCCACAACCACTACTCCTACTCCTACCACCCCCACCCCCACAACCACTACTCCTACTCCTACCACCCCCCACAACCACTACTCCTACTCCTACCACCCCCACAACCACTACTCCTACCCCTACCACCACCACAACCCAAGCTTCTATCCAGCTGGAGATAAGTGAGACAAATATTTTGCTGGAGACTACAGAAGATGACCTGTTTGTTGAGCTGAAAGGTTGGCTGATATTTGACACTTTTACTTGGTCCAATTTACTTTTTCTTCCATGTCTTGCTTTGTTGTTTACCTACTTTTACTTGCTTGTAAATTACAAATAATTAGCATAGCTTATGTTTGTTATGGCTTAGAAGATAGTTGCTGAAATAAACTACCAAGAATATCATGCACACATGAGACCACTTGGTATTACACCACTTGGTATAAAATGACATAGTATCAGACCAAAAGCAATGACTCCCTCAAATGTCAGCTGCCTGATGTTAAATCATCATTAACTATGGGTACTTTTAAATGTTGCCTGAACCAGCCTCAGTAAAATATTACAAATGGGACAGCTTGGTTGCTACAGTTTATTGATGATTCCAATATTCATTCTGCTGAGCGTGAGTCGAGATGCTGAATCTCTAACGGGTCTGTATTTAGACCTATGTCCCCCTAGCTATTCCCACATGATGATGGGCCCAAAACTTGTCAGCTAACAAATTTTCCCACCTAGAGCCCCTGATCACTGTTCACTATACAGCCTACCATTATCATGTCAAAGCTGTCCGCCTCATTAAACAGTCACCAAATGACTGCCCCTGGGATGTTCCCTATAATTATATCTAGTAAATGGCAAATAATGTCACTTTTCCCTCCAACCAACCCAATTTTACTTTGGAATATTGCACGTTACAATGAGGCTTTCAGTTAACTATAAAAAAAAACACAATTCTACATTCTCATAATTATTAATAAGCAATTTATATTAAAAATTCCTGTCAATGGTTCTGTTAGGTGACAGTATAATCTCCGTTTCAATAGTACTCAGTTATAATAGTTTCTATAATACAGTAGTCTCCTTCTTGTTGCTGCATGTTGATCAAGCATAGAATTCTCTCTTGAGGTCTCTATAACTGGCTAGTGGTGCCCTGTATGCAATGCTGTTGTGGCTTGAAAGTCAGAAAATAAGGATTATATAACAACAACAAAAGTGTATCAAGTTTTAGTTTTTTAAATTCAACCTCATTTTGGTTGACACACAGACCTGCATAATTTAAAAGTTGTACAAACTATTTTCAGATTTTCACATTTTTGTATTCTTACATTTCTATCTCAGGCACTCCCAGCTTAAAACTAAATGATGTCACCTTTAAGGTTTCTCAAGCTGAAAAGGTTACAGAAGAGAATGCTATTGTGCTCAATGGTAGCCTGAATGCAGAGGGAATGTTCCTTATAGACAAGACACATTTTCTCAACACATCAGTGAGTTCAAAAGTTTGCTACTTGTTTTTTTTATACAACATTTTGATTTTATGATAGCTTATGTGTTAAATAATTTCTATAGTGCTGCAATATTATTTGAGCTGTTTTCACATCTAACAAACATGTTTATATTTTTAGAAGATCCTTCTGATGAAATCAGTTTTAATTACCTTGTGGGTTGAGAATAAAAAACTGGACTCATTATTTTTGTCATTATCTGGTGAAAATAACACAGAACTCAGTCAAACATCCACAGTTTTTGTAGACCCAAAGAAGTGAGTGGCCTGTGTATTTGATAGAGTAGGATTTCATTAATTAAACCTTAACATTTGCTAATAGTTCTCATTTTAAAAAAAAAAACTATTTTGTTAATTGTAATATAACTTTATTAGTGTGTGTGTGTGTGTATGTATGTATATATATATATATATATATATATATATATATATATATATATATATATATATATATATATATATATATATATATATATATATATATATGCCAGCACAATATTTTTTTTTAAATTCGGTTTCAAAGAAACCAAAAAGCCAGGGGTGAGATGAGGCTGAAGTATGTGAGGGTTTGTGATTGTGTGTCAGTAAGGAGGGGGGATGTAAGGGAGGTAATTAGCTTAAATATAGCTTTAATGATAATTTTCATCCTAGAGGTGATTGGATGGTTTATGTTCTTGCATGTTGTTATTTTAATTGTTTAATATAGAATCAGATCACTTTTTACTTTCTCGTAAATATACGAAGTATAGAGAAAGTCTTGTAATCGTGCAAAAAAGAAAATCGAGATTTTTACAAATCTCGACGTTTTACACCTCACTGATTCGGAAAAACATAATTTTGCAATCTTGTTCGTATGTCTGTGTGTCTGTCTGTATGTGTGTGTGTGTCTGTCTGTGTGTAAACACGATAACTTGAGTACCGTTACAGCTAGGTTGATGAAATTTCATATATAAGTATTTTATCAAAATCGTAGATCCGTATCAACTTTTGAGCGATTTCCGATAACCGGAAGTGGTACTTTTACTACTTTGAATTTTTCAAAAGCCTATAACTTGAGTACCATTTAGGATAGATAAATGAAATTTCACATGTAAGTAAAAGATCTAATTCTCTACCTTCTGTCAAATTTTGAGTAATTTCTGTTGACCGGAAGACTAATTTATGCTATTTCCTATTTCTCAAAAAAACGCATGTAAATTTATAAAGTACTAATAATATTGCGCACTATTAAGCACATTTTGTTTTGGCGTTCGCTTGGTGCGCAATTATTTTTTCTATGAGATTCTATTCTATTTTTAAAAGTTTAAGTAATTAATAAACCGGGAGTGATCTCCCCTAAACTTTCTCAAATATTCTTATATAAAATAACCGGGGATGGGAACTCGGGCTATAGACATAATTTTTAATCCATTTTAAATACTTAAAGTTTTAAAAATAGAATAAAATCTCGTAGATAAATTAATTGCACACCAAGTGAACGCCAAATAAAAAAGCGCATTATAGTGCGCAATATTATTAGTACTTTTAAAATTTACATTAGTTTTTTGAGAAATCGGAAGTAGTGTAAAGTACTACTTCCAGTCAACGGAAATTACTCAAAATTTTACAGAAGGTAGAGAATTAGATCTTTTACTTACATGTCAAATTTCATTTATCTATCTGGAATAGTACCACTTCCGGTTATCGGAAATCGTTCAAAAGTTGATACGGATCTACGATTTTGATAAAATACTTATATATGAAATTTCATTAACCTAGCTGTAACGGTACTCAAGTTATCGTGTTTACACACGGACAGACAGACACACAGACATACGAACAAGATTGCAAAATTATGTTTTTCCGTATCAGTGAGGTGTAAAACGTCGACATTTGTAAAAATCTCGATTTTTTTTTTTTTGCACGATTACAAGACTTTCTCTATACTTCGTATATACGAGAAAGTAAAAATCATGTCTATATTCAAAGTTATATAAGAATATTCGAGAAAGTTTTGGGGAGATCACTCCCGGTTTATTTGATACTAGTTTCCTTTGTGTATAGAAGAGATTTTGAATGTAACCAGGTCTGCTAAGGAAAAATGTGTTCCATGTTGTGATTGCTCTCCATCTCATTAATTAAAGGACTTCATAATCCACAGTTATGTGGGTATTGTTAGGTTTCCCTGGAATGAAAGGTTATCATGTCACTTAAATGATGTATTTCCAATAGTACTACAAGTTAACTCAATGCAATTTAATTTTTCCCTCTCTGCTTGTCTGTTCCTGGTGACACCAAGTAAGTATTGTAAGTCTCCAGAAAATGATGGATTTTTTTCCCAACTTATATATATATAAGGCCTTCTTCAATTACAAGTTTTAACTTTCCTTTTTTGGTGAATAGTTTATTTTTAAAATTCTAAATTTTACATTATTTTATACTTTAGGCTGTTGTCATTAACAATACTGTTATTATAAAAATGATTAAAGTTGTTATACCTCAAATACCACATTTTAAGCACATATGGTAACTCTTAAAAGCTTTGGTAAAAAATGAATTCAATTTTGCCCTTACTTTTAGCTCCCCACTCATGTACCGTTGAAACACCCTGTGATGAAATATTTTAATTTTTTTTAAAAATCAAATACATTGTCAAATAATATTTTTAAAGATGGTGTGGTCAAATGGTAGAGCATACAACTGCTAACCAGAAAGTCTCAAGTTTAAATAGGAGTCCCTGAGTCTTCCCAGCTCTGATGGGTACCTCTCATTAGGGAAAGTAAAGAGGGCTGGGCATGGTGTTAACCACACTATCCTTACAATGTCAAGGTCACTTGAACATGTGAACTCTGCTTCACTTCCTCATAGACCATAGCAGTGTTTCTTCCAGATGTTTTTCTCCAGGGGGGGGGGGGGGGGGGGCTAAAATTTCCAGGGGCAGATACTGTTGAAAGTATATATTTTCTATATAAATTCCATTCGTTTGGGGGTGCTAGACTTTCTGGGGGGGGGGGGGGGGGGGGAAGATGCCTGAAAGAAACACTGGACCATAGACCTTCAGGTTCAAAAGGGAACTTTTTTCTTCTAAGCTATAATTAGACTTTTGTAAAACTTGGTAATGTTCATAAGTTCCTGTAAATATGTTTTTTATGATAATATAATATTAAACCTGATAATTATTTTGGTCTTCATTTATTGGTCTATCATTTGATTTTTGTACATATAATCGAAATCATTTATTTTTCACTTTTTACATGTATTGTAGATCTATTCAACTATTCAGTTGTTGCTTTTTATATTTCATATAGTTCTGTTCCAATTAAAGAAAAGCTGTCCTTTTCAAGATGTAGCCAATTGACATCAAGGAGTTTTATTTTGACCAAAGAAACAAAGAATAAAGATAACTACTGCCCTTTCAATGTGACGAAGGCTCTGGAAATGAAACTAAAAGCCAAGGAGCCTGGATGTTTAAAGGGAACAATAGAAAAGATTAATTCTTCCTTAAATGATCAAATCATCCAATTGGTTGACTCTAAAAATGTACAGTTTAGTTCCTGGTTCATTGTTACTGGTGAGTAACTAGAAAGTTACTGATACAGTGTTAGGGTGTCACTGTTACGAGAGTAGTATGTTCACCAAGACTATCTTTGTAAAGACTGTTATAGACTCTCATAGTGAGTGCTTGTTATCATGTGTTTCTCAGATCTGTTTGCTCATGTGGGTTGTGTTGAAAACACAAATGAAATATCAGCCAAGTTCCTGTTTCAAGCTAATTTTCAAGAACTTCTAACTGCAGTAGTCAAGGAATACCAGAACCAAATTTCTACCAACACTCATGTACCATTTTTACAATTATCAGGCTACAGTTGGATTTTAAATAAATGCACTGAAAAGTGTACCTCCCCAGTTGAACCACCTAATACAGATGGTAAGATTTATCTTATCTTTGTTTTGTTCTGCTTACTCCCTGTCCTAGCTTCTAATTTATCTTGCAAGTAGAGTAAATAAAGATGGATGGAAATAGCAATTCATTAACTTAATTTGAGTTTTTAAATTTTTTTTCTAGCTTTAAAAGATGTATGATTAGTGATTGTTAAAATCTGATTGTTTTACAGATGACCGTATGATTAGTGATTGTTAAAATCTGATTGTTTTACAGATGACCGTATGATTAGTGATTGTTAAAATCTGATTGTTTTACAGATGACCGTATGATTAGTGATTGTTAAAATCTGATTGTTTTACAGATGACCGTATGATTAGTGATTGTTAAAATCTAATTGTTTTACAGATGACCATATACGGCTAACAGTTGCAGTTGTTGTATCCTGTGTTGGTGTCTTCCTGCTAGTTTTGATATTTGTCATTATATATCTGAAAAACAAAAGGCGGGGCATTATGTGAGTAACTCTTTCATACAGAATTGAAATACCAGTGCTATTAACAAGTAGAAATACTTGAGTTATTGAACACCCTCAACTGTTGTCAAATTCCCAGCACTAAATCTACCCTTACTCCTAATACCTCATGCATATTATTTTTAAAAATATTTTCTAATTCTGTTTAAATCCAGGCAATTCCATATGACAAGACTTGATGATGAAGATGATTTGATTGGTGATATGGATGATTTTGTTGGAAATCAGGGACCCACATTTAAAAATTATAGATGATTGTATTTGTAGAGTAACATTTCCTTGTTAACTTGTTACAGATGTGTTATGTGGCATGAAAAAATGGTTACATGAGTGTTAAGATGATAAACTGTTGCAAATTGTTGTGTTCATTTATGCTTAAAGGTTGTGGTGAACTATTCACATTCTATTTAAAAATATTTATTCTTTACCAATTTAGCATAATGTTAATAGTGTAACAAGTTGTTTTTAAAACTAAATACATGTGATTTCTAACAAGACATATCAAACAATTATTACATTTGTTAAGTGTCCAGTGGGAATAAGAAATTTTAGCACCCTCAAGTTTTGTTACCACATGGGCTTCCATAAATGTCTTATTGGTGTGTAGTTAAAGGCTTTTTACTTACTATTTTTCATAAAGAGTCGAGATTGCATGCAGTCATACAATTTTTAAAAAATTTAAGATGCTGTAGACCAAACTTTTTACTGTTATTTGTGGCTGTCTAGCTATCAAGGATTATATGGGTTCGGGTAAATTCGGCTAATCAAAGTGACTTCATATTACTTTTACTCAACTTTATGCTGCATGTGTTTCTATAACAAACAGCATTTCTCCCTCTTGTGGTCACGATGACTGTTAGCCATACACACCTGACCAAGCGAGAGCATTTACACTCTGTTATTTAAATATCTAATTTGGCACAAAATAATGATGTAGGCCTACTATGATTTAGTCACAATTGTTTGAAATGTTTAAAAATAAACTTGAAATACCATGAATTGTATTAGAAGATTGCAGCGGTCACTGTCCCATCCCTTCTTTCTTGTAAAAAAAAAAAAAGAAATTTTTTTTCTTAGGCGGGTGGGTATACAGCTACATTTCTTATACATTTGCCATGAGAACTGCTGATTTAATCTATAATCTAAATTTTATATGCATTGTTAAAATTATCAAATGTAAATAATTTGTGGTTTAATTCAGCATTTTGAGTAATATTTTGACTGTCACTTGCTGGTTGTTAAATATTGTAGCTGAATTTTTACCCATTTCCAATAGTGCAATTTCTTTCAAAAAGTAAAATAACTACATAGTTGTATAACTTTTTTACCTGTCTATTGAGGGAGCATATAATACTTATTTTAAGTTAATATATTGCAAGCTACTGATTAGGTTTTAAGCAAATATTTTTAGTCAGGAGGATGTGCCCTTGCCTTAATTGATCAAGGTAGAAACAAATTATCTTTCAAACACAAAATGTTATCAATAAAAAATTTTATGCTCTAAAATTAAGAAAATAGCTTTTTCTTCAATAAAAGCACTAAATTAGTCAAGAAAATTTCTCAATAATTTTATGCACCAAAATTTATGCTATTTATAAAATTGTTTTATATATATTTTCACAAAACCTTGTGATTTTAATTTTATAAAGGTTCTATTATTTTAATAACTTTTTTTGTAAAGAAATTCAGCCATTTACAGTGAGTTCTGTTTAAACACACTGTTGTTAAACATTCAGATTCTAGTAAATTATAGGCTTCTCATTTGAAGGAAATTATTTGGTAAAATTCCACTTTGTTTCTCATTTCTTCATTTGACTTTAAACATTTTCATAAATAGTATTGGTTTTTTTTTTTTGCTATTTACATTTGGTTTTGTACAATGTTTTAAAAGTATATTTTCAATGAAAGTGTTAAATTATCAAAGACAATGTAATTTTTTTTTTAGATTTACCTTTTTATAACATTCCAGTGATCAAATCTTTTTATGTACAAGTAATTCATTCCAATTGTAATATAATCTATTAAATTTATTCTCACCCACTGTAGAGTACGGCTTTTAAAATGAAATTTACTTAAACAAGGTTGTATGTGCTATTCAGTCATGTTAAAAAAAAAAAATTATTATACACAAAATGCTGGTTTTAAACAAATATCATTTAATTTTTTAATTTTCAACTATGGGATGGTGCGGTTAATTTCACTTGTTAGCTTAAACTTAAAGAAATCTAGAATGTAAACTGGTATAGCTATATATTTTAGTCATCTTCACTATTACATGGAAATAAATTTGGCTCCACAGTGGGGTGTGCCACTCAGTATCAAGTATTTTCCACCCTAGATTTATTAAAGATCTATCAAAACTCAATGCTCTCATCTGTTCACTTAGCAATTTAAAAGAAAAAATATTGTACTTGGTGGGAAACTGGTTACCACAAATTAAACATTTGTCAAAGGGTGTCAATTCAGTATTTTTTTTATTTTTCTACCCCCCCCCCCCCCCTCATTATTTAAGTCATAAAAATATTCAAACCAATTGTACCCATAATAACAAACCCATATGATTTTGTTAGAAGAGATGTGACAACCCAATAACTGTGGTGTTAAGCATGATTATCAATTACATACACATTAAAATGTGACATGAATTTAAATAAAGAAAAACTCTGATCAACCAATATATTTTATCATTTAAGAACATGTTCAGGGTGATAATAAAAACAAAGACAAGCCCCATTACAGAGAGGGTGTAAGCAGGAATAATACAATAATTATGTACATCATGTTTGTACAAGTATTATAATGCAATTATTTATTAACAAAAATACAAACAATTTGAACACAAAATACCAGAATTTTTAATCTAGCAAACTGAAGCATTGAATAGTTAAAAACTAGATGCATGGCAAGTTTTTAAACAAGCAAATTCTGTTCACATTGTAGTCACAGGATTCCTTTAAATATTAAGGCCAACATAACAATTTTGTAAACTCTAAACTTGTATTACTTTTTTTTTTACCACTTTCTAAAACTGATGCTTAAAAAAATTAATGATTTTGGTATTTACATAACTTATTTAAGCAAATTATTGAAGTTAAACAATTTGCAAACAAAGTCTAGAAACTTAGGTTTTAATGAAATCCAGTATTGGTAACATATAATCTTACAAGTTCTATAAAATCTTTCTAGTGAGATGGCTATTCAGGAAACTGAAACTAAGAAAAAGTTGATTTGGCAAATACAGGCAAACAAATTTACAAATGTACATATAGCATCACAATGGTTTCTGAATAGTAACATCTGAGGTATGCATTTAAAATATACTCTGAAATAATAGCTGAAAAATTATAGATAAATGTGGTAAATAAAATAGGTACTAAAACTACATACATATATCTTTTGTGGTGACATTCAAGTAGTGCAAATAAAACAAATTCTTCAAGTACCTGTCAGCACAATTTTAAAGTAATACAATCCACATTTACAAAATAATATCAGTAATCTAATTTTTACTCAAAATATTATAAATAAGCCAAATTTATTTCAAGTTCCTTAAAAATATCTATTAGAAACAAATCACAAAGCTAGTTAATCTCAATAAAATAAAGTATAAACATAAAAATGTGATTTCACACTGAATCAGAAACAAGCATTACATCAGTATCTTCACAATGCTTATTTTTTTTTAATTTAAGATTTTTATTACAATAAAAACTTTTAACGAGACATTTTTTACGAACATGAATTTTGTTTATGAACAATTGCTTAATCTAATACATAAAGCTAGAGCAGAATTTACTACTGATATTTTTAAAAGTAAGCAAAACATCTTAGAAACTGCCTCATAAGGAGCACTTTTTTTATTCCTTTGACTTTAAGATCACACAAACTAATTTAATATTCGATTTCAGATTAGTTCATAAATAAAAGTAAAAGGCATGATATAGTAATATGATGAAAGTACAAAAAAGCTTATAGACTTAATGATTTAACCATCTCATTTTTAAATCAAATAATATACGCAAGTTTTTAAAATCTATCCAAGACATGACTGATATGGTCTGTAGTTTATATTACATCTGTTCAAAGCATGTTTTAGTTAAATATAAAACTTAAAAATTCATCTTTATAGTGTACTTATTTGCTTCTTAAACCATTATATATATTATATTCATAAGATATTTTTTATTCCAAACAAATATGTCTGTCTGAATAGTTATTGTATGTTCTGTTTTTAATTTCACTGTTGTGTTTATACAGCTCCAGTTGCAAAAATGGAAGCAAAAACAAAACATACAATATTCTAGTGATCTTCAAACTGGCAAAGACCTACATTAAAAAAAACATTTTTCATTGTTCATTTGTCATTAGTAAAATAGCAATTTTTCACTTTAAAAACAATGTTTAAAAATGATGTAATCATTACAGTTTGAAGTTATTGCACTCTATCCTTTTTGCTTTTAAAAACAGAAGTAAAAAAAAATATTACAAAATCTAAAAGAGAAATCTTATAGCTTGAAAAAAAGTTTTTTGTATATATGATCTGGTCCTGATTGCTGATCACTACAATTGTACCTCAAATTGTTTAACAGACTTTGTTCCTAACGAGTTGGGGTTAGATTTGTTCAAAGATTTGGCAGCCCATGCAACATCAAAAGGATCCATCCCAGGCCCTTGAGAAGTAGTGAAGGCCACTGGAGGAGCAGATGTAGGCCAGGGGTTGGAGGAACTGGCAGATGTAGAGGATGCAACAGCTCCATTTTGAGACTGATACGGTGTGTTATCTTGCTTCCTCAACTGCTGCCATTGGTGACCAGAAATTTCCCCTGTATCTATGGAATGACTTCGACCATGTGCAAATATTTGTTGCTGTTGATGTGATTGTCCATGTGGTTGCTGTGGAAATGTATGCTGAGCTCCATTAAGCATACCAGTTTGTGGATGAGAAGGAGCTGTTGTAACAAAAGGATTGTAAGTTGTAGTGGTTGCTGTTCCCCATGATGTAGATGCCAAAGTACTAGCCTGTCCCCAAGGATTTGTTAACGATTGGTTCACTGGTTGAACACCTGTAAAAATCAAAGCCAGTATTTGAAATTAGTAAGGTGAGAAAGTAATGTATTATATTAAATATCTTTAAATAATCTGTTTTTCTTTTTAAAAAAAAGGAGGTAGGTAAAGAAATTGTAGTGGGGTTGTTCCAACAAATTGTACTGCCACATTTACAAAATCTATATTTTAAAAAAAAACATTTTTAAAAAAAAAACATTTTTAGGAGATGGTTTTCTTTTTGCTCTGGGACATTTTAAAAAATTAAGTCCTTCTAACACATGCTTTTATAAATATCACATTGACTTCATCACAAACCTCAGTGTTGAATATGTTTAAATAAGTTGAATAAGTTTGGACTATCAAAAAAATTTTTTTTAATTATAAGATATATAGGCCTACTGTAAAGCCTTTGTAATCTCAACAAATTAAATTTTGATTTAAGTGTGGTGACTTAGGTTTGTACAAAGATATGATAGGTTATGTATAGTGTGATAATGGTGAGGTAAAAGTAGTATATGATAGTGCTGGCAGGGAATAGAGCATTCCTTTAGACTGCGAAAAATGCAGTTTATGTGGTGTTTTAATAAATATTGTTGTGTGGAAAAGATATATAAGAGATAGATTGTTCTTAATCAGAATCAATTTGCAGCAGCGTATTATGTGTAGTAATAACCAACAACAGTTCAATGGTTCAAGTGAAAAGAAAGAAACCATACCCTTACATTGTGGGAAATTAAATGGGATCTAATCTTCAATAGCACTCTCTTATTTCAGTGCATCAAAATACTACAGCTTATTGGCAGTCGTTATACACTGTCTTTAATAGTAACTCAAACACTTATTTTTTTTTTACAAAAAAACCAATGCTTCACTATACATTCCACAACAACCAATGTCAAATAAACTTTCTAACTCATCATTACTGACCTCAGTGAATACTTATCTAACCTGTCTTTAATCAAACATTAGTCATATGTATCATCAATCCTAATATATACATATCTACCACATCATACTAAAGCTGTATTAGAATACAACAGACATTTTGTTTTTAATTTAACATAAAATGTTGCTTAGTTTAGTGTCTTAAGTGAGTAAAAGAGACTAAGTATATCACAATCAGTTTATATGTTTTTGAAATTTTTACTAACAAGCCATCTACTAATAAAAGAACAACACCAATAAAGAAACTTACTTTGTGAAGCTGGAGATGTATGTTGTCGAGTAAGCTGAGCATGGTTGTGAAAAGGGGTTGGTAAAGAGGCCTGGTGTGTTAGTGTATTTCCACGAGAACCATGCTGAGTGGGTGCACCACTGAAGGGATCATCTGTGGTTAATGCAGAAAGTCCTTGAGTAAGCTGCTGGCACATCTGTGCTATAGAGTCCTCTTGCTCTTGAGACACTTCAGGAATTACTCCCCCAACAGCTAAATTTAAGAAGAGGTTTGTATTTTAATGTGCTGTCTGGTTATGATAAAAGAATGCTTACTGCTCTAAATTAGGGATGAAGATTTATAATACTGAGATTATAATTTGTGAGAAAATGTGTGCACATATTTTCAGTAAATGGTAATAGAGAAAACAAGTCTATGTAAAGACCTCAGTGTCCCAATTGAAACAAGGCAACAAAAAAACTATCACTAATTAATATTTATTTTATACAGTAGTTGTTTTCATCTATTATTTGTATTAGCTACATCAATACAGCGAAATTAACTGCTTTAGTTGTAAAATTCTAAGATAACTGTAGAAAATAGTACTAGAAGCAGGCCTGCAACATGCTGTTGAAAAATGAAAATCTTACCACCATTTCCATTATGTGTGGGTGATTCCATTATAGCATTCTGTCTTTGTAAAGTGGACGGCAGCTCATTCAGTCGAAGAGATAACGTTCTTTTAAAAGGGGATGATGTTTCTTGTAGCTTTTCAAAACCTCTGAAAGACCCTTGTCTTTCTAGTAAATTAGGTGTAGCATGGGGCCTTTGTACAGCATATGGATTGCTTGCAGCACGCAAAGGGACAGGCTCTAAATGAATACATTGAAAACTGGTTGAAAAAAATAGCTTTGAAGCATATAGAAATCAAGTTTTATTTTTAATCAACAACTTAGTTTAATTGCAATTCATTTCAATAGGTCAAACAAGCAGTCTTATTTTGTATTTTATAGCATAAAACCTTCCATTAATGCTGGTGAAAATATTTTCAATCAGAAATGAGGTTTAAGAAAACAATATTTTTCAAAATCAAAACATCCAGCTTCAGAAAATTGCGTTAACCAATTCATAATTTACTGCTAACTGTAAATTCTCAGAAGGTGTTATGAATAAACACCCAACAATATACTACAAATAAACTAAAAATATGTTTGGGTAATTTATTCTTACATAATAATATCAAGTATAGCACCTTTTGATATCCATTATTAAAACTCACATCTAATTAAGTTTTTAATTCAGTTACATAATTGTGATTTTAAAGCACAATCTCAAACCTTAAATATTTTTATTAAGATTATAGTTAGATAAATATAAATGTTACCAGCTAAAATAGCACTCTGAGGGTCAACTATTCTTTCAGTGAGAGTAGTTTGTCTGAAGGAACCAGTTCTTTCAAAACTGGTTCGTGACTGATTGTAGGTGACTGTAACTCCTGTCTCTTTGTCACGTTTTTGTTTCTTTTCCAAACAAATAGCAAAGGCACACCCAACAGCATGGCTTAACCTTTCTCCCTAAAAGAGACATACATTCTGATTACTACACACAAATGTTGTATTTCTAAAGAGAATTGGTATTTAGATGTAATTTCTCTAAATAGTGTTTGCAATTAGTAAAACACAACATATTTTAAAATATATGACATTTTTAAACAAATATATATTTTAATTTAATAGACAAGACACAGTTTTAGACATTTTTCTTGATACATCTATCTTTTCAGATTCTAAAATAAAATACTGTTAATTTATCCCATTGTGAAAATATTTCTTATTTATGGTAAATGAACATTTTTAAAAATATAAATAATTCAATTAAAAAACAAACAAATAACAACACCAAAAGCTAACAAAAATGTACGGCAACCAGAGACAACGCAATCTTTTTTAATTTTAATGTTCTATTTTCATATAATTAGAAGGTAGGCCTATGTTTTGCATCATTTAAATTTTAAACTGGTCACTAAAATACTATTACACTTAGGGTATGCTTAACATTGTTAAAAACAAATTACGTTTTTAAAAATTGCAAAGAGTCCACCAAGAGCATCATTTCCAAGTTAAAATGTTTTTAAAAAAAACATTTTCATATTCTGACTACAAAGTTCTTACATGACCATTTTATTAATAAGGAAAAAGAAGTTAAGTTAAATTCAAGTGACTAAGTAGATTAAAGAAACAATTTATCACTTGTCTAATATATAAAGCTCAGTTCTGTATGTAATACATTTGTATGTCGTTGGAATTGTACGAATTTAAAAGTTAGAAAATTATCGTGCGCATTTGTCTAAATTTATGAGCTAAAAAATTACTATTGAAAGTGTTGGGAAATAATTTTCATTTTTCAAATTATAGTAATAATTGTCGGCATGTTCATTAAACACAAGTTTTAAAAAAAATATCATCTTTTACAAAAATTCTAATTATGTCTTTATTTAGTCCTATAGCACTTACTTCCCTTTGATAAATTAGGAAAAACACAATTACTTCCCTTTATAAAACCATTGCATTCCGTGAAAATAATTTACTTTTTAATTACTTTGTTTTGGTGTTGGGAAAAAAAATAATTACATAATTAGCGGGGATTGATCAAGTGCAAATGTTGTAGGTATTTTACGGATAAGCTTGGAGTATTAAAATTGTTTATTAAATTGAAACAGGCGCGTTCGTTTAAGTGAGTGCAAAAGACTGTGAATAAGTTGGGGTACTATAGTCGTTCATTAAGCTAAAACAGGTGATTCCGCCCCGGGCGTTTAGGTTCGCGTTAGTGTTTTCTTTGTGTTTAGGTGGGTTTGCGTTAGTGGTTGCGTTTTAATTTGGTTCGTTTTTGTTCTTTCTTTTTTCGTTTTTGTTTGTGTTTTTTTTGTTTGGGTTTGTATTTGTGTTTTTGGTTGGTTTTGCGTTTGGATTTGGTTTGTTTTCGTTTGCTTTTTTCGTTGATTTTTTTTTTGTTGGTATTGGTGTTTGTGGTTGGGTTTGTTGTTAGGTTTTTGTTTTCATTTGCTTTTTTGTTTGTTTTTTCTTTGTGTTTGTATTGGTGTTTGTGGGTGTGGTTGTGTTTGTTGTTAAGTTTTTGTTTTCGTTTGTATTTGTAATTGTGTTAGCGTTATGTTTGCGTTTTGTTGTTTTGGTTTTGGTTGGTTGTGGTTTGGGTGGGCAATGCCGGGTTTATGATGATTACTAAACACACAGGTAATGGTCTTTAACAGAAAGGTTTTTCACAGAAGCCAGAGCAGGGCCTGGCCGGGACGGCTAGTTCTCCCTAAAAACAAATGTACAATTTAGGATTTTATTTTAAACAGTAGCTAACAAATCATGCTGTATAAAAAAGTTGACTTTTCATAACTGATACAATAGTGATGGAATTTTTTAATGCATCACACACTCATGACTACAAATTGTCACATGAGAAAGAATGGGTAAAAAAAGCTTTATTTGTAGCATTATATCTTACTAACACCAACTTTAAAAAAAAAATGATTTGAAGTCTGTTACACTTTAGCAGCTCCATGCTTATATTTTGTTTAATATATTTATCCTCATGGGGAAATGTAAAGCATGCTTTATCTAACTTTGTTTTGCAGTTTCAACAACATGATTTTATAGTTATTTTTAAGGTAAGTAGGTGCAAAGAATCAGTAACTTTATTGAAAGGGTTTAGTGTTTACAATAATTACTGAACTAAACAGATAAGCTAAGTTTCATGAGTAATAACCATGCAAGTATCATTCATCTGCCGCAATGTAAAGAAAGAAAAAAAGTATATTAAAAAATTTGAAAACAAATTGGTTTTAATGTTTACAGGTGATGCAAAAGATCAAAACTGCATTGTATCTACAGCTAGATCACTAAAGAAAAGGTGTTAAAATGCAAATCTTGAAATTATATGTGAATCTAAAAATGTTAATTTAAACTATACAATAAAGGACGTCTAAAGTGATCTAGAAAAGACAACAAGGTATTTTAACTTTCTTACCAAAAGATAGCGCTGCCTCTTAAAATAATTCCAGCAACCCATGAGTTGTCTAAGACCACGACAATGTCACATCTATAAAAATAAAAAAAAGAATACTGACACTTACGGATTCTTTGACGGCCAGAAAACCATGGCACATCCATCTCCTTGTTGTACCATCTCGACAAATGTATGCAAAGCCTTTCTCATGATTTCTATCTGGAGCACAAAACGATACCTTTTCTATTGTTTGATCAACAATCATACTCTGAAGAAAAAAAAAACAGAAATAATTGTTTCTTACCTTCTAAAATTATAGTTACATTCCTTTAATACTGAATCTCATAATGAATTTATATTAAAAATGAAAAAAAAAGTATTTTAAAAATATGGTAAGCAGCAGCATAATTGAAATATAGATCTACCTTGCTGATTTCATCAACAACTCTTAATGCATCCCCTGACACATAAAGTACAGCTCTTTGGTATTTGCCCTTGCATTGCTGTTGAAAAAAAAGTACACTTGCTAAGTCAATAATTTAAAAATATTAAAAAACCAACAGCTTATTTGAAAAAAAGCAATTCATTTATCAACTATCGGTAATTAATTTGTTTTTTGTTGTTTTTTTGTTATCACATACTGTTTTATGCACTGTAAAAATTTTTGTAAAATAATGAGCCTTTTACTATTCCTTTTATATTGCAAGTGAAAACTAAATATGAAGAGTTGCTAATGTAAAGACAAAATGCTTACCGATTTTAAAGCTTTAACAGCTTCCTCGCATATATGCATTCCTCTTGAATCAAACACCTCAATGTATCCTAAATACTATTTTTATAAAAATAGTTTTTAATTTTGTTTACAGTAAGTGGTTATTCAAACTGTTTTATAAGGGTCTATTAAGACACATGAATTTAGACAATGTGTGCTATGCTCTTAAAACTCTGACATCAGGTATAGTATAGTGCTACATGCGAAGGGACATTGCTATACTTAGCAGCATTGTATCTGTTGTCTAAGAGTAACAATTGTTTTCTCAACTGTTCCAGTTGAGAAACAAAAATTAGCAGTGCTCCCACATATTCAACTGCTGTTTTTGTGACAGGGTCCATGGTGCTTTTCTATAATTTGTTTTATATATGTATATTATGATATAGATTTATGTAGGATAAAAAGTGAAATAGCTGATAAGATACATTTTATATTTATAGCCAGGAGAAAAGCATAAGTTCTATATTATGAACCTTGTCAAAGCAATCATCTCAGTCAGGTTCTTTAGGATATCTGAGAAAAGTGCTATGACCTCTAGATCTTAGTTCTAAGTTGGATGATACAATGAGGTATATCTTTTTAAAGGTGAAATGCTAAACACATTATTAGACATGCAATTTCAGTTGCAATAATTATAAATAAATAGCAAAAAAGAAAAACATGATCTTGTTTGAGATTTACTAGCATTAAATAAATAGGACAGAACGGTGGGGTAACAGAGCTCATGACTGCTAAACCAATAGTCATGAGTGTTAGTCCATAGGATGTCTATCTAGCTCTAATGGGTACCTACCTCATGTCAAAGAAAGTAAAGGTGACTTGGTCGCTATACTATCTCTTCATGAGCAAAGATGAAACAAATGAACTCTTTGTCACCTGTCCAATCTAATAATTGTCAGGTCCCAAAGATCATTTTTATTTCTCTTGTACCATTAATTTTTAAAATGTGCATAAGTTGTGATTAGTATTTATATCTTCAGTTCAGTGTTTTAACTTTACTAACCATTATAAATGATATGCTGGTACTTACTCTGACTTGGAAACTACATGTTCCCTCACGGACTTTCTTTTCATCCTCTTGCCATTGGTGAGGCTTGGAACATTCTGGAACATGATCTTTCTTTTTTCTGAAACTAAGCCTTCTTCTGAGGCTTTGCATTATACCTCGATAACGACCAAACCTTTTGCTTCTGAAAACAGAACAAAAGAAAAATTTTCTTTTAGTTAAAAGAAAAAATTCTAAACCAAAGATACTGCATGAGGAAATTATGAGTATGTTGTTACTATTCTTAAAAACAAACAAAAAATGATTCATAATATAAATAACTTTAATTACACTGTTACAATGAAATAACCATACTAAAAACTATTTGGTACCAACTTACAGTATAAGTTTATTATAAAGCTATGCATTTCATAGTTACAAAAACACATAAAAAGAATGCTAAGCTACAGCTTAAACATTTGAATTATTTGCTTAGAATAAATTTTACATTATCAGCATTTTAAAAACAATTTCACTAATATCAGAAGTACTTTATGATATTTCTGCCTATTAATCAATGAAACTTCATTTATCTAAGATGAAGTTCATCAGCAACAAATCCTAAGTACAGCACTTTAAAATAAGTATCTTCATATTTATGTAGGGTAGAGGTGGGTAATCCATATCGGTGTGCAATTTGTACCACCCTCAGAAGCAGAAATTGATTTGTGGTCAAAGACAGCTAAAGCTTACCATACTATGTCGAGTAAAAAGTACCAATAAGTTTTTGCTTCTTTGCTTTCAGAAGACAGACTAGCAATTTCAAAAGGCAGTTCAGTCTTACAGAGATAGCATTTGTGATCAGAAGTTTTTGGGGCTTTTGTGATACATTCTAAGTAAAAAATAAACTGTTTCCAATTTGAAGCTTTTTGTAATTAATTTGTTTCCTTATGAGGTATGAACTGCCCACTCTCCATCTATTACTATTTATTAAATAATAGAAGTAGCCCAATAATGAAAAAAATCATGTTAAAGAAACAAAGTAATGTCAATATACTTAAATACTAGCAGTAAAATATGCTATTTCGAGGTTCAATTTCAAGACATGCAAAAGCATGGGGTGTAATACATTTTTAGTGATATAGAGTATTACATGAATGAATCATGTATGATTATATATAATTACATCCAGTTCCATATTATCGAAATCCTAGTGTACCTGTAGGCTACAGGACATCCCTCCCCCCTAAAGTTAGAATCCTAACTCTAACTCAAATTCTATAGGGCCTACTTATATATTACCTTAATCCTAACCTTAAGAAAAAGAGCAAAACCTAAGTATTCACATAACCCTAAAACTTAACACAAAACCAATGCTTGCCATTGTTTTTAAAGCCTAACCATAACCCTAGCCCTAACACTAAACCTAACCATAACAATAGCCCTAACCCTGACCCTAACCATCATAGCCCTGTCCGGGGGGGGGGGTGTCCTATTGGGCAGGGGGGGGGGGGTAATTGACAGGAGGGTAATATGCCCAGGGTGATAAGTGACAGGGGTGGGGGGGGGTGTTAATGCCCTGTTCCCGTACCTGTATCATATTTTTAAAAATGCAATAAACTATTCAATTTTAATAAATTAAAACTTTTTCATTAGCTAATTTTTAGCTATATAAATATATATCATTGTCTACTTGGGACCATCATGCGGGACACCACCACCACGTACGCACGCCGACCCGTCCCCCTCCCTCGCTCTCCAGGCATATGCAACAGACCCAATTGCTATCGCCCCCACCTGTCTGGTGAGCTGTGCTTCAAGCCGAATATTTTACAATCTTAGAGCCGCGGGTCGGCTCGTATTCTCATATTTCAGCTATGAAGCTCCATGTAGTATTAGTATTAACTAATATTATTTCAGAGACGTAACCGCTATGATTTTTTATTTTACAAAGTGGGGAAGATGGAAGGAATTGGGAGCAGTGACGGAGGTATTTTTCTTAAACAATTCTCGGAATTTCAATACTATTTTTAAACGTATTAAATAACGGAAACAGTTTACAAGCAATTATATCTAGGCCTGATAGATTGTGTAACCAAATAATTTTAAGTCTACATCATTAATCTGTGCCAACGCCTAGGTCTCAATTTTTCTTAATACAAATAACTATCTAAAAAAACAAGATAAAAATTGAATATTTAAATAACAGCGCGTGTTGATTGTGCTCGCGTGATCTCGTTTTAAATCCTAGACATCACGAGGTCAGCGCGATCATGAGAAACAGATGAAGGCAGTGATAAACGTGTTGTGGAGACACGTTTATCGTTAAGTCTTTAAGTGTTAGTAAAAGTAATATGATGAAAAACATTAGTTTCATACCTATAATAGTCCTTCAAATCAATTAGCTTTTTCTTTTTATTCAAACGAGAGGTAGATCTACATTGTCCACACACAATGACTATGCTTCCATAAATCATTTTAGATAGCCGTAGAACATTCGCACGGTCACTTAGTTTACCGCCGTTGACTAACAATTCCCATTCTCCCCCCCCCCCCCCCTCCCCCCCCCCCATTCCCCCCAATGACGTAGTAACTGGATGAAAGGGATCATTTCCTTCGGCGAACCAGCGAAAAAAAAAATTAAGGCAGCCGAGTGAAACTCGATCATTGTTGTGAACATGGATAGATACTGGGTTTGTTTTTAGCTTTTGATTGTTGTTTTTTAATATTTTGTCATCAAAGCGGCCGTTAAAAAAATATTCAGATTATTAAATTTTTTTGGATCAATGTTATAAAAGGTGAAAATCCAGAGAACTTGAAATTTTGTTTTTGGTTTAAGACTACATTTCTATTTATTTTCATCAAGCCTAAAATAATCGATCTTCTGAAAAATCCCAGTTCATAGTAATATGCTCTTAAAACTATGTCGATAAAATTTTAGAATATTTTTTTATTACATGACATACTTATGTCATTTTTTGTTTACATTTTCTGTGATAAAAAATAAACAACCAAATTTTTGAAGTTATATTTCTAAAATTTAACTCCAGACATTTTTCTGCATTACTTTTAATTTAAACCTTCCCGGAAATCGGCGGAAACGGTTTCCGATTTTTTAAAGTCTGTCCGCTCGATTTTTACCTACACAAATGCCCTGACTACTTTTTGTTAGTTGCTTTAGGGATTGTGAGAAATATCCGTTCATAACGTCACGTCACTTCATATTAGACCTTCGAACCCCCCCCCCCCCCATTATTTTTTTATCAAGACCCCTGTCCACACGCGCACCGCCCGCAGTTCATTGGCACAAAAATGACTCATGAAATGCGAGTACAACGCTTTACTATAAACTAGCCGTCCCGGCCAGGCCCTGCTCTGGCTTCTGTGAAAAACCTTCCTGTTAAAGACCATTACCTGTGTGTTTAGTAATCATCATAAACCCGGCATTGCCCACCCAAACCACAACCAACCAAAACCAAAACAACAAAACGCAAACATAACGCTAACACAATTACAAATACAAACGAAAACAAAAACCTAACAACAAACCCAACCACAACCACAAACACCAATACAAACACAAAGAAAAAACAAACAAAAAAGCAAACGAAAACAAAAACCTAACAACAAACCCAACCACAAACACCAATACCAACAAAAAAAAACAACGAAAAAGCAAACGAAAACAAACCAAATTCAAACGCAAAACCAACCAAAAACACAAATACAAACCCACAAAAAAAAACACAAACAAAAACGAAAAAAGAAAGAACAAAAACGAACCAAATCAAAACGCAACCACTAACGCAAACCCACCTAAACACAAAGAAAACACTAACGCGAACATAAACGCCCGGGGCGGAATCACCTGTTTTAGCTTAATGAACGACTATAGTACCCCAACTTATTCACAGTCTTTTGCACTCACTTAAACGAACGCGCCTGTTTCAATTTGATGAACAATTTTAATACTCCAAGCTTATCCGTAAAATACCTACAACATTTGCACTTGATCAATCCCCGCTAATTATGTAATTATTTTTTTTTCCCAACACCAAAACAAAGTAATTAAAAAGTAAATTATTTTCGACTAATGCAATGGTTTCATAAAGGGAAGTAATTTTGTTTTCCTAATTTATCAAAGGGAAGTAAGTGTTATAGGACTAAATAAAGACATAATTAGAATTTTTGTAAAAGATGATATTTTTTTAAACTTGTGTTTAATGAACATGCCGACAATTATTACTGTAATTTGAAAAATGAAAATGATTTCCCAACACTTTCAACGGTAATTTTTTAGCTCATAAATTTAGACAAATGCGCACGATAATTTTCTAACACTTAAATTCGTACACTTCCAACGACATACAAATGCATTACATACAGAACTGAGCTTTATATATTAGATAATAATGAAATATTTAGTAGAAAACTTTAAAATGTCCTATTCATGCAGTTGTGTTCATGGTCATTTATTTTGGGTTTACGGTTACATACGTTAACTAAGAAGCATAGCCAGGGGAGGACGAGTGGGGCGACGACAAATAGGGTAGCAAAAAAAAAGCTCACTCAGAGCTGCATTACCGTTTTATACACAGTCGAAGTTAACAATATGGACTTCTTAAACTGTTTTTTTTTTACTTGCATTAACCGATGATTAACCCCGTGAAGCCAAAACACAAATTGTTAAGAGGCAGTCACTCGTAAAAAAAACCGCCCACAAACCTTCCAAATTGGAGGAGGGGGTGGGGGTGAACCATGTGGAAACTTTAAAACATATTTGCAAATGTATTCTTGGCATGCCAGAAGCAAGTTCTCATACATAAAAGTCAACTAAATATAATAACTAAATATAATATACATTGATCACTTTCTTTACATAGAAATTACAGCCGTCTCATCTCGACCTAGGTCGGGGTGAAAACGTGCGTGTGGAAGTGGCCAACTCTACTTCCTTTAACTTACACTTTAAAAAATAAAGTATAGAAAATACAACCGGTTCTGTTACCTTACGCAACTTTAAGTACTGCTATTATAAAATTGCACTATAGTGTAACATAATATCATTGAATACAGCTGGTTAAATAATAATGTAAATTATTGGTTAGTAAATTGCTAACTCAATTAAATAGTAGTTTGGTTACAGTGTTAAAATTATCATGCAGTTATTTTTAGAAAGTTATGTGTGTGTGATCAAAACACGTTATTGGGCATACATTGTTTATTATAACTCGTACATAAAGCAAATAATTTTTGTTATTAGATATGGAAGGAAAAATAAGACAAAATGTTTTTTTTGACTCACTCTCTCTGCTCCATGCTTGAAGTAAACAACGTCGCTCAAAAATGTTGGCTTGTTTATCCAATGATTTAAATGTTCTATTAATGCAATTATTAAATTGTCAAAACTACAAACCAGTCATCCAATTTTAACAACTAACATTTCTATCTAATTTAGCAAAAAAAGTAAGTACATGACATAACAAATAAATAACAATAACAGTCTAGATCTAATGCTCCCTAACCATCGGTTTAAAATGGGAGTGTCTAAAAATAGTCCATGGAGGAAAACAGTTTGCAAAGCCAGGCTAACAAAGCAGCAAAACGGCCTGGTTGATATGTGACCCTAGGTAAGAAGACACGAAGAAACTGTCCTACTTAACTGGGTCGCCAACTTAACATACATTCCACGGCACATGCTTTGTGTATTGTGTAGTGCGTAGAATATTTTAGTCACAGCCTTCAACAAAACAACATTTTTTAAAAATGTTATAACAATATTTTAAATAGGCCTACCAGCTTTTAAGGCCCACCCTAAAGCCTTCTTTGTAAATTGTTTTCAGATCATATTCAGACAACGGTTGATTATTTCATAATACACCTCTTTCAATAGCCCTTGCATAACAAAATTTGAGCATTGTTTTTTTTAAAATAAAGAATCATGTCTAGTTAATTTGATACTTGCATTTTCATTTAATGTTTATATAAAGGCATAGCCTTTGGCTAGCGAAATTAAAGTTTTAAAAATACAACCCAACTGTTACTGACAAGACGCAATTAAATATTTTTTTAAAGACCAATACTTTGCCTTTAGTTCTAAGCCTGCACATTCGTGTAATATCACTGACAGAGACTAACGGAACTTCAACCTGTGTTGCCGTACCGGCAATTAAACTAATTCCTTTGTTTTTATACAGCAACACCACAGCCTAATATCAAACTTTAACTAAATGCGAACAGAGACATCATTCAGCATTTATTTATTATGAATAAAGGAATCTCTTTAAATAACACGTCCTTTCTATCACGCTAGCTAATTAAGAACTGGCCGTTTGGTAGGTCTACACGCGGTAAAAATAGACCACGAAAGGTTACAGCTATCCGCCGTGTAATTAAGCCCTTTGATAAGATCGACTAAGTTTATAAAAAAAAAATGTTTAAGGCATTAATACCGATAGATACCTTTTCGTTAAAAAATGGGTAAAATAATTTTAAAATAATTTTCAGTTAGACCCATAATGTGTTTTTAATTTTTATTTTTCATAAGACTATGATAAATGACCGATGAATAAATTAAGACTAATCCAAAACTAAACTCTGACAGTGTACGGCTATGCAAACAGTACCGTACCCAATTTTAAAATAGATGAGAACCACTGAACCTTAAGGTCAGGTTTCCCAAAACCTTAACTGTCCAGATGAGGCATGTAGCGTCTTTATCTAGTCCTTGCTGGCTCAAGTAACACCAGTAATTAGGAGCCGAGTGTTGTACAGCTTTAGCTCACGTAGTGCGTTTGTAAAAGCCATTTAAACACGCAAGTTAGATGAGTTAGTCAGCTTCAATACGGATTCATATTCAGGTAAAGTATTACAACATTAATATCACTGTACAAAAATAATCACACTAGTTACTTTCATAGCAAACAAGTTCACACAGAAATTTTTAAAAAATATTAATTGACGTTTAGGTAGGACTATTTAATCGATTAGCCATGCCCGCATATTGGCAGTAGGGTCGCCAAAATGGCGTCATGCTATTTGAGCCGATGTTACACCCCCACCTCCCAACAAAGGCCTGCTCACATTTCTTAATACCCCCTCTCACAAGCAAGGAATGCACCTACATTTGTGGCGTCATTTATGAGTGACATCATTGCTGATCTCCATCTTGGTTATGTTAAGGATTGAAACATAGGGGTAAGACCTTCGACTTAAATATACGCAAGTAGCAGCACATGAAGCTATATTTCAGCTCTGACACTCTTTATTGTAAGACTGCAATTACAATATCTTATATCTTATAACTGTATTTTTTCTACTCTTTAATAGGCTGGAGGAGGAGTGCTACTCTTTAATTGGATGGAGGGGGGGATATGACACCATTAGAATAAGAAAGCTCAATGTCGACTATAGCACCAATATGGAACATACATTAAATAATTGTTATTTTGTGTGAATGCATTACTCAATAACAGAATGCAAGTGTGCTGACAGTTTTTAGACTGTGATTTTAAATAAACCCAGTCATCAGCAATTTACTTTGTCTATAGTGAAACTGCTAATCTGTAGTAATACATAAATAGGTACACTCCTCTTTCTTGCTACAGCAACAAAATGACTTATACAGAGTGTTGCACAATCAATGTCAATATCCATAGACAAAGCATATTTCCACCTTTCCTTTTAAAAAGTACAGCTTAATCAATGTAAGAATGAGACCAAAAGTAAGTCAATGGCATGCCTACACATTTACAATTAAAGAGTTGAGCATAAAAAACATAATATAATATGCAGACACTATTTTCTTTTCAACTTTTGGTGGTTATGGTATACAGATTTGTACTGTTATGATTGTACAACATATTTAAAATTTGCATAATTTACTTTATCACCATACATAAAATTATGCTTTTGCATGAAATGAAAAAAACCCACAGTTCACTGAATCATGATTTGATGTTTCATTCAAAGATCAATATTTTTGGAATTTCCATTTGCCCTCAAATGTGAGTCAATCAATCATACTATAACTTTGAATATAATATATTCATTTTAAAAATAGCTGAATGATAATTGCAAGTAAATTGCTAATTTAGTAATTAGATTAGCCTAATCCTAAATCTTCCCACAATCTCAAGAGTCAATAGCAAAGTGACCAGCAATCTTTAATCTAATTGGGTCATTCTATTGATTTTATATAAAAACTACCAGAATATAGGCCAACATAATGAATTTAAAGGTAGGTCCTAGTTAGTATCCTAGTAATTATTGTTAAGTAGCCCATGTAAATTAGATAAAGCAGATTTATCAAATCTAGATATACAAAACATTCAACAAAAGCACCTGCAGGCCCATATTTAAATTACAGTATCAGCACTAATTAACTAGGAATACTATAAGACTGGTTTAAAACAGACCCCCCCCCCCAAAAAAAAAAAAAAAAACTACAAATAGAAAGGATTTAGAAATAGAATCAGGAGGAAGTACAAAAACAGATCTATATCCTTAGTTTTAAGGAGCTTAAGGTTTATAAAGTAGGCTCATAAAGATTAGTAATGAAGCTCAACAAGAACTTTTTAAATTGAGATCTAGATCTAGACTAGATCCTAGATGTAAGACCTGTGTGTACTTGTCCTGGGTTAATGTGGAGATAAAAAAAACTAAAAATAAATTAGATCTAATCTATAGATCTATATCTACTAGGTAGTATAATTATAATTATAAGTTATTGTAGGCCTAATAGATCTAGAATCTATGTACTAGGCTAAATTAATTAGTCTACTTAAAACTTTTATCATATTATGGCCTATAAAAACTAGTTATCTATATCTAGGCCTGTAAATAAGGCCTATCTGATTCAAATTAATTAGTTAATTTAGGCCTAGTAGAGCAGAGCTATAATCAATAAATCAGGTCTGCTTAGTAATAGTCTTATGCCTATGCCTAATTGAATTAGTTTATAGTTAGGTCTATGTGCCTGTCTAGGCTATAGGTCTATCTTATTATTAATTTATTTGCCTATCCAATGTCCTAATAATGCTAATATTCATATATATATATATATATATATATATATATATATATATATATAGGCCTATATATATATATATATATATATATATATATATATATATATATATATATATATATATATATATATATATATATATATATATATATATATATATATGAATCTACAGGCCTGACTATCTCTATTTAAGAGCAGACTAGAAAATCTCTAGATCTAGATTTTTTTATCTTGATCCTAGACCTAGAATCTAGACTCTAACCTTTCTACAGAGTGACAACTTGGAAACAGATTTTTCGCCCCAGCATCTCCATCGGCATCGGGTCGGCAAAAGATAGTTCTGCGCAAGCACAGTGACCTTAATAAGTTAATAGCTTAGCTAGGGTTATGGCTAGGGTTCAGTGGTTTGTTTGAAAACATATGCATGTGCAGTACCATCGAAAACATCTAAGGAAAGTCGGTTTCTCTCCATAGCACATGTGTATCTTTTTCTGGCTAGAATCGGCCTTCTTTCTATTCTATTGTCTAACCTAACAGTTACAGTAGATGAGTACAGAGTAGACCAACAGTACTACTAACACTGACTAACCTAACAGTCTAACTAAACTAAGTGTAATCTCATCCTTTATTACTATTAGATCTAGAATCTAGATCTAGTATTAATTTATTAGTCTAGCCTAGACGTAGAATCTAGATCTAGATCTAGATATCTAGATCTAGATCTAGTACTTGTTCACTAGAATGACATTATCTAGGCCTAGCTAGATCTAGAAATCTAGACTAGTGACAATCTACACTAGATCTAGATTAGATCTAGAGATCTAGATTAGATCTAGATTAGATTCTAGATCTAGATTCTCCTAAGTCCTAAGTGACCGAACAACTTAAAAATTTCAAAAAAAAAAAAGTAAAATTGCTTGTGGATCTAAAACTAAACTAAGATCTAGAATCTAGTCTTGATCTAGATCTAGATCAAGCGGAGAAAGTGTATGATATAAATTACGTCTAGAATCTAGATCTAGATTTTCCAGATCTAGATGTAGATCTAGTTATTATTAGAGATCTAGGCTATAATTATTAATTAAATTTCGTAAGTAGTAAAAAGTCAATAACCACCGACAGCCATTTTGTGTCTGGCACAAACTGATGTAACATATTCATGCGCACACAACATGCACACATAACGTAGCCCACTGAAATTTATTAAAATTTAGCTAGTGACAATATATTGAGAAAGTAAATGTCTTACCTTTAAAAAGTTGTAAATCCTGTAGAATAATGATACTAACACATAACGGTTTTCAATATTACTCTTCTGGGATTGCTATATTCATTCCTTTAGCAGCAGGGTTATCACTTTCGATGGCCAAATTCCAACCAGTCCACTACGCTGCATTGCACACTAAGCCTAAGCTACACCAGTAATAGTTTTATGTGGGTTGCTATACTAATACAAAGTCAATGCGTTAATTTAAATTCAGCTTCGATGAAATTGCTGTTTCAACAAAACTAGTGTGAAATTATTTAAAATAACTATTCAATTATTCACAATTGCATTAACAATCATAGCGAAATCAGACGAAAACTTCAGGTGAATACAAAAATTATTAGGCTACTGCAAAAATAGCCACACAAAAACGGATGTTGATTTACGCATGCGCTTGGAGCAATCGATTTCTCCATATCGTTCCACCCTTCCACACCTTAGCTGACACAATGTTATGCTCAGGTGTTGAAGATAAACCGTAAAGGGACCTTAATGTTTTAAATTGAATGGTTCAAACTGTAAATGAAGGAGGGAGTTGTATATTTTAAATTACATTACTTAGGCCTCATAGTTCTTAGATTTTGCATTTCACAACTTAACTTAACTGACAAGATAGTCCTAATAAAATAGTAAAATAAATCTCTAGGTTAGGGGTCATCCATAAATGACGTCACGCTTTTTTGGACGATTTTTACCTCCCCCCTCCCCTCCGTCACACGTCGTCACAAAAAGCCAGACCCCCCCCCCTTAAAATGACGTCACACCTCAACCTACAACCCCCCTCAAAATTGCAGTTGAATTTTTTTTAAACATCGATATTTTCCCAAAATCTTGTCTAAACTATTACAATTTATTAAAACAGTTATCTAAAACGCAAAATAACGTCTAAAATTCGTTTTCTAACATTGCTTTTTTTATAATGCAAAAATGTGACGTCGCAACATCTGATCCCCCCCCCTCCCCCTCATCACACTTCGTCACAAAATTATGGACCCCCCTCCCCCCTTCGAGTGTGACGTCATTTATGGATGACCCCTTATAAAATCTATGTGGATATATATATCACAATATTCTAGATTTCGATCTAGATCTGTTTCATCAAATGAAAATCCGTATGACAGCAAGCAGGTTTACAACGCTGGACAATCCGTATTTCAACCATTGTTTCTTCCAGACTTTTTTCTCCGAGTGGGGGGGGGGGGGGGGCGGAGGGCGGACACTGGTAAAAGTATATATATATAAATTAAATTCCATTTCGTTCAGGGCCTGGAAGAAACTCTGATTTCAACTTGTAAACTGAGTGCAAACGACGAGAGTTTAGTTGTGATTAGGTCGACAAACCTTCAGCTTTGGAACCGTATGTCATCAATCTATATATTTAATTCTCTTCTTGGGAACCATGCGAGACACCACCAAGACGTAACGTCAACAGACCATATCGCTACCACCCCCACCAGTCTGGTGAGCTGTTTACCATCGGTGACGGCTATTAGGGGCAGATAATTTAGTTTTTAAACAATTTGAAACTAATAGGAGGTAATAACACGTTCCGCTTGATCTTTTCATTGTAGTCCATAAACTGTCATCACGGATGGCTGCTTTCACGGGGGAGGAGGAAGGAGTGGAAAGTGAGGAAAGTGAGGGTGAGAATAATCGTCCTTCACTAGCTAATATAGTGTTTTAAAGGAAAATATTTTCAGTCGCAGCATTGGTAATGTTGAATTCACAAAATATGAAAAATCTATCTATATATTTATATATTCCTCTTCTTGGATACCCTAGAAAACAAGCTGTAAGCGCGCTTAGCATCCCCCTCTCTTCCTCTCTAGGCATATCCCTACCACCCCCACCCCCACATGGTCTGATGAGCTGTGGTTCACGCTAAATGTTTACAATCGTAGAGCCTGGTTTAGTGACGGCTATTAGGGGCAGATAATTTAGTTTGAAACTATTTTAAACTTAGGGGAGGTAACTAAGAGGAGGCTGCTTTCAGGGGGGGGGGTGTAGGGTAGGGGTTGGGGGAAAGGAGGGTGGGGGTAGTATCGTCCTTAACGACCTACTGATTGTGTTTTAAAGCAAATATTCTCAGTGGCAGGACTGGTACTGTCGAATTCACAAATTATGAATTACTGAAAAGTAAAAAATAAAACATCTAAATAGCGGCACATGAAACGCCGCGGGTCGGCTCGTAGGAAATAAAACAACTAAATAGCGGGTCAGCTCGTAAATAATATTGGGATATGTCTACGATTTAAGAAAAACAAGTATAAAACGTTTTAATAACAAGCGTTTATGTAAGAATGCACTAGAAGTGGTCGGGATTTCGCTTGACAGACCGAAAAATAACAAACAAGCAAGTTAAATAAAATCATTTTAAAAATATCATCATGTCCATCCCAGTGATCACGTCCGCATCTTATTTTAATTAATTAACAGGCAGGCGAGTGATTACTTTGAATATTTTTATCGTTTTAAATTTTAATGCCCCTTTGTGGGTCGACCATGATTGACTTCATGCATACTTTTGTACTACTATTTGAACTACGATCGACCCAAAACGGCCACCCTCAAAATGACGTCACATTTTTAAACCTCTCACTTCTCATATGGTTACAAAAAGTCTCAACCCAAACCCCTAAATTTATGGAGATCAATGCAGTAGCGTAGCGAGGGGGGGGGGGGGGGGGGAGGATATGTCCCCGGCGACGACCTTAGGGGGCGCCAAAATGGGTTGGAAAAATAAATTGAAAGGTTGAGGGGGGTGCAAATCAAAAGTTTGAAGGGGGGGGGGTGCAAATAGAAATCTTGAAGGGGGGGGGGGGGGCAAATCGAAAGTTTGTCCCCGGGCGCCGGGAAGGGTCGCTACGCCTCTGGATCAATGGGCCTTTCAATTGCTATTTTGGACGTCAGACTACAAAATACAAAGTTTCTTCCAGGAATCCCCGAAAAAAGTTTACCCCCCCCCCCCCGAACTAAATGGAATTTATATAGAAAACATACTTTTACAAGTGTCCGCCGCCCCCCCCCCCCCGGGGAGTCTGGAAGAAACACAGTACAAATATGACTTCACATTTGAAGTGGGGAGGGGCTGGGGTCCATAATAATGTGGCGATGTGTGAGGAGGAGGGGGGATTCAGATAGTGTGACGTCACACTTTTGCATTTTGAAAAAGTAACGTTAGAAACCGAATTTTAGCCTTTATATCGCGGTTTAGAAAACTATTTCAATAAATTGTAATAGAAAATGATTAAAATACTCTATATGCTGTTGGAGCTCAGTCAATATTTAAAAAAAAATTAATCGATGTTTAAAAAAAATCCAACAGTAATTTTAATGTGTGTGTGTGTGGGGGGGGGGGGGCTAAGGTGTGATATCATTGTAGGGGGGGGAGATGTCTGGCTTTTTGTGATGATGTGTGAAGAAGGGGAGATAACATTCATCAAAAGCATGACGCCATTTTCGATGAGCCCTAAGGGTCGTCCATAAGTGACGCCATAGAACTGGGCCAAACTTTTTGGGCCAATGTGTATTTCAGAAAGGGGCTTAAATGCGACTGTATTGTTTTAAAATGCTAAGAAATATTTAAAATCAGTTGTTTAGTTTAAGGGGAGAGTGAAACTTACGGACGCCTATTTAGGGCGGAGAGTGATTTTTTTGTGTAAGACAAAAGTAAGCTAAAAATACGTGTCGTCTTCAGTGGCGTCGCTTATTTTCTTTCAGTAATCTCTTCCAACTACATAGAATTTGTATACTAAATGTATACTTTAACCAATGTCCACAGCCCCCCCCCCCCCCACACCAAAGAAAAATGTCTGAAAGAAACACTGATTGGTCATTATGTGTCAACCGGTGCGGTGACTGAGTGCCCCCCCCCCCCCCTCCCCCATGGAAAATTCAGTTTCCATTTACCATTGAAAAGTATGACGTCACATTTTCTGAACCCATTCCCCTCTTCACATAAGTCCGCTTCGTTTTCCCTCCCAAAGTGTGAGGTTTTTTTTTTAAAAATGCCAATACGAATTATTGATGATTATAATTTCACTGCATTCGTTTTTTTTTCCATAAACAAGCATGTAAAGTTAAAGAGGAAATACTTTTTTGTACTCTCAAAACTTCTAACAATTCTTGTATCTTCTGTCCCTATATAGCAACTAATCAAATCATCGATTTTGACAGCTTACAACAATAAACCGATGATGGCATGTGGGTCTGTTATACACAATACACTATTGGATTGTTGCTGAGTGCTTTGTGAAGTGGCAGATCACACTTATCAAGTACTTGGACACTTGAGGCTAAGTTAATACTTCCTCCCATGAAGGATCAACACTAATTGGAGAAGCAATCAAACGCTCACAGTTGCCAAGTGCTTTTTTCCTTTTACGGGCTGTAGAGGAGACAAAAAGCATCGTCATAACATGGATATCACAAACACGCTTATTTCATCCATGTCATGTACTTTCATTTCTTTACCTTCGCTCTGATAAAGACTTGTTATATTCTTAGACTAACCTTAATCCAAATGTAAAGGTAATGCATTAAAAAATTAGTCTCGCAATACTTTGCCACTTATAGAAAAACATTAGCTAGCCTTAACCTCAGTCCCAAACTAATTATTTCCGAGAGAGCTCAAATAGTAAGATTTTGTTTAACAAATTAAGAAATTCTAAAAAATATAACTATAATAAGCATCTAAAACTAGATCGCCACTAGAGAAAGTTTGCGCACCGTTGCTTATTTCCTTAAAGTAAGACAAAATAAGAACTTCCTCACAGTAGTATGTGTAGGACAACGTCTGCGGTACATCTAGGCATGAGTTTAATGCAACGATTGTAGTATGCAGTTTATATAAAGCTGCTTGAAACCCTCATCATGTACTAAGCGTTACTATACTTTTATAACATTTTGTTGGATGTTAGTCAGTTTATTACAACCAACAGGTTATATTTAATTTTTCTGCATGCAGATAGCTTAATTGTAAACTGTATAATAACACATATTACAAAGTGACAAAGAAATGACATGTAGACATGATGTATTTATTCATGAATATAGTAGACTCATATAAGAAAAAAAAAACAATGTGCTGCTACAATAGGAAAGTTAAAATAATCTAGATTGAATAACCTTCATGACTTTTCACAATATCTAATATTTAACAAGATTTCAAACATATCAAACAGATGCTTTTAGATGAATGAAGATGAAACTCAAATACACTATCATTCAACCCCATGGGAAAGCTCAATACACCAGCACATATCTAGAAAGGGATACAAAAAGAAGTCAACAAATGGTCACATTTTATACACACTAAGAAAATCCACCTATCAGCAAAATCTAAAACCAATATTTGCAGAATTAACATTTCTTCAACTCAAAACCTCAGGAATTTTACTACATAATTTGTTAATATGGAATTGTTTGATCAACATTACATTGAGTGAACATTTCATTTAGAGCAGTTAAAAACTGTGTATCATTGTTGACAGTTTAGACAGAAATGACTTAATGGATATAGTTATAATGCACAATGTTTTTGAAGGTTAACCTTTGTGAAAGTTCAAATCACATGTTAACAAACACCTTTACAGAATCTAATAATAATTATGCTACCTTCAGAAAAACATCTAAGGAATGCTTTAAGAACTACACAATTTTCTTTCTAAGGGATAAATAATAAACTTGATTGTTCCATAATAAAACCGGATTAGTAAAATTAATAACTGTCTAAAATCAGCAAAAGTTTAATGAAAATAGGAAATGGTATTATGAGAATATTCCACACAATGGTACAATTTTGTTTAGCTACATAGTGAACAGCATAGTCTATAAGAAATAAATATTTTAATAAATTTACTAATTTGTTCATCAAAAGTTAACTAAAAGATAAGAAACTAACACAACCATAGATATAAACAAGTGGTCGAATTTCACATTATTTTAATATAGTGTAGACCACTTGAAGAAGCTAGTTTCAACACCCTTGACAATCTGCTTAAGCCTAATTCATAACCAGATTGGTTTTCTTTCCTGATTTCCTTTAATAAAATTATAATAAAAGTTATACATAGTCAAGTAAAGAGTAATCTCCACAAGCAAGCACTACATATCTAGTTTATATTGAATTAGCTTTGTTATAGGTACACTTATACTTACAAATAATTTATACAATGGACATAATAATATATTTTTTACAAAAATGTACAGAATAGAAAAAGCTAGAAAAATTCCTCAACAAGGTTTGAATTGGTCAACAACTAGCATAAATGGAGCTCTGCAAAAGATTCAGTACTTCTATATTTAAAAAGCACAAAATATTGTCACACTTAAAGATGATTTAGGACACTAATTGAAAAAAAAAAGCATACACATGTACAATTTTTGTATTTAAAAAAAACCCTAATCCTACCATTTTAAACCCTTATATGTACACTGATGGCATGTTATGATGACATTCACATGAAGAACCTCTGTAGAAAATTTAGAAACAAACAAAAAATTAACAGGATTGTGTTTAGCAATACTAAAATGAATTTATTCTCTCCAGCTCTAGAGCATTCTTGTGGAATAAGACCAAAATGATCTAAATTAACATTAAAGAGACAATATTTTTGATTTTTCTCATATAAAGAGAAGTCATCAGCTTTTCAAAAAAAATTACTGATAATGCTGTGAATTTTTTCCGGTCAAGTTAGTATTGTTTTATGCGGTTTATTGTGTTAACACTCTTCAAGTTAACTTCTAATAATAATGTTGTAGAGAAAGTTGTTTAGAATAATAACCAGTATTTGGATTTTTACATTAGCAGTAAAAACAAGTGGAATTACAAATAACCTTAAAATTTTTTAAAGGCATTTGCAACATTCTGATTTCAATGATTAAAGGTACATTTTGTATTGCTTCTAACCAGTGGCTATTTTTCAATCAATACATAGTTTTACCAAATATTACAAAGTGCACAACATTATGTTAGTTCTGCTTTTTTGAATAAATTATACCACAAATGAATAAAATATTTAATTTCAAAACAACCAAATTAGTATAATTGTTACAATTTGCTATGACTAAGATAGGACAAAATTTCGAACCCATTTCAAAAGTTTTCAATATTATTTAAATGGATCATATAAACAATTATTTTACGGTTTGGTAGATTTTAACTGAATACAGTTTAATGACTCGCATTAATGTGGTTTTATCAACTTTAATGCAATTCAAGTTGTATTAAAAATAATTTTCATAAACATAAAACCTTATTAGAAATATGTGCTAAATTAAATTAAAAATTGGTAAATTTAAAACAATTTACTTGTTTCTTTACATACATTAAACATATTTGCATCTGGCTAGATTTCAATACAACAAAACAGCACACACAAACATTGAGGAATTGCTAGAGAATATCTCCCTTGATTAAAGACTAGAACATTTCTAGGGCACGTCATACAAAGACTTTAGCTAGAGCATCTGCGCCAGCACTTGCTATGTATGGTTTTTGTGGGTGGAAGGCAACATCGTGAATAGACTCCTCAAATTTTTTTCTGTGGGAGGTTATTTCTTGAACACAAGTTTTACTGTCTAAATTCCATAACCTAATAGAACAGTCATGGCCTAATGAAGAAAAAACAAGTACTTTTATAATTTTTGTTAAATGGTTGTGTTGGATGATGAATTTTTTTGTTGTTGCAAAATAGTAGAAGATATGAGTTGAGGTTAAATTTTCAATTTATATGCTTAACTGCTACTTTTTTTTAAATAACAATTTCATTTTCTAAAAAATTAATGTGTTTCTATACTTACTCCCTGATAAAAGATACAACCCATTAGGATCTATCGCCAAACTTGTAACAGAATCTAAATGAGCTACCATTGAGTGAATTAGTTTTCCTGAAATAAAAAAACAACATAAATAAATTATTTAAACGATAAGATGTGCAGGCACTAGTCCGAAAGCAAAAACAAGCTGATTTAGAAACAAAATGAAAATGAGAACTTAAACATGTTCTGTGGGTGGTCACAATGCAACATTTTAAAATTAACAGTATCACAGAAATAGATAAATTCATAAATTTTAATAATTGGAAATAAAGCACAAGTTAAAAATTACATAGGCCAAACTGCCAATATATAATTACACAGTTGAATTTTAAAAAATTTAAAGGTATAATGTGTTAAATGTAATCTGTTCCTGCTACCTGTGTTATTATCAAAGAATCGTATGTGTCTATCCTCATGTGCTGTAATTGAGATTGGAAGAGTGGGGTGGTTGATTACTCTGTTTATTTGGTTGCTTCCACTTGTATCTATAAAAATAATTTATACACATGATACATTAAAAAAAAAGTCTGGAAAATAATAATTCAACATTTAAAAAATATAATGCTAAAACATTTTAAGTTAAACAAAATACCTGAGTTTATTTTAGTTTCCAGCATAAGGACCTGTTTTCCAGTTTCAATATCAAATATGTAAGTATTGGAGGATGTATAGCTTGCAACCATTTGAGTTGGATCGCAACGCACAAAATCAACAGAAGTAGGTACTCCTTCTTCTGGAAGATGTATACAATAATTATCTTATACAATACAGAATGATGCTGTTCAAAAAGAACTATTGTACAAAAACTTTTTAATATTTTCAAAATATTACACCTTAAAAAAAAACAAGACCAAGAAAACTGAAAGAATGTAAATTGTAATTTACTTCCTACCTAGTTTACCATCTGCCAAAACAAAGAGGCAGAAATTTTAACTTGACATGCCTTCTACAAAAACATTTGTTATTTATGTTTTTAAAATAACTTTTTATAATATTGTTGCAAGAGTATTTCCTAATCTTTCAAATCTGCAATAATGGTGTGACAACTAGCAAGCTATTTTGAAAAAGTTTTTTTAAAGTCTTAATTTTTCTCTGAGAGTCTGTTGTGTGCATATTTATCTCAGGAGCCAAGGGGATCCGTGGATTTTGGCGCTAGGAGCCAAAGGTTCAAACGCTAAACCCTTTGAACCCATGATACCACTTTATCGGTCTGAGTCTTAAATCTCCATGCCCCAATTAAGTGGTATTTGACAAATTACACCAGATACGTAGTCCCTACATAAAATTGCGATATTAACAATAAACGTAACTGGTATTGTTCAACTCGTGGCCAGTTCCTGCCATAGCTGCGCCCATGAACCAAATTTTTTGTTGTTTATCATTTACAATGGAAAGACTATTTTAAAATTCTAAAACCGGATTAACTAAGGCGAAATATTGGCGAAAATTCACGTACAAGTGTTAATAAAAATAATAAAATTAATCTTGTTGTTATATTCAGTTTTTATTTTTTTTTATTGGAGTCTGTAGTGTGTACATTTAACTCAGGAGCATGGGGTTTTAGGTTCAGGAGCTAAGGGTTAACACAAAATAAACATTGTGCAGTTAACAAAAATAGTTTAATTTTACACTAATCTCTCCCTCATACTGTATTTTATTTCACTTCTATTTTTTTCCAGAAATTTTAAAACTAAATACCTACTAACTACAAACCTAAAATAAAATTTGATTCACAAATCTTTTCTTAATTGGTGTAATAATAAAGTCATATAAAGTTGCTTTTAATTCATTCTTCAAAGTATCATTATTATTTAAAAAAAAAAAGCCTGTATTCAGCAACTTTCAGTATATAAAAGACTAAATGTGTAGACAACTAATTTAAAAAAACAAAAACATTTACAGATTATCAGTATTTGAAAAGGATGCAATTACCTGTTTCAACAGTAAAAGTATTCAAAAGAGGAGATTTGTTTCCTGGACTCCATAGTCGCACAGTCCCATCACCTGAGCACGAGAGCAGCTGGTTTTTTGAACTATGTATTGATAGTCCCCACACAGCATCTGTATGGGCCTCAAGAGTGTCTGATAAGACATTGGGATCTGTAAAATGAAAAGTATTAGGATTTGATTAATAACAAAATTGTATAGTTATTTAGATATTTGACCATGAAGAAAATACATGGTACCAACCTACAGAATGGTCCTGAAGGACAGTGGCGTAGCAAGGTTGGGTGACACCCGGTGTGGCACCTGATGGTGTCAACCCCCCACCCCCCCGTTAGAAAAATATACATTCCATACACACTTGTAAGTATGTGTATACACATGTTTATGTATTCAAATATTTTTTCTGCTGGATGTATTTAATTTTTACCCCCCCCCCCCCCCCATGGATTAACATATAGCTAATTACGATTCTCAACCAAACTGTTTTCCTCAGGCATATATATTGCAATGTAACTTCCCCCTCCCCCCCACACAGTGATTGCTTTAAAATGTGCTCAGATAATACTAACAATTTGTATCTATATTCAGTTATAAATTCAGCTGGATGTTGCAGGTTTTCTTTATCATTAGCAGGTTTACATCAAGGTGTCACCCCCCCCCCCCCCCCCCGTCAGGATTTGTCCACTTTGCTCTTAAAAGACTATTTAATGTCATTTTTCTGTATATATTTTGCTATTTTTTTTTTGTCTTGGTGTCATCTGGTGCGATCCGCACCACCCCCTAGCTACGCCTCTGCTGAAGGATTAAGTGCATCATATATCATGTAATATATTGAATAACTACATCATGCAGAAAAAATGAATTTTTAAATTAGTCCCCCCCCCCCCCCAAAGAAGTTATTCGATCTTAATTTGGATTTAGTCTAAGCATTCTGTTTGCAAATTTAAAAATGTATTTTTACCAAATGAATCATAAGGATCAATATCAGATTTTGGTATATTCCAGCATCTAATAGTTGTATCCATTCCTCCACTGTAGCACTGCTCCCCAGTTGGACTTACAGCTAGACTTAATACAGGTCCAATATGGGCACGAAACGTATAAACTGGTTCAACATCAAGGGAAGCTGCTCTAAAAATTCAAAAGTTTTTACCTTATAAGTTTCAAATAAACATGTAAATTAAATGTTCAAACAGTGCAAAGCCTCTTATATTTTGCTGCCATTATTAAAATTACAAAAATTTCCCATAACATGTTTGTAATATTTTACAAGTTGTTACATGTAATCCATTCAAAAGAGCATTCATTGGTAATACACTAAATAATTAGACGTACAATGTCTATCAGGCTTTATTACATTAATACAAATTTTGTGTAAATAATTGTTAAAATAAGTATACTTCTGCTGAAACATGTATAAATAGAGACTTAGTTTCATGATTTTATATTTTAATTAGCAAACTCAATATTACTTTTTTTGTAAAAATGCAGACACTCTGGAAAGTTGCATAAAAGTCTTTGTAAAACTTTAAAATTAGCTTTTAAAGTAGCAACAAAATCCATTTCTTACTTTTTGGCAGGAACTGTTTTCTGCAAATTCCATAACTTTAGGGTGTGGTCCTCAGATGCTGTTAATAAGACTGGTTCTACAGGGTGAAAAGCTAGAGCCCTAACTCCATCAAAGTGACTTACAATAAGAAAAAAGGAAGTTTAGTATTAACACTTTCATTGTGAAAACAACATGCAATTCATATTTATAATGAAATTATAAGAACTTGCAGATTTTTGTTATATGTCCAAAATCTTGAATGAAAAGGTTGTAATATTCTTTCATAACACTCAACTATTTATATATCATATAACGTGTTTATCTTCGATCCCATATAATGTTTCTACATTCAAATTTCCTTTTTTAAATAAAATTTATTTTAGAAATTTAATACATCCAACACATTATTTTCAACTAAAGTCCATATCATAAGGTTCTCCAAATATCGCTGAATATACTGAACTTATAGCCAGCGGACAGAGAGAGAGAGAGAGAAGTGTGCACATGGTCTTTTATTTATTTGGATTGATATACTCACCTCCGTAGTGTATATTTTGCATTCCAAGTTTTCCTATAAACTTCTTTTGGAGCTGAAATCTGATGAAAAAAGTTAATGTAACTACAAAATTTATGGATAAAACAAGGACATTTCAACCCATCAGAGAAGAATTGTGTTTTAAGAAAAGTATATGAAAAATAAAATAATTAATGGTAAAAATTAGTATAAAAAGTAATCAAGAATCTTCTTGGCTGACAGTATTATAATGATTAGAAAACTTACATCATAGTTCATGGGATCTGCTTCATTGTTGACAGTTAGTCCAGCTAACTCCCCTAGACCAAGCCCACTGTCTATATTTTCTTCATCATCTTGCATTCCCATCATAGGCTTCCGTGAGTAGTTAATTTGTCCTCCAGATTGTAAGTCTGATGATTATATTGTGTAAAAAGAGATTTAAGAAACCCAGGTAATGTAGTTTTTTTTTAACTGATGCACACAATCCTGAAAAGTCCAATCAGATACTCTAAAATTAAATTATTGTTAATTTCTTTATTAACAAATGTAAATGAACATTCTTTATGTTTAACTCTACTAAAAAATGCAACAAGCAAAGATTAGTCTTATTCTATTAATTCTGTCAAGATTATTGATTGCAAAAGAAGTTTTAAAAATATAGATGCATACTGAAGTGTAACTGCAAGCACTTAACTATTTTAATATTGTTTTTAAAATACAAACCTTATAAATATCATAAAAGCTAGCGTTAGAAATTTGAAAAGCAGGAGATAAATTCTAATCATGCATATGATAAAGCAAAAAAAGCTGAAAGTAGTTGAAGAACAAATAGTAATACAGGCCATAGAACTGACAATTTTTATCATATATTTTTATTACTTGGTTATTTAATGTGTTAAATAATGGTGTAAAAGAATTTTTTGGGAAATGTTAGTATTTCTCTTTAAGTCCATAATTAAATTTAAAAAAAAATAACCAATAATATTTCAAATTTGTTTTGGAATTCAACAGTAAGTTAAAACAATAAAAATAGCCACTTAGCATAAAATATAAGCTTGGCTAGAACTTTTTTTTGGCATTTAAGTCTTTGGTAAGATATATTACTATAAAACACATAAATCATATTTGAACAAGTAAAAGTTTAGCAGTTTCATAATATGACACAGAAACACAGCTATAATATACAAAAAAAGCAACACACCTTCACATCAACTTCAATCATTTAAGTTTTGTCTTAATAAACTTAAATATAAATTCGCAAACAAATTACCAATCATAATGGATAACATTTAAGTTGATGTGGGAGAATGGCTGAAGGGGTAGTTTGCAACAGTATGTATCAGAAGGTTACTGTGTAACTAAAGAAAAATGAGGCTTATAAAACCCAGAAATCATAAAAATGTGTGCCCATCACAAAGCTTTGATTTTGATTTTTAACAACAGCATTTATATTTCAAAGAAGTCTAGTTCTTGGAATTAGTTAAAACTAGCAGTGTGAAAAATAAGCTGCTTAAACATGTTTGCTCTAAAGAAGAAAGTATTTTGGGCAGCGAGTTATTTGGAGGATAAATATATGTTGTGGCAGAGAAAGATGTCCCTACCGTCAGCTCTGTCATCATGAGCAGATGTAAGTGAGTTGTCACCATTTGCCGATGTGTCTTCATCACTGCCCAAACTGGCAAGCATGGCCTGTAAGGCATGCCGAGTAGGCCCTGTAAGACAGTGGCCACATAGCAAAGTGATCAGACTTCAACACAAGTAAAGCAAGACTTAACATGCGGCACCATTAAAAATTAGGTCAGCATTTTGCCACTTCCATAACAGGTTATAAAAAAAAAAAACATGTCCAATAATGCTGTACATATGCAATCAGGCAACAAGTACATAACATTTTTCTAACTACATCTTGATTTATTAAAAACTGACATCCATCAAAATATTTTCCAAATATTTGATGGTGTTGCATCAGTTTCATATTAAGATGCATTTCGTTAACATAAAAAGCTTCAGGTAGTACAATATTTTATTTATAGGAGCTAGCAAGCTTATTGAAATATACCTTGCACTCTAGGCGAGTCTAAGAAAGAGGCAGATCAATGATTCAAATATTGCATGTAAGACAAGTTTAACTGAAATTGTACATGCTATAAAAAATAAGAAGTGCTCTGCATTTCAAAATCTTCAAGAACAGTTTAGAAAAACTGAGTGTTAATTTTTAAAAACATGCACTTTTTAAAAAAATAACTGCAACCGACTGTAAAAACTTTTAACATGAATATAAATTCATAATTAAAGAAATTTTGATCCCTCACAAATGAAAAAGAAAATTAAGAATACTGGTTAAGTTTTAAAGATTTAAGTTCAATTTTCAATTGACATCTGTGGAGGAGAATGGCTTAAACTGTAAAAAAAAAAAAACATTCTAGGAAATCAACTTGACATGACACTACTTCTAGTTAAATATGGGAAAAAACCATGGGTTTTTAATTAATAGATGATGAAATTAAGAAATTTAGCAGCTAAATGATCTAAATTATGTTTCCTTTTGACTTGAGTAAACAGTGAGAAAAATTTTTTTTATTTAAAAAACAGGAGCATTAAAGATATAATATTTTAAAAATTACAAAGGTAATAAAAAAAATCACTTGACTCGCAAACTGGAAATAATCACTGAAAAGTTATTTGACAAAAACTTTTTTGAAACTTAAACTCCATTCAGTAAACCAAAAATTGGAAGACAATAACAAGCATGAACTGCATACACAGTTACAACACTTACTATTTTTCTTTCCCTTTCTTTCCTTTTTATATTGCTCTTTCAGTTCAGATATATGACGCTGATCCACCACCCACTCCTCATCCTCACTTGAGGAAGTATCATGTTTCTCTGTTTTGACACCATTACAATAATAAGAACACTAAGACAAGTGACAGCACACAGATTGGTGAGGAAACCTAGTAGGTATTACATGTCTACTCAAATGAGTTGAAATGTACTCTAAGAGTCTACTTTAATTGTTAATAAACAAAATAATGAAGCTCTCTATTTAAATGAAAGGCCTGAATATCACCAAGCCAGAAAAATACAAATAGAAGGTAAAAGGTATATAACTAAATTTGTTCTACTAAAATGAAAATCTGTCAAACTAAGAATATTACCTAAATTATATCTAAAAACAATTTTGATAGCAATTGAATGTTATTGACGTTAATAATAACAAAAATGCTTTAATGGAAATATAACTAAAACTACATGGTTTTTGTGCTTAAGTTCAGTAAGATGACTTGATAAAACCATCAAGCAAATGTGTGCATCAACTGCAATTTTACACAGATGTCTTTAGTTGCATTATTTATAATTAACAGTAATTCATAAACAAAATTAATTCATAGAAAATTAACATCTGTGTAATTAACAGTAAAGATTACAGACATACAAGTGAATATGAGCTGATATGATGTATTAATGCACATTTAAGTCACAACAATTGAAACATTGCGTACAAGGTAGATATGCAAGAAATAGTGCTTGGGTAATAAAAAAACAGAAATGTTAACCGTTCTAGTGGCATCGTTATAGATTTTCAAACCCATTTTACTTAAAATGTAATCTAAAAACAGCTTTCTTGCAAATCATAGAAAAGATTAATGGCAAACAGACACATAAAAGGCAACATCTTGCCAACTACAATAAATATGACGGAAGATTTTTAAATTGTTTCTTCATTTCACTAACTGATGAGCAAATATTTACGCACAGAGCAGCAATGAGATATCCTCACAAAAAGGAATTAAAGGACTCACCTGCTCCTTCCCCTATTTCTGACTCTAAAAAATGAAACTCTGCCAGGGCTTCAACAGTGTCAGGATCAGTTTCATCCAATCCTTCATTATTGTCATTCTGTAATGTATTTAGAGCTTGATATAAAAATTATGCTTTTTATTATAGCAGGTTGTAAATTTATGTTTTAAAAGTTAATTAGTATTTTTATATTTGTACTAAAAAAAAAATTAACATGATATAGAATAAACCTATAAACCTTTAGTTTTATGCCTTTTCTTTCCAGCCTTTCTTCAGCTTCATCATCAGCTGCCATTCCATCTTCATTTTCATCGCTAAAACAAATATAAAACAGGAGCTAAATAATACCATCCTACAAAAGCAGGAGCTATAGTAGTAGCATGATAAATAAATGTGCATATGTCAAAGAGGATGAACTAATATGAACAACATTCATATGATGTGCTAGTGTACATGTCATGTGCGCTACTATCTCAGAAGAAAGGCTGACATAACACTTTTAAGATTTCATCACTTTGTCACCAATTGTGTATTTTTAGAGGCTTGATTTTGTTATGTATAAATAAATGAAACTCTGTCAAAGTAGTATCCCCGACGCCCTGTGAAGGGTGTTCAATCAACAGATCACACGAGCTTAAACCTTTAAACCTGAGGTACAGCTTTTTCGGTACTTATCTTAAATCTTCATGCCTCCAGGTACCGATAAAGCGGTACTAGATACCTTACCTCACATAAGAGTTCGTACATGAAAATATGATATTTAAAAAGTACGTAACTTGTACGATTTAACGGGATCCGGACAAATGGCCGACAATGAAAAAAGGCCGACAAGGTCAAATGGCCGACAGGAAAAAGACCGGCCAGACATATGACAGAGAGACCATAAGAAAATATTTACAAATCCAAATGCACAAAGCGTAATCTGCTCTATAAATTTAGATTGATTTAAAAAAGTGTGCCTCCAGGTGCATTTCATTTGGTTTCCTTCATTTCTCCTTGAAATATGATGCTTTTGCCAATTACCTGTTTATAAACTACAATATTAGAATTTGCATGATTGTCGGCTTCATGGTTTTCGGCCTTTTGGATGTATGTCTTTTGGGGGTCTGCCTTTTTGATGTCGGCCTTTTGTCATTCACCCCTATTCGACTCAAGTTAATTATTAAAATAATAAAATTAATTGTGTTGTTATACTCATAGTCTTCATTTTTTTTATCGAGAGTGCTGGATGTGCAATCAATCGGGAATTTTAGGGTCAAAGGGTTAAAATATGCATAGTGACCTCACAAAAGTTGAGTTAGCTAAGCTTCTAGAGTACATTTTAGTTTTTTGAAATTGGAATACAGCTAATTTCCAATTGAATTTTTACAGAACTACAAGAGCTAAAAATGTTTATCCTGTTTTCTTTTTAACTTAGCATCATTAGTACTTCAATATTATATTTTAAAATACATTTATTATGGGTAATACAGATTTTTCAATCGCAGACATGCTTACACCTGGTGACCAAAACTATAATATTTTAATTCTTAACTTTTATTTTCTAGATTGTGCCTTGATATTTCCCCCATTTATTTATGTTTACAAATCCATAAAGAATATTTATTTCATTATTCATTCATTTCTCTGAATATCTCTAAAATATTGCAGAAGCTATTCATTTTTAAAGCTCCCACAATTTTGCCAGCTGATATTTTCTGACATGTAGTCAAGATATTAAAAGTAAACAGAATGAATTGTAACGAATGCTTAAGGGAAATAATCACATTTTGCATGCTCTTTTTTTTCAAATTTTATTGTACATTTTTGCTTTTAAATTTAGCAGAACAAACTGACTGAATCAGAATTGTGGAATGAGACATGATTTTTTTTTCTATTTGGCTGAACTATTCCAGTTCTGAACGGACTGTAGTAATGTCTGCTTTTGAAATATTAACATGCAATAATCTCTTCTATGTTATTAACAATAAATATAGTATAAGAATGTGCGAGAATGTATCCAAAACCAACCCTGTAAGTTTAAATCGGTTTATTTCTTATTAATGTGTGCATTTCAGACACATTTTGAGCTTCTTTTCAAGTTAATGGTTGCTTTCGCATAATCAGACTTTTAAGAATAAGATATTCACATAAATTCTATAGTTAGATGATTAAATTATTAGAATTAACAATCTATTGTAGAATTGTAATACTTTAATATTAGAAAGATTTTAAAAATTATTTTGAACAAGGTGTTGGGGGTTGTTTCTCTTAGCTTAGTATCTGGGGAAGGGCTCTGAAATAATTTTTGCTAGCAAATGAAGTAATGGAACTATAATTCACGGAACTTAGTTGGACTTAAATTAAATGCTGCCAGATTATATTGTTACTTCTGCTTAATTTTCATAAGCCTTTTTTGCCCACTTTCCTCACTTTCACCTATTGGCCATTTAAAACAAAACCTGTCAAAGAAGGTGTTTCCTCTTTTTCAAAATGTTGCAGAAATGAGTTCGACAACATATTTAAATAGCTCCGATGCCGGACCAATTGCAACTTTTTCAGGTGGTTTTTTCCTTTTACTGTGAAACAAGCAGATCCAGTTCCTCTATCTCAAAAAATAAAAATGCTTGCTCAACTGCTTGTATCTCAAAAATGTAAGTGTTGGGTATTCATTGGTCAATGTGCCAGTGTTCTTATTGGAATCAGCCCAACACAAATGATTTTCCAGTTTGAAATACACTTTTTAAAGGGCATTAGCTTAAGGATATTTTGAGACCAGAACTGGATTGAAACTATACCAGTGCTTGACATATTGGTGAAAGCAAAAGCCCCTTACCTGAGATCATCATCATCTTCAACAACACTACCAGAATTCAAAAAATCAAAGGTGGTCATAACTGCATTCTCTGCATCAATCAAAGCACTATCATTTGCCATATTGCTGAGTTTCTTCAATCCAACTCTGTAATTTAAAAAAATCTTTGCACTATAAATTTAATATTTTGTAATAACAAAACACTATGAATATATTAACAATTGAAAAATAAATATGTAGTTTTGAGGACGGGTTTTAAAAAAAAAAACTTACAGCCAACAGTAGCTGATCTTTTTTTCTGGCTTCAACATGTTACAATCAATAAATTGGCCATTCATTCTTTTTCTTTCCAATATTTCTCCCAGTAACATAAAGTTATGCACTCCATTCATAGCAGCTATAAGATATTGTAAAATTATTACCTTTTACCCTGGTTGTCTCGTTTATTAGCAGAGTTCTCGCCATTAACAAGTACAGATTGAGAAATATCGGCTTCACTGTCACCTGTTTGTGTCTGCAGGCCCAAAAGTGAACGAACTCTAGCTGATCTTACATCTATTATGGTATCAGTATAACCTATTTCTTGAAGATATCTGTGGAAATAAATGTGTTTAGTTTGTCCTTTATAGTTTTAATTTAATAATACAGTATTAGCAAAAGCATATTTGTTCTGAATACTTTTTATAAAGTCCTCACAGATTTATAGGTTAATAATAACTTTAATAACTAATTGAAATAAATAAGTTTGCTTTTTTTTTTTAAAATGGATGCAGCACTAGAGTACATAGTTTTTTAACTTAGTTTTAAAAAGGTAAATAATATCCAAGGTTCCTGCACCAGTTAACCTGAAATTCTATGAGAATTCCATGAGTTTTTCAGGAGAAAACACAATTTCAGTACATAATTTAACATATTAAAAAACAAATCAACCTGTATTGAATAGTAGCATGGCATTTGTAAATTTTTCAAGTAACAGTTTCTAAACAGTTTAGTTTAGTTAAAGAAGATTCTCTTTTAGACTGAATATTAAAATTTGACACTTTTCTTATACAATTAATTACTGTCCACGAATTAAGCCTGTTTTTAAACCCCCTCTTCAACACCAGTTCTAAGGCCTGTTGTTACAAATTGAATTCAAAACTTCTACTCCCACCCCCTCCCCTACCCCTAAAGAATAAATGTAAAAATATAAGATAACACTGACAGTCCTTTTTACTGCACCTCCCCCAACTGTTTTTAATTTCACAAAATTCTTTCAGCAATAAAGTCAAAAAGTAATTTAAACTGTTAATGATCTGTGTGCACTGTTGTTTTCAATGCAATGATTACTGAAATAGTGTGAGTTAATTCTCTTAGTAAAATTATAATAAATTAATTTAAGCCTTTCCTACTGAACAACTTATTGGGCCTAGCAATCATAGTTAAGTGACTTAACCCCTCTCCACCTCACCAAAGACAGCCCCCTTCTTAACCATGTCTTATCTTTTAAGATAGACATGGTCTCATGATTTAAATGAAAGTCTTCAACAGTAAGTAAGCCTAACTGTATATAACTTTTTATCATGTGATGGACAAGTAAAACAATCTGAGTAGCTCAGATAGGGTCTACTAAAAATAAACTGTACTTGGGAAATAATACTTGAAAATAAAAAACTGAGCCAAAAATAGTTCTTTTCTGCTAAATAACCAAATAGTTTATTTTAAAATTGCTGGTAACAGTTGGCCTGTATTATATGTCATAGGTTAACCCTGAAAGAGCGCCAAGCCACAATCGTGGCTTTGCTGTTACATAACTTATAACACATGAGGCCATGTGGCGCACGCTTTAAGGGTTACAAAATGCTATTTGATATTGGTTGTGAAGTCACTTTTATTTTTCTAGGGGGTCACACTGAGCACATCATGGACCCAACCAGAAAGTAGATCTGGGGCCTAATGGACAATGGAATAAAATTACCCCTAGGCTAAACCTAGTTTTAGACCTACTTGAAATTTCCATTTAAATAAAAAAGAATTTTAGCCTATCAAAATGAGCCGCAATCATAGACATGAGAAAAAATGAAACCAAACCCACCAGAACACTGGTTAAAGTCAGCTATACATCTATATTTAAAAGCTTTTACCATGTAATTGTACGCGCAGAAATAAACTTAATTTGATACACTGTTTTATTAAGCACAATTTTATACATTATGAAAAAATAGTGATAGATATTAAAGACTTCAATCAATTCAAATTTTCTTAACTAATAGACTTACTGTCGAAGTAACTGTCGACCTTGTCGCCATGTTGCATTACTTGTTCCTGATGAAGTTGACAATGATATTTCTCCATCTATCTGGTCTTCTAAATGGATAATTTAATTATTTTTTAAGTTTAAAAAAAAATTAAAGCACAAAAGCAGTGTTTTTTTTGTTAACAAGCAATAAATACCTTTATTATCTTTGTCAAAAGATGGAGGTTTCAAATCGTCTGGATTCAGATCAGTACCATATTTCAGCTTATGGTATTTAGCCCTGTATTTGTCAAAATTTTTAGACATATAAACATTAAATAATGCTACCAATTTCTTTAAATAACTTGCTTTTAACGATTATTTTAAAATTCTTTTTTACGTAAAAAAAAAAAAGCCCTAACAAATAATGGTTTCACCTTTCTTGTTTCAATGCAAACTCAAGCATTTTAATTCTTCGAACTAAATCTTGTTTCAAGTTTTCTTGGCCTTTTCTCTCCCCTTGTAAAAATGCGATGCGAGCCTATATGATAGAAGATAATATGTTGATATTAAGTGTCAAAGTTACAAAAAATGAGGAAAACAGTTGCACGTTGGATTTTTTTTAATAGCTCAACAGACTTTTTAATTTTAATAATTCTAAAAAGAAAAAAACCTGCTTATTAGAAAGCATATGTCTACTGCATTCTTTTTTTAAAAAATCACATTTTTTTTTACTTTCTCATATATGGAGTATAGAGAAAGTATTGTAATAATGAAAAAAAATTGAATGAAATTAGGATTGTGACAAGATGTAACACCTCCTAAAAATAAATTCTGAAAAATTAATTTTACAATCTTGTCAGTCTGTGTCTATGTTAACAACATAAATTGACTACCATTTCAGTTAGGTTGACAAAATATCTCAAATAAGTATCCTTATCACATTTGTAGTATTCTATCAACTTCTCAGCGATTTTCAGGAACCTGAAGTGGTACTTGCCCTATGTCTGGTTTGTCAAAAGTATAAGATCTTATACCTAGATTACTTTGAATTTTTGAGTGACCAGCGGTAACTGAAAGTAGTACTTTAGTCTATTCTGGTTTCTAAAATGCTTATAACTTGATTAGTATTTCCGTTAGGTGAACAAAACTTCATATACAAGTGCTCATGCATATAGAGTTCTGTCCATGGTTAATTTGGCCACATCCAAATAATTTTAGCATCAAATATAAATGCTTCTGTATGTTGTTAAAGTATCCAATCTGCTATTCATAATATTAATAAAACTGAAGTACTGCTTTTCTCTGCTTGTGCGCTATTTCCTTATAATTAATGCTAGCCTATCATATATCAGAATATCTTTGTTTATGTCTCAATTATCACGTGAAAAACCAAATTGTCAGACAAAAACCAAACAATCCAGTTTTTATAACCACATTTAATTTAATAACGCCGCATACAATTTAAAAATATTTAATGAACCACTTGAGGCTATTTACGTTTGAGTTCACTCATCTGTCTATCATCTCTCAGAAGTGGAATCTTGCAAGCAAAATTCTGATCACTTCTACAGGATCGATTACTTTCAAACTTTTCTCTTAGGATGCAACTCTATGACAATGCAATGTGATTTCATTAGATCTTTAATTAACTTTTTAAAAAATTAATTATAATTTGTTTACTTAAAAAGGAATTTTTTCTGCACTATTATACACACATTGTTGTGTTCATCTGGAGTACAATTCTTTTCACCTTCATGTGTTTTCTAGTAAAACAAGTGGTTTTGTCACAAAGCTCTAAATTTCCTTTGCCCCATTGCAAGATCCTAACCTTATTTTTATAAAAGAATATCAATATGTGAGAAAATTTAGGGGAGACCACATCCCCTTTATTATTGAGGTTTTTTTAAAAAAGCTGTAAATATCAGTGTATGTCTATGTTGCCCAATCATGCTGGACGCAGACTCTCTGACCTTCCCTCGATCTCCAGACAATATCGTTATCATCCTTACTCCCACCAGTCTGGTGAGCTGTGGGTCACGCCGAATGTTTACAACAGTAGAGCCGGGTCGAATAAGTGACTGCTATTAGGGCAGATAATTTAGTTTTTAAACGTTTTGAAACTTAGGGGAGATAAGTTCTGCTTGATCTTTTCATTGTCTTTACAGGCGGTTGCTTTCATTGTCCTTCACGAGTTACTGATAGCAAAATATTTTCAGTGGTAGCATTGGTAGTGTCGGATTCGCAAATTATGAATTACTGAAAAGTAGAAAATAAACAACTAAATAGCGTGTCGGCTTGTATAATATGATGTGCTAGGTAATGTGTCATTCCATTATACACTTAACAGTACAGGCTCTTTGGAATTTGTTTGCAACTGTTAATACTGGTGGAAAGGATTTCACTATTTTCACTAAAGCTTCAACAATAAAAGCAGAGCATTATAATTGACGTTTTTGAGATTGATTGCTTCACACATACATAAGGACAGCAAAAACAGCAACAGCAGAACCAAGTACACATTTTACAACCTTCTCATTATCTTGACGTCAAAAGCATAATCTTGCTTTCCAAGATACAACTTATGGAATCTAAAAAGTTTGATGAGAAGCCCCTGATTATTTTTTTTATTGACATGGATTAAAAATTTTTTTATGTCAATTCTGCCTTCAGAGTGGCAGTAAAAAGAGTTTAAATTTTTATTCAAAGCAGATGATTATAGACACCGATGCCTGATAATAGACTCTTCCATAAAATTAGTGTGTTGGGTTCATGTGTGTATTTAGTTAACTACCAGTAACCTAACACCCCTTTTTTAAAGGAGATTCCATTATCGGACACTGGTATAAACATTCTCCCAAAATGAAAATGTAAAGAACTTGGAAATATTTTGTGTACATTAAAGGCTAAATTTCTATTTAAATCAACCTGGCATTTGAACACAATTTCACTAATCTAGAGCTAGATTCTAGATCTAGAGTAATATTACCAGCCCTGAACACCCTTAGCTCGAAATGGAGACTCCTTTCCGGTTTGAGACACCTAATTTCGTTACTATTTCACATAGAATGAAAACCGAAGCATAGAAATACTCTCCAGCCAAAGAAGAATAAAAATATGTATTCCCTTTTTTCCCCATTCGCAATATAACTTTTAAATATATGTCCCCGAAACAAACAACCCAGTCGTCCTGGACCCGAATACAATTTTCCCGGTTTTGCCTCCAAACCACTGGTCTTTCCTCCATTCGACTAAGTCATATTTTTGCTGTTTTTTTCAGCTCAGTTGAATAAATAATCTTGTACTATTAATATTTTATGTGTTTAGTTTTGTGTTTCAGTGTGTATTTGTTTTTAAATGCCAAAAATAATATAATTTATAACAATGGAAAAAAAAATAGGGGAGATAACTCTTTCCAATAAAATGCTTGTGTTATGGTTTACTATGGGTAATCGTTTCCAGGCAAAACATGTAAATTTTCATCCTCCTTACGACTACCCCCAAAAAAATGTATTTAGTAAAGAAAATAGCCTTTTCTATAAACATATATGTCCTGTAGCCCATCCCATTCAATTTCGGTTCAATTTTTTCTGAAAAAAAAATAAACATTGTTTTAAAAAGACGCTAAGTCGGGAGGAGGCTTTGCTTGTCCCGGCAACATAAAAATAGCCGCCTACATGACGGGTTGCTTTTAATTGCTCATATCCCACTGTGGGTAATTCAATGGATCAAAGTTTGATATAAAATAAATGGACTTATAAATGGACATATTTGCTACCAATTAGATCTATAATGTTTCTGCATAAAACATTCAAATAACAGTGCAATTAGTATTCAAAGTGAGAGTTACGGTGTTCGTTTCGAGGCGCATAGTCGGGCCAGGCAGAGTTACTCTAGATCTAGATGCTAAGCTAAGTCTAAGAGAGTAAGACAAAGTTTGACTGGCAATCTCATTTGTTCATGATTTCATTTCGGAAGCCTCACTAGTGACTAGATCTAGTCTAGCTAGAATCTCTAGATCTATTTAGATCTAGATCTAGGTCTCTGGGAGTCTAGACCTAGATAACTTAAGATCTAGATTCTAGACTAAATTAAACTAAATTTAGGGTAAAGGAGGGCGTTAAGAGCCGTGTGGTATTAAGCCCCAATCAACACCCCGCCCCCACAAAACCCCCAACAACACTGCTAATCTACTTCTGAGGTAACAACCACTGCTGTTCTTTGATAACAGAGAAGCAGAGGATTCATTTTATGTAATTTATGACCCACTTGGTCCAATAGGGAGAGGATGAGACAGGATTTAATCCCACTGCTCTTTCCCTAAAATTTCTCATCTCCATAAAACCATTTTGTGAACTTTTTTTCCAAATAGACATAACTTGGGAAACTTTACTTTGTAATAAACCAAATGAGTTTTTCAAGCCCATTCTTTGTTCCTGTATTAGAGCATTGGTTGTTGTACATTTTAACACTATTTTTATAGCTATGGCTAGAATAGTTTTATTTTGGTGAATTTTTTTTGCACAGTGATTATTGGTGCCTAAACAAAATGGCCGACATTTGTCCCATTTTACCATGCTATAAAGTTTTTATCATTATCAGAGTAAAACTTGACTGATCATTACCATAATGGTTTTATTTGTTAGATAATAACTAAATCTACATGAATACATTAATTTTGTCCACTAGCTTGCCTGTTTAGAAAAGTTATAACAGATACTGTTATGTGGCTCTTGAAACCCTAAGTGCAAGTTTCTCATTTATTAGACCACTGAATATGACACTGGTATAGGAATAGTTAACACAAAATGTATTAATTGTTAAACAGACTTGTGTCTAAATGATAGAAATACAATTCTAACCTGCTAAAAAGTAAAAATTCAGCCATCTGATGTTAGCAAGGTAATTTTTAAAATGGTGCTTGTACTTATTACCCCTAAGGGGCAATACAGCCGACTCAGCCCCCTCCTGTTTCTAACCAACCATAAAACTTCTAATCTCTTTGTAGGTAACATGAATAAATGCTCTTAGGTCTCAGCCAATCTGGGGTGGTATGTTATGTAATTTATGACCTTCATGGTCCAACAGGGAAGTAAACAGACACATTAATACCACTGCTCCCCCCTTACAATTTCTTACCCCCATGATACCCAGCCCCCACCAGTTTCTGGCCCACTATAAAACTTCATCTCTTTGTAGGTAACATGGACTACAGTTACAGATCTCAGACAATCTGGGATGGTATGTTATGTAATATATGACCTTCATGGTCTAGCAGGGTGGAGACCAAAGAGGAATCAGTACCACTGCTCTCCCTTCACAATTTCTCACCTCGATGATAGCCAGACCCCACCTGTATCTAACCCACCATAAAACTTCATCTCTTTGTAGGTAACATGGACTTAGTTCTTAGATCTCAGCCAACCAGAGATAGCATCTCCTTATGTAATTTATGGCCCTCAGGGTCCAGCAAGGAGAACAAAGGGGAAACCAGTACAACTGCTCTCCCCTCAACATTTCTCACCTCCATGTCATGTTATGTAATGTATAGCACACATGACTTATCAGGGGAAAGCATTAAGGCAGATTAGTTAGTACCACCCCTTTTTACATACAAGAATGTTAACTCTGGACAGCTACACACTAGTATACTAGCTACACACTAGGCATACTAATGTGCCTACTGTAAACTACTAGACTTTAGGCTTAGGCCCTATGTACACCTGCAATTGTATCAATTGTAGACTGGGCCCATTTGGGGCCTAATGATAGCTAGTATCAGTTAAAGTGTGTGTACACAGCATTAACTAATTTGGGGTTAGAAATTAATTATTTTTATTGTGGAGTTAGTCTAAACTAGGAGATAATACTTAATGCCCCATTGCCCGGCTCCTTTCACCCCAAATGCTGATTTTGGGGGCATGACAATAAATGTTCAATTAAACCCATTTAAAGTATATTTAATACACTTTGTTATTATTTTTATATTGTGTAAGATATGTTAGAATAATTTTGCCATATTTTCAATACTAAAAAATTCTTAGATTAGTAGAAATCTTTAAAAATGTACAGGTGCTAAAAAGTGTGGCTCTTAACGCCCTCCTTTACCCTATTTAAAAAAAATATAAAGTGATGAAAATGTCACTCAAATCACCAGGGATTTTTTATAATTATAAGATTAAAGCTAGATTCTAGATTATGTACATTATTATAAACAATCAAATTAGTAGATCTAGTTGCATTTTAAGTAGAAATCTAGATCTAAATTCTAATCTAGATCTGCATATTTAAAATAAATTATATTGTACAAATCTACGCACTTGTAACTCGGCCCGTTCCACTTCCCACTGAGACCTCTCCATTTCAAATCGTGCCCATTCCGTTTGCAAAAAGTGTAGAATCCCCGGCATTGAGTACTGAGGACGTTGTTTGATGCCATCGTCTTGTTGCGATTTAGTAACCATGCCTAATGCACCTGATACGGGCCCGAGTTGGCCTCCGTGTTGTGATCCTGGGCCGTCTTCTATCATATTTGCATGGTCGCCATTACAACTTTCGTGTTCATCAGAGGGCGCTAGCCATCGAAATGACGTCACAACTGCCAAGCCTTTTACAGAATCAATGATTTGGAAAAGGCGAATTTCCACTTAGAGACAGTTTAGATCTCTTCTAGATCTAGGCCTAGTTGTTTTAGTTAGAATAGAAAAATTAAGGGTTTTCAGAATTACTAAGATCAATAATCGAATTATTTGTAATTTTAAAAAAAAAGAGACTTAATGGTTTGCTTATTGTAAATTGTATTAAGAAAACTTTAAAATGTTAAACGAAATCTTCTAAGTAAATGTTTAGTTTAGGCTTAGTCTTCTAGACTCTAGATAAAAAAAAAAATAACATTGAAAGTAAAAGTAGCCAGAGTGTATCGAAATTTCATTTAAAAATGATTTTTTTTTGGTAGAGATTTACTAATCAAGTTCAAGATCTAGACTAGATCTATATATAGATCTAGTAGTAGTATTAGTTAGATTTAGATTTAGATATCTAGTCTGATCTAGATCTAGTAATGAAGAAATCGATCTTCTGGTTGGTTTGAAATTTTGAATTCTCCATCCATTTTCACCATGATTATCCATATTTTTATATAGACATTATAAAATAGTGATTAATAGTGCCTAGTATATTGCCCAGGTTTCACAGGCATGCACTATTTAAAAGTATTTATAATTACTACCTCTTATTATTACTCATTGTTTTAAATAGATCTACATCTCTATAATTATTAATTATTGCTTGTCTAGTGTTCCTACGAACGAAAATGTTTGTCTTTAGCATTAGGCCTACTAGATCTTTCATCTGATAGTCATTAAATTTTGGGTAGCTGTTGAGAATACTCCAGCAAAAAATGTTTATTTTGAAGGGGCTATGCACCCTTCGACACTTGGGTTGCAATATGACACCCCGGGTTCTCCTGTGAGTATTATGGCATCATTTTAAAGAGTGCCATACACTATGGATATGGGACAGTGTGGCCTAACAGTAGAGCATTAGGCTACTAACCAAAAGTGTAGTTCAAATGCAGGTTTAAGCCAAGAGAATGTCCCTGAGTCCACTCAGCCATGATGGGTACCTAACTCAAATTAGGGAAAGTAAAGGCAGCTGGGCATAGTGTTGACCACACTATCCCTTCATATGCAACGGTCAAGGAAACAGGTGAACTATTCACTTGACTATCCTGTTTGAAAAGGGAACTTACACAATAGATACGAAGGTCTACTATAATCGTTCAGGAAATCAAATCAGACATGTTTGCTGGTGGTTCAATGACTTGCCGCACCCTAGGCTCCCCCTTGAGCACTATAGCACTTACATTCATTTTAAAGAGCCAACAAAGACATGGTGGCACACAACATTCGAAGTTGAAACGGAGCCAGGGCTATATGCAGCCAGGGCTGTATGCAGCGCCCCTACTGTAGTGTAACTGGTGGCTCCAGAACGCTCCTGACATCTGTACATTAATGTACACTTAAAGTGTACTGTGGTGTCTGGGTGGTAGTGTAGACAAACCCGCGCCAACAACTAAGATCAAAGAAATATAGTGCATCTTTACATTTCCATAATTCAGTTTAGGAAAACAAGATCATGCGTTTAAAAATACACAATTGGTAACACATTGATGAAACCCTCTTAACAATTGTCCCAGCCTTTCTTCGTAGACAGCGCAACGTGCTGTATGGCTACACATGTTAAAGATATAGATTAAGACTTTAATAAAAAATTATTATAATAATAAGTAAGAAATCTAATTCTAATGTAAATTTCCAGAGATGTTTTTTTTTTCAGTATGTTGTTGCTCCTGAAGTATACAGCTTGAGCCTTGAGGCAGTTCTTTTTTAGACAATCTATGCCTTTTAAAAATTACAGCTGTTAGGCTTAACAACAGTTAAGTATATAAATATAATTTCATTTCTCAGCAATTAGTAGTCAGTCACTGAAATATTCAGTCAAATCGCTTACACTGTGTTAACACTTATGACATTTATACTATATATAAGTCTAGGGAAAAAACTACAAAAAAAACAGCTACTGGTTAATTTAATATAATTTTAAATATTTTTTTCCCATGGAACATGTATTCTTCATTTGTGATTTTTTTTTTCTAGACATGTATAGAAAGTGTAAATGCAGTGTAAGAGTAGACCATCATGCTATGAACGCAGAGTAGTGTTTGTAACTGTTAGAACTAAATAGGAACAGCTAGTTAGGCTTACAGACTAATTACTTTATTTCTATATATTTTATTGGTATATTATTCAGTATGTAAATTTAATCATCTTTTGTTACATTTTTATTTTTAAGGTCAATCATAACAAATATGATCCTGTTTTGTATTATTGTAAACAAACAAGGCAGAATAAGGATAAGAAGGTGAGAGGATTTTCACCATTTAGTAAATAAATACAGCACGTTCATGATTAAATCAGTATTATTGATGAATACTGAACTAGGCATGACTTAATTGAAATCTATCTAAATACTACTAAAAGCGAAAAGTGTTTTTTGTTTGTTTGTCTGCTTCGTTAGATGAAAACTGTAGAACGTTAAATATATAGCCTATTTATCTAGAGAATAATGTTCTCTTTTCCCCAAATGTTATACACAAATTTATGTAAAGACGATAATTAATTTATTGATATATTCATTTGTAGAAAGACCCCTTAAATTAAAAGTTCAGAACAAACACTTTATTTACACAAACATTAAAAACTTTCACAGGGACTTACCTTGGAACTAATAGGGATTTATCAAACTGAAATGCAACTTATACTGATAAACAAGCTTTAAGCCAATCCAAAAATAATTTACACAAAAATACAGGGGCTTACTATAGTGATGTCACATGAAACGTATATGATTTTATCAAAACTAAAGCTAGTTTAGCATAAAAATACACACATTTCACTTTTTATAGGAACTATCAGCACATACAAGAAAAAGAGAGGGAACAGAGAGAAACTGCAATAGTTAAAAAGGTCTTGATGCGAGACAATAAACAGGTATTTTTAAATTTAAAATTGTCAACTTTTTTCTTCTTCTTCGTTCTTAATTTTTAGTGTTGGGAGGGATCGAGCCTTATCTGCCAGAGGGTTTGAAATCGAGACTTTTTTTCGAATTTATCAACCATGAGCTTTGCAGACTCGACGATGCTTCCATCACAATTAAGGATTACGTGTCAACCTGTTTTGCGCCATTGAGGCCATTGACTCTGATTTCAGCCTGCTTTTCTTTTTGGATTTGCTTCCATAGCCTTTGTCCAACCAAGAACAAACTACAAGGCAGCAGTTGTTTGATTTTGGAGTTGTCTCTCCTATAAGAGTGGCTGTCCCCAGCTAACGAGCCTCATCTGCCCGAGGGTTCGAACTCGAGACTTTTTGGTTTAGCAACCATGAGCTTTACAGACTCGACCACATCAACTTTTTTAATTTGTAAGAGCTTTCCATTATCAAAGCCATTGTTACCCAACTTAAAGGCTTTCACATTATTAATTATTATTAAACCATAGACCTATTAGTAAACACAAAGGTGAAATTTAAAAATAGTATATTCAGTCAAAATGTTTAAAATCATAGCAGTATTTAATGTTTAATATATTTGGTATTTTCTACATGTAGATTTTAATAAGCTAAAATTGTACTTTGTGTATTAATTCATTTAATGTGTTAAAGATTACATTAGCCAATTTTGACAACATAATTTTTTGAAGTTTAGCAAACATTGATTTTGTACCAGTCTAGTGTGTTGCTCAACAAACATACAAAAAAGAATATTCTTTATATAAATTAAATGAGGGGGAAATATTACAACTGGATTGTTATGTGTTACATCTAGCAGAGGACTCAGGACATTTTTTATTAGCATATGTAGTCATATATAGTAATGGTGATGGACAGTGAAGATGAAGAGTGACTGTGGTCAGAGAATATTAGCAACATTATTAATCCAATGATACAGAATTGATTTTAATTGTATGCATCACATTTATCTACATTTTTAATACATTTCCATATATTTTAAAAGACAGTTTTTCAATTTTTGAAGAGCTATAATTGGATTATAATAACATTTTAAACTCTACAGTGTAATTTTTTTAGTCATGGTTCAATCACAGTAGTTTACAAGAAGTACACAACTTTAAGCCTTATTTGTGGTGTAACTAAAGAAGAGGTGAGTGGTCAAGTAGTTTAGCATAGATTATTATTTCTGTGTCAAATATTGTCTCAATACCCCAAACTTGTAAACGTGTGTATATATGAAATTAATATTAATCAGTCATCATACTGTTATATTATAATTTTTAAATCCTGACTCGTGACATTATTTTTTATGGGTTTAACTTTAAATGCAGGACAGGGCAGGAAAAAGTATAAAACATTGAAGTTAGTTAAGACAAGAATAGTGAACATGTATATTTAGCATTAAGTTTACACAGATTAGGGTATACTGATTCATTCATCACAATGTATTACAAATAAATAATTAGATTTTCTTTGGGTTAATTCTTTACAGAATGAATTAGCTATTCAAGAATTATTGAATGTTTTCATGGATTGCATTGTTTCATATTTTCATCATGTAGTAAGTATAGTTTTAACCAGTACTTTAAATAATAGTAAACCAGTATGAATAATTTTTAGTTTAAAAAAATATTTTTGCTATAAGTATAAGGGTGTTTTTTAAAAATTACAAGCGCCTTTTATTTTAAATTTCAGTCTGAACTAGATGTATCCTTTTAAAATTATGCTGAAAATAGTGAAAGGTGGGTTTTAACATTTTAGTTTTTTTTTACAGAAACTCATTTAACTTAATTTCTAGTATTACACTTACACATACCAAATACTTAAATTGTAATACCCATTAGATACACCCAAAAAATAATGGCAGTTCTTTAACATGAATCAGATTGTTCATAACATGGAGAGAATATACATAATTCTGGATGAAATAATTGTAAATGGTTCTATAGCTTACACCAGTAAAGAACGGGCTTTGATCCCTCTACAACTGATTGATGCAAGTAGCTGAAATCTCTGATGTTTGAGATAACAGAAGGGTTATGATAAGCATGCGGCATATTAAGCTGTCATTTATGTTACGGACAGGTACTGCATTATTCTTGATGAAAGTGTAATATTTTGTATATGTTTTGTGTTACTTTAAATGCTATATTTATATCTATTTAGTTTTAAGATGTAATGTGTAAATATTATGTAAACACTACTTTAAAAATAAAAGTTTTATAAAATTGTTATAGTTAGTTGTGTACTATATTATGCTTCAAAAGATGTATTTAATCTTACAGGTACTGAATGAAATACATAACAAAAAAAACAAATAATATGACCAAATTTTAATATCTCAAGTGAATTAGATAGTCTAATCAAATTTTGCTTAAATTTATCAGATCCTACATTAACATGAATTAATGTAACTTAGTGGTTCCAATTGTATTAATAAAGGAAGACAGTTTACCAGCAGTTCAATGTGAATGCTTAATTCACTTAACAACAACAAAATTTGTAATTTAATATTATATTTCTGTCAAATTTGCATTTTAAAAGTTAAAATTGATTTAAGATGAATATGAAAATAATAAACAAAAAGTAATAAATAATTTTGATTTACAAAATAACAACAAAAGTATGTACAAACATGGTTAAAGTGCCTTAATTCATTTATGTTTATTAAATTAATAAAATACTGCTCCAGATAATCTCAACCAATAGATGGAATGTTGCAGCTATCCATTAGTTGTATGTAATCTTGATATATTGTTGTCTGTAGTCATGATAGAAAGTTCCCATCTGAAAAAAAAATTACATCACAATTTTCAACTAAAACATAAATAAGAAAATATAATAACATGCTTTAAAGTGCAACACATTTTTATTGCTTTAATTTACCAAAATAAAAAATATATTAAAAATCTTTGGTCAGAAAAGTATATTGACAAGATTTCCAGAGTGGCAGATTGATGTTTTAAACAATAAAATTGCAAAGTAATAAATAATAGTTAAATAAAACTGGATATATAAAATATATAAACTGACAATGTTTCTATTTTTTAAAAATAATGAACATTTATTCTTATGAAAGAAAAAAAAAGGAACATGCGATTCCACTAAATTATTTGTGCTATACTTAATTAACTTAGTTTAATGTGCTTGATGTTAAACAATATTACAGTATTAGTGTCAGTGAAATTTATAATAGTTTTGTATAACACATTTCTGTTTAAAAGAATCATTGATTCATATATATTTCATTAGCATTATTATAAATTACAAAAATCAATCACTGTTACAGTTTCAGCAACACTTTTAATAAAATATTCTACTTAAAATTTTTAATGACATGTAATAAATGGACTGAGATGTCAACCTAAAAATATATAATTTCAGAATATACATAACATCTGCATCAACACTCTCACTAAAATGGAACAGCTAAACAACTTTAGAGGGTTAGACTACAGCAAGTCAAAAAATTGACTATATGATGGTACAATAATAAATATTGAATTAGTATTGAAAAAGGGATAATGCTGCAGAAATGATGAATTTTATTTATACACCCACAAATTACCTGAGGTCATGAGGTAGGCAGCTACGATCCAACTTATGTTCAATTATTACTAATGATGATAATGTTTTTAATGTTGGCTCTGTCAAAGTAAAAAAAAGTATTTAAAAACATCACTCATATTCCTAATCTAAACATTTGACATTCTATTACAAGTGCAATTTCTGACATGTTAGATGGTAATGTCCTGTTCAACACATGGATTTTTCACAGTTCTGTATGTGTGAAAAATTATGCTAATTTTAAACAATACCCTCAACAATGTGGCAAGCATCCAGCTGTATATATAGATTAATTAGATTCATATCATAGGAACTCACAAAAACATATTTAAGTAGACATAAAAAAAACCTCACCGAAGTCCAGGATATACATATCAGATCTGTCAATGAGATCAGAATCTGATTGATTGGGAGAGTCTGATTTGTCAGATGACAGCCTTGGACTAGTACCTCCAAAGAAGTAGACTTTAGTTCCAACAACACTTGCACACTGTCTTCGTCTTGGGGTAGGGCATGTACCAGTGACATTTAATTTAGTCCACGTCATTGTGGCTGAAAATAAATTTGGCTCGCTATCTGATATAATCTGTAGAATAGTCTTCTAAACGGTACATAATTCATTTAATTGAGGCTTAAAAAGCGACTTTTGTTTTAAAAATGCAGACTTTTTTTTAAATCATCAAACAAAAAAACTTTAAAAATTCAGATTTAATATTTGATCTAGTAAAAATGTTTTAATATGAGAAAGAAAAAATCATTTATTTCAGAATGCTAACAAACGCTAAATTATACTGACATGATTTAATTTTAATAGTACTTATATGAAGTGTTAAAAAAGCTCACCTAGATCAAGTTTATGCAAATCATTAAAATGACATTCTATTCTTCCATTGTAGCCACCAAATATATAGATTGAACCTCTATATTCAACTAAAAAATAGTGTAAGAAAAAAATCGTTAATTTGTTTCACTTAATTCCTGCAACCAGCCATCTTTAAATACATGTTATCTCACAAAATTAAAGAGTGATAACTAGAATAGTCACTCCAACATTATAATGGTACTAAATGAAACCCATCAGCAGTGCCCAGATATGTTAATGCTAATAGGGTTAAATTGGTTTCTAATTATTTCAAACTCAGCAGCTCTAATATCCAATTGTATCTTTAAAAAAACAAATAATAATTTACATGCTGAGTGGCTCCGTCGTCCAAATGGAGCACCCTCAGGTGATGGTGTGGGTCTAGACCAAGTGTTGGAGGTTGTATCAAAGGCCATCACTTTGTTGCAGTAAATCTCATTGTTTGTAAATTGGTCTCCACCAACATCGCATCTACCCCCAAATATATACATGATATCACCAACAGCTGTTGCTGTATGAAAATCTCTCCACCTTGCTGGTTTCCCCTGGTTTTATAAAAATATATGATTCATTGAAAAAAAAATTTTTTTCTAAAAGAAGTATAAGGAGTAACAGAACAATTATGATATTACTTTTATACATTTTTCATATTACACAAGTGCTGATTTGCACTTAATAAATAATAATATTTGACTCTACTGATTGCTGGAAAAGCAGTACAGCGTAAAAATATATTTTAAATGTTACAAAGTAGTGTTCTAGTACCAGTGCCATCAACTTACATTGACAACTATAGGGATCCATTCAAAAGTTTCAAAATTGAAATAGTTCATATCATTTGAAAAACGATCAGTCTGAAGATTCAAAATAAAAGTATCTATATCATTAAAATAACAAAGATTAAAGATCACACTATATAACTACATACGATTCTTTTCTAAGCATAGTATTAACCAAGTAATATTTATCCAAAAATGCATAGTGCATGCCTCTTCTATTTAAAATGTACAGTATAATCAGTCTAATACTGAGTTCAACAGTTTAGGCAAATCTTAAATACTAACAAATTCTTCATATCCAGCAAAAATGTACATGCGGCGATTGATTATACATGCAGAGTGGCCATCTCTTGCTTCGGGAATAGGACCCGTAACATCAGGTTTGTCCCACTTCAGTATTGCTGTTTAATATTACTTAAACATCAGATACAAGTGACTGAAAATGCCTAAACATTTTTATAGTAATTCTACATTATGCTAAAACCTATTTTCATAACCATTACAATATAGTAAATTAACTTATGTTATGTTAAATAATTCTTAGAATGCACAGATAAAAGTTAATAGTTTTTAAATTTTTACTTTAACTGCCAATAAGTTTGTTTACAATGTGCAGCAAAATAAACAAACATTTTTAATTAGGTAAAACGGATTTTAAGCAACTGAAGTTTACAGTACACCTACCCTCACGAAATCTAAATAAAGTATTACAAGCTCCAATGCTATCATTTCTTCCGCCCCAAATGTATGCACAATCTTCATATTCAACAGCAGTATGACCATAACGCTGGTAGGGTGTGTTTCTTAGATCCTCATCATTTGTAGGTAAAGGTAACAAAGTCCAGCGTAGTGTCACTAAAGCAACAAATTATTTTTTAATATAAAAGACTTCTAGTAATGCTTTAAAAAAGTTGATTTCAAAAAAATTAAAACTACAAACCTGTATTTAAAACATGAACATCCATAGGACGTGTCTTCTCATAGTCTTCTCCAGTGCAGTAGCCTCCAAATGAGAAAATTCTTTTTCCAATAGTAACAGCAGCATGATTAACTCTCTTTGGTCCACCCTCCAAACGAATGGTCCAAGTTAACATTATAAAACTGTAATCTCTGTTAACAAATGTTTGAAAAATTAAGAATTTTTTAACAAACCTACAATTTGTAGAAATAAAAACTATGTGAACAAAACAAAGTATTTTTCAAAGCTTTAGGAAATAAAAATTATTGTTTCTACATGGATCTCTGTCACAATAAACAATAATACTCTCAAAACATATACTGATAAGCCAATAGAGAAAAACAACCTAGTATATTTAACAAAGCAAAACTTGTCTTGATAAGCTTATCTATTGCAACCTGTCAGTCAAGTTAAACCATTTAATGTGACCTGCCTCAGAATTAAAGCTTTGATAAATAAAAATTTATTCTCCTCATTCAAAAAATTACATGTAAAAACATGAATGTCATTGAAAATAATAAGCAGCAACATAAATACTGATGTATAGTAAATAAATATTATGCTTAACACTTAACATTGACTTTTTTAGTTTTAATCATATTTTTCATGTCTAAGTCTAAAGGTTTTAAATGTTCATTGTCAAATGAAGAATCCACATATTCTCATACATTTTAAGTCTACTGTATTAGAACTACAATTATGTTAAGAATGTAGTAACAAAGACTGTATGAAACATGTCGAGTTTAATGTTATTTTATTAAAAGAGTCACTGGTAAGAATTAATAAAGTGGTACCTCGTTTAATGTCTCTAATGTATTTCTGCATAGATATAGTTCTCTTGCTCCATTATTTGCTTTGTTAGCAGATGGCTGCTTGTAAAACTATTCAAGTGTACTGTTTTTTTGTTGCTCTTCTTCAACACCAAGCCAAAATTATGGATAAGGTTGCAATTCTGAAAACTTATCAACCTAGTGGTCTCAGCTGAGTTCAGGTATTTAGTGTACATAAACACTGAGACTTGCCAGAAAGTTCATGCATACATTACAAAGTCAGTCAAAGCAAAGCTGTTTGTTACCCATAAAGATTTTGGTTCATCCAGTGATGTCAAAGTTTATTTGCTGAGCATTCATTAATTTTGTTTATGTTAATTCAGGTAAGAGAAGAGGGAGGAAATTTTTTTCTTTAAACTTACTAAACTTTTTTTAAGTTGAATCCATAAAAAAGCAGCTGGAAGTTAGGTCACATACTGTTCATAGTGAACGCTGTTCAGATTTAAAGAAAATAGAAATAAAATTATGTACAGGTTGTAATTTTTAGCGTACATATAATCAATAAATCTTAAAATAATAAAAATCTGTTAAAACTTTATAAAGTATACCATTGTTATACCATATAGTTATACCAATGTATTATTCCCTAGCTATTCCAGCAGGCAAATGACCCAAAACTTGTGAACCACCAAATTATCCCACTGGCACTAACAACCCTGGTCACTGGTTAGCATAAAAGCTACCAGGATTGTCATGTCAAAGCTGTCTTGCTCTTTGAACCAGTCTTCTATTATCCGCCCTCTATGGTGTAAACTGTAACTATTATCATATAACAGTAAATAGATACTTGTGGAATTCTACACCCTACAATAACAATAATCAACAATAAGAATCCAAACCTTTATAACTATAGGTGCCTAAGGAGTGTATTAAAAATAAATGGCATGACAAGCTAGAAAACACAAAACTATGGGAGATGTGTGGACATGAAACAATAAAAAGGCGAATCATGGAGTATGATGGAGAGGAAATGGCAATGGATTGGGCACGCACTTAGGAAGAAGGATGGCAATAGAGCAAGACAAGCCCCCATGACAAATGAACCAGGGGCCTACAGAGGAAGACAATGACATGGCAACGTATCATACTGGAGGAGGCCAAAAATATGGGAAAATGTAGCTGGAAAGATTTCCAGTGTGGATAGGATACAGTGGAGAGTCAGAGTGGAAAGCTTTGACTAAGGCAAGGCCAAATCTAATCGTAAACAGGCTGAAACTTAATAATACTTAATATTAATAAGTTTTAATATAATAATACTATACTATTGAATATGAAGTTTGCAATTTAGGAAGGAAATATGATGATGATAGTCATTAAACTAGGCCTAAACATTTAAAATATTAATTAAGCTAGTTAATAGGCCCCTAATTATGCCCTAATACTATACTAATTGGGTAACTAATACCAATACACTATCACAAATAGTAATTTTTATTAATTAGCCTAGGCCCTAGGCCTAAGCTATAAGTAAGTATTAGTAAGTAAAGTAAAGTTCCCTTTCAAATCAGACGGTCTATATGACAGTTGAATTAGAGTTTACTAGTTTCTGTGACCTCGGCATATGAAGTGATAGTGGTCAGCACTATGCCCATCCGCCTTCACTTTCCCTAACGTGAGTTAGGTACCCATCAGAGTTGGGTGGACTCAGGGACGATCTACTGACTTGAACCCGGATTCCAACTCGAGACTTACTGGTTAGCAGTCCAGCTCTCTACCGCTAGACCACTCCGTCCTTCTTGTTTTCTACTATTAACTTTTTTAGGCCTAAAAACTTTTTTTTACCTGTGACTGTGTTGGAGAAATCACCGAGAATGGCTAACAGTACTAACACAATGTAACACTGTCACAGTTACAGTACCAGTAGCGTAGCGAGGGGGACACATGTCCCTGGGCGCCGACCATAGGGGCGCCAAAATGGGTTGGAAAAATAAATTGAAAGGTTGAGGGGGGGAGGGTGCAAATCGAAAGTTTGAGGGGGGGGTGTGCAAATCGAAAAGTTTGTCCCAGGGAAGGGTCGCTACGCCTCTGTCTGTACAGTACTGTAGTACTTGCTTACTTACTAATACTTACACTACAGACTACAGACAGTAACACTTCACTAAGTACTAAGTAGTCTAACTCTAAGACACTCTAAGTAGTTCAAGTATTATTAAGTGGAATCCTTATTACTAAGTTATTAGTAGTAGTGTAGTAGATTTCTACTTTCTAGTACTAGACTAGTAATTTCAATTAATTCAATAGTAGATCTAGAATCTAGTAGTTCACGTCGCACGAAATTAGTCTAGACTCTTGACCTAAAGTGTAGGTCTATCCACTACCTAAATCTAGCTAAATAGTATAGTAAAGTAGTAGATCTAGATCTAAATAGTTCTAGAATCTAGATCTAGAATTAAACAAGAAATTCTAAAAACGTAAACAGACTCAGAATGTAAACAAGAAATATCATACTCATGGATGATAGAATTATTAACTTCCGGTGCTATTTTAGGAAGGAGGGTCAAAGAAATTTACATTGGCCCACAGTACTTGAGTACTACTAGAGTCTAGATCTAGATCTAGATTTCTAGACTAGATTTAACTAGATTAGATCTATGTGAATGTAGCATTACTAGCCATTAGACTGCTAGATTATAGATTATCTAGATTCTAGTTCTAGAGTAGATTATGTCTGCATCTAGATTTAGTATAGACTATAGACTCTAGACAGTCTAGATCTAGTATCTAGATTTTATTACTTTATTTTAACTAGATCTAAATCTAGTCACATTTTTAATCTACAAATGAACTGAGGAGAGTGAGGATTTAGAATAATTTTAATTTCGATTCTGAATCTAGATCTAGATCTAGATCTAGATTTTTTGATCTAGAATCTAGATTTAACTAGACTAGATATAGATCTAGATCTAATAATAATATAGATTTATTTTATGTTAATACTGATCTACGATTCTACTTGAATTATCTAGATCTAGATCGAAATTAAAACGCAAGAAGACCTGCCATCCTTATGCATAACTTAAGCATACTGAAAAATTAAAAGTAAGCCTAACAAAATTCTTTCAACGTCCATCCAATAGATGACGTCACGCAATATTTACCCGCTCTAACAGCCAGGCCTACCCCTGTCGTCACGCGTCGTCAAAAAAAAAAACAAACACCAACACACAAATGACGTCACAAATTCCCTCCATAAATTAGATGTAGAATCTAGATCTAGTAGCCTAGTAGGCCTAGCCTTGTATTTGCTTTTAAACTGAGTTTAGCGGCAGTCGTAACATGAGGAGGCATAATAATTAAAATTTACCAGCGAAGGCCAGATAGAGGGTTAGACTTCACAAGTCAAGAGGCGTATAGCGAGGGGGGTGACACCATGACAAAAATAACAATATATATATATATATATATATATATATATATATATATATATATATATATATTGAAAAAAAAAAGATCATTCCAGTTAAATAAATGATTAATTAGAGTTAAAAAGTCTTTTACTTTTAATTAAGGGGATATGCTATGTTTTTTTCTATTTTTTACAGTTTAAGATCTAAAGCCTTTTGAATACTTTTATCATATTTGTCATATAAAAGTAAGTATTAAACAGCAAAAAAATGGTCGAAAACAATTTTGGTTGTCATGGTAACCCGAAAAAACCTCCGCCATTTTGAATTTTTCGGTACTTTTAAAAATACTAAGGCTTTTTCATTTATGAACCTATAGCAATCAAATTTAAACTGCTTATATTTCAGTATATATTAAAACTTTTGTCACGACAACTTTTTAAAATAATTACTAGTAAGAATTTCACAAGGTCTAAAAAATCGTACCCTTTTTAGTATTCAAAAGTTTCAAAATGTGCATATTAATTACCAAATACTTTTTTTCTATGAAAGCAATCACAATTCCCTCGTGACAAAAGTTGTATTTTCGCATCAAGAACATTTACTGAAAATATGGTTGGCATTGTTTAATAAATAAAAAAGTAGTAGGCTTTTTAGTGTTAAAAACCTGCGAACTGAGAAAAACAGCCAAAAGTAAAGAAAACTAGGTCAGGAAAGTACCATATCTGTGTAAACAGCAAAGCCGATTGTAAGCTTTGGGTGTTTCCGAGATGTAGGAAATTAAGTTTATTAAATACATGAGTAATCCAGCTTTCCAATGATGTCAAATACAATATAATGACGGATTTAAAACTTTTCATAGAGAGCTTGTAAGATTGGGAAAAATTGATTATTTTTTAATTAATAGGGTCATAAAAATCGTAATTCAAACACATAACATATTTTTTTCTCTTTAAAGTTATTATTTTCTTTATACAAAAATGGACAAAGTATCCAAAAGTGCAAGAAACCCAGCATGACGAAAAACAAGAAATTTTGTGATTTTTTCCCGCGCATATCCCCTTAAAAGCAAAATTGACAAATCCCGACAAGGTGGAGGGGGGTGTGACACCATGACGTAAACCTGATAACGATACAGAAAACTATACTACATCCAGCTGTATTTATAACCGACTATAGATAAACGTCGTTAGTATTATCTGTGCACAGTTTAAAGCTATCACTATCACTGGTAAAGGGGGGGGGGGGGGGGGACACACCAACCAAACGTTGCAAAATGTGTCCGAGGAAAAAGGTTTTCTTGAGAATTGTAATAACTGATAGTCAATCCGCGTCTTAGGTGGGGGGAGGGGTGATACCAAATTTATTAATTTACTAACAAATACAATATTCAATAATTTTTCCACTTGAATGAATAACTGTTAGAGTCAGGCCCCTAAATACTTTTTTTCTAGGGGAAACAAACATGTCATGGTCTTTTACAGATAGGTTTTTCACAGAGGCCAGTGCTGGACCGGGACGGCTAGTATATATATATATATATATATATATATATATATATATATATATATATATATATATATATATATATATATATATATATATAAAGGTCAAAATAGGCATATATATATTTGCAGTTGGTGACATCCCATTCCCAGTTGCCTAATGGCGTTAATTTGTGCGCACAATCCACCTATTAATTAATGCGGAAAAAGCATCGTCTTCATCGTAAGTCATTCGTTTTTCGTGTCACTCCCTCTCTTGTCGTTGATTGACTTATCTTTTATTCAAAATCCTCAACAAGCCTTTATTCCTCTCTAAATTTTGCAGTTGACGTCACCCCAACCCCCTTCCCCACGTTGATAATTTTAAAGTGCGTACAGTTAATAGTAAAGAATAGTGAGTTATTAATACAGGTGGATTAACTCTTACTAATCATTAATTGAACTGTCAAAAAGCATATTTCTTCTATATATTTTGCAATTTTTCGTCATTGTGTCACCCCCTAAATGGTGTCGGTGTCACCCGGTGCGGTCCCACATTCCTCCCTCGCGACGTCTCTGGTCCGATCAGTAAAATAGGATGCGGTCGGAGCGGATGGATGGATGGCGATTCTCTCGCTTAAATTTTGAGAGCGAATAAAATTAGTCTACTGTACCGAATAAATCATTATTTATTGCTTGTTTATTAACAAATCCTAATACTGCAAGTTGCATACAGTTATTAAGGCCACTAGACATATTAAACGAGGTAAAAAGGTTCCACAAGACGACTGCTACTGCGTTGTTACTTTGTTCAACCAAACTGATTTAAAACTGTAATATACTATTACCGAAATTGTTCTAAAACACGACCAAGAATAAAGCAAATAAGCTTTCACCTTCTACAAACTACATTCCCCACCAGTTTCAAATTCATATGCGCATTCACCGAACCCTTCTTAGTCCACACTAACAAAATCGGATTTTGAATCATATGAGTCAGGTGTGTGTCTTGACCTCCGCCAAAGCCCTGACACTTACTTACCGAACGTCATGGCTTCGATCGAACCCAGGTTAAGAACCCCTGCTCTAAACTCTTTTGATTTCTTCTTTTATTTGTTTCGGCTTCTTAGGAGCATAAGCGCAGGCAACACTTCGTCAACTCACTCGATTTTTTATGAAGATCGAACCCTAATAATCCAGCCTCCCCCGTCTCTATTTCAACGATTTCATTCATGATTTTTTGATCTGCTCTTCCTTTCTCCCCGTGGACTTGACACCAGAGTTTCTTCCAGGCATCTCTTCGGGGGGGGGGGGGCGAAGCCCCCCCCCGAAAAAATTTTACCGCCCCCCCGAACGAAATGAAATTTATATAATTTATATAGAAAATATATACTTTTAACAGTGTCCGCCCCCCCGAAGAAAGTTTACCGCCCCCCCCCCGAAGATTTCAAGTGCCCCCCCGGAGAAAAAAGTCTGGAAGAAACACTGCTTGACACCAGCACCTGCTTAGTGATGTTATTTACTGTCTTTCTGATATTGTGCTCTAACCACCACCTTTTCGTTGCTCTTTTTCATTCTCCACTGTCTGTAACCTAGCTACGAGCCATGCAGCAAAAGAGACTACACATTTAGCTATAGATCTTGATTGAATTATTTTAACAAGCATTTGAATTCAATATTGGCTCAGAATGTTAAAACGCTTTTTTATCGCTGCTGATTCTAATCTGACCGCAATGGTCGGTGCCGGTGCCACTATCATTAAACCAGTACAATTAATTCTGCATTTGTCGTTAACATGACGAGGAATGTGTTGTGTGACTGTATGTAAGGACAACGAATGTAAGGACACCATTCTTTATGGTGGCATTTTCTAATTATGTTGCCTTGCTAATGACAGTGTAAACACATTCCTACGTATCTTGTCCGGTTGTTTTGTTTCGCATTTTTCCTGCTTTGCCTTCGAATACCGTATCTGTAGTTGTGGAACGTTCTCTTTTAAGGATCTTCACGATGTAGGTAAAACTCTAGTAATGTTTCTTTTGAGGTTTTGTACTCTATCATTTGGTTTTGTCTAAGCCTTGACGTCCTGGGGTCAGAGTTTTTTCCAGGCATCTCTTCGGGGGGGGGGGGGTCTCCCCGAACGAGATGGAGTTTATATAGTAAACATATACTTTTACTAGTGCCCCCCCCCCCTCCCCCGGAGAAAAAAGTCTGGAAGAAACACTGCGTGGCGTTAGCCCCCACCAGCACAAGTAATTGTGGTATTTGACAATAAGTTAGCCCCCCCCCCCCATCAGCACAAGTAATTGTGGTATTTGACAATATGTCCCCCCCCCCCCCCCATCAGCACAAGTAATTGTGGTATTTGACAATATGTCCCCCCCCCCATCAGCACAAGTAATTGTGATATTTGACAATAAGTTACCCCCCCCCCATCAGCACAAGTAATTGTGGTATTTGACAATATGTCCCCCCCCCCATCAGCACAAGTAATTGTGGTATTTGACAATATGTCCCCCCCCCCATCAGCACAAGTAATTGTGGTATTTGACAATATGTCCCCCCCCCCCCCCCCATCAGCACAAGTAATTGTGATATTTGACAATAAGTTACCCCCCCCCCATCAGCACAAGTAATTGTGGTATTTGACAATATGTCCCCCCCCCCCCATCAGCACAAGTAATTGTGGTATTTGACAATATGTCCCCCCCCCCCATCAGCACAAGTAATTGTGGTATTTGACAATAAGTTGGCCCCCATCAGCACAAGTAATTGTGGTATTTGACAATATGTCCCCCCCCCCCCATCAGCACAAGTAATTGTGATATTTGACAATATGTCCCCCCCCCCCCCCCCATCAGCACAAGTAATTGTGGTATTTGACAATAAGTTGGCCCCCATCAGCACAAGTAATTGTGGTATTTGACAATAAGTTACCCCCCCCCCATCAGCACAAGTAATTGTGGTATTTGACAATAAGTTACCCCCCCCCCCCCATCAGCACAAGTAATTGTGGTATTTGACAATAAGTTGGCCCCCATCAGCACAAGTAATTGTGGTAATTGACAACAACCCGTGTTTATTCTTGGCAAGATCAAACGTGGTTTCCAAACGATTGGTCACAGTAGTTATATTACTTTCACAATTTTGTATTGGGGGGGGGGGGGGGGGGGTATTAACCCTCTACTGCCTATACCTTTATGTTGTATGGCATGAGATGTCCAATCAAATCACTAAATGCTTGGTGCATCCATTCGCGAGACCTAGTTAGCCTTTAAGATTGTGTTCTATCGACATCTCTTATGTTACCAATCAGAATAAAGCTGGCCCTAGTTTTATGATATTTATGAAAGCCTCAGAAGAGAACTAGTAAATTGTGTGTTGATTATCCGTTTATTAAATGCACAAAACACGTTACGATTGTAGATAGTTTTTTAATCAGTCATGTGAAACATGGTGACTAACATTACATAAACGTGCGGCACATCTAGCCACGCCCCCTAAATCATTGGCTCATTCGTCTATAGATACATACTCAGTGTATTTATATCCTGCATGGCTAATTTTTTCGACATATCTTTATATTCCTCATCAAAATCATAATCGCTGTGTGCACGTTGGATTGTTCTTTTCTTGTAACATTCCAGAAAATCGTATTTTCTCGGCAGATATTGGTCCACAAATAACTTATTGGTAACCACGGAGACGACAACAACGCATAAACCGCCCATTAGCATACAGTAGGTCCGCATTGGAAACATTTGCTTCTGCGCGAGCTCGTCATAAAATGGCAGCTTCAAATAAGCCGGTAAGTTCAGCAACGGCTCCCCGCACAGCAGTCGCAGCAGTAGAGAAATCGCGAAGCCTGCAAGACTGCCGTAAGCGTTAGAGGCGGACAGCCAGAGGACAAGCGTGAGTTGGGGAAACAAAACAATGTACATCAGATCAGAAGACAGAGCGAACAGGCTACAGGGCTGGCTGGCATAAATCGCAATCGTTGTGCTTAGAAATCCAATGATAAAGTTGCTGATTCTCAAGACGTACATTAACTCTCTTTCTGTAGCCTGTGATAAAATGTAAATGTATATTTAAATAAATAAAGAAAGAAAGAAATATATATATATATATATATATATATATATATATATATATATATATATATATATATATATATATATATATATATATATATATATATATTAGCTTTAAACGTGAGTCATTGTGGTATTACTAAATCACTTATCTAATAATTAAAATGAGCTAAGTTTAGCTTGAACAGATGATTAGGTATCGAGGGTATAGCAGGAGTGAAAATGACTGGCCAGGGACCAGGAAAGAGAGCAGGTTTGAGAGCCGCTGTGACGTACACATGTGCCAGGAAGGCGTGGGGTACCTGGGGCCGGAAGATATCGGCGTAAATGTTTTTGGTGAGGATGGAGCTGGACGACAGGACGCACGAGTCACACAACGCCATAGCCGAGGACGCGAGGGCGCTGATTCCTAAAATTGTCGTCGGCAGTGGTGTTAAGTAGGTTAAAGCCAAAGCCATAATGGACTTTTGTTCTAATGACTTCGCCGAGCCAGAGTAGCTAGTCATATTCCAGTCTAAGAAGGAAAATTTTAAAGTTCTAAACAACACAAAACCATATACCAACATCTAAACATGACCTGACCACAACCCAACATCTAAACATGACGTGACCATAAGCCAACATCTAAACATGATGTGACCACACCCCAACATCTAAACATGACGTGACCATAAGCCAACATCTAAACATGACGTGACCATAAGCCAACATCTAAACATGACGTGACCATAAACCCAACATCTAAACATGACGTGACCATAAGCCAACATCTAAACATGACGTGACCACACCCCAACATCTAAACATGACGTGACCATAAGCCCAACATCTAAACATGACGTGACCATAAGCCAACATCTAAACATGACGTGACTACACCCCAACATCTAAACATGACGTGACCACACCCCAACATCTAAACATGACGTGACCATAAGCCCAACATCTAAACATGACGTGACCATAAGCCAACATCTAAACATGACGTGACCACACCCCAACATCTAAACATGACGTGACCACACCCCAACATCTAAACATGACGTGACCATAAGCCAACATCTAAACATGACGTGACTACACCCCAACATCTAAACATGACGTGACCACACCCCAACATCTAGACATGACGTGACCATAAGCCCAACATCTAAACTTGACGTGACCACACCACAACATCTAAACTTGACGTGACCACACCCCAACATCTAAACATGACGTGACCACACCCCAACATCTAGGCATGACGTGACCATAAGCCCAACATCTAAACATGACGTGACCACACCCCAACATCTAAACTTGACGTGACCACACCACAACATCTAAACTTGACGTGACCACACCCCAACATCTAAACATGACGTGACCACACCCCAACATCTAGGCATGACGTGACCATAAGCCCAACATCTAGACATGACGTGACCACACCCCAACATCTAGACATGACGTGACCACACCCCAACATCTAAACTTGACGTGACCACACCCCAACATCTAAACATGACGTGACCACACCCCAACATCTAAACATGACGTGACCATAAGCCAACATCTAAACATGACGTGACCACACCCCAACATCTAAACATGACGTGACCACACCCCAACATCTAGGCATGACGTGACCATAAGCCCAACATCTAAACTTGACGTGACCACACCACAACATCTAAACATGACGTGACCACACCCCAACATCTAAACATGACGTGACCACACCCCAACATCTAAACATGACGTGACCACACCCCAACAACTAAACATGACGTGACCACACCCCAACATCTAAACATGACGTGACCACACCCCAACATCTAAACATGACGTGACCACACCCCAACATCTAAACATGACGTGACCACACCCCAACATCTAAACATGACGTGACCACACCCCAACATCTAGACATGACGTGACCATAAGCCCAACATCTAAACTTGACGTGACCACACCACAACATCTAAACTTGACGTGACAACACCCCAACATCTAAACTTGACGTGACCACTTACCTGCCGCAGTACCCGCCAAGCCCAGCAGTATGGGCGTGGCACCCAGTGCCAGACACAGTACACTGGAGACGATGGCCGACACCTTCGCTGTTTTCACTGTCGCGCTGGACAACGATCTTTGGTATATGCACTAAAACATACCATTAGATGGTCAGCCTTGGTTAGTCAGTTGTGGTCAGCTGTGGTCAGTCGTCGTCAGTCAGTTGTGGTCAGTCAATTGTGGTAAGTTGTGGTCAGTCGTGGTCAGTCAATTGTGGTCAGTCAGTCCTGGTCATTCAGTTGTGGTCAGTCAATTGTGGTCAGTCGTGGTCAGTCAATTGTGGTCAGTCAGTCCTGGTCAGTCAGTTGTGGTCAGTCGTAGTCAGTTGTGTTCAGTCAGTTGTGGTCAGTCAATTGTGGTCAGTCGTGGTCAGTCAATTGTGGTCAGTCAGTCCTGGTCAGTCAGTTGTGGTCAGTCGTGGTCAGTCAGTTGTGGTCAGTCTGTCATTGTTTGTCCGTCATGGCTAGTTAGTCTTGGCTAGTCATGTGAGGTTAGTTATTCCTTATAGAAAGTATATACTTTAGCCCCGCCCGGAAATTTAATTCCGCCCTCACAGAAATTTTGAAATGCTCCCCCACCCCCGGAGAAAAATGCCTGAAACGAACCTGCCATGTGATGTTGCCGAAAATGTACAAGAGACACACGTCAATGGTTGAGAGGATGGGGCTGTCCTGTACTCGCCGCCAGCTGCTGTCTCTAATGCTGGACAAGTTGACCGATGGGTGGGTCAGGGCAAAAGGCACGCAAGTCGCCTGTGGACCAAGGCGTGGCTTCATGTCAGCATCAATGGAAGTGGTCACATTTTTTGGCACGCTAAAACCAAATCTTAACTTGAAGCAGTCAAGTTTTTTGTCACGCTAAAACCAAATCATTACTTGAAGCAGTCAACACCAATGAACCCCCTCCCGTCCACAAAGACACACCAATGAACCCCCTCCCATCCACAAAGACACACCAACGAACCCTCTTCCCAGAGACACACCAACGAACCCCCTCCCTAGTCTAAGAATCACACCAACGAACCCCCTCCCCTCCACAACGACACACCAACGAACCATGCCGAAGACGATGAAGAAGAGCTGGATGACGTCAGTGTAGACGACAGAGAACAAGCCGCCGATGCCAGTGTAGGTGACGGAGATGGACGACGACATGATGATGGCAGTGGAGGCGTTCATGTCCAGCACGACAGAGGTGGTCTGACCTGTCACAAAGAATCGTGTCACATTTCAAAGGAAGTCAATGTCTGACATATCACAGAGATTCGTTTCACATTTCAAGGAAGTCAATGTCTGACCTGTCACAGAGATTCATGTCACATTTCAAGGGAGTCAATGTCTGATTGTATGGGCTAATTGTTGTATGTTTTCATGTCGATACAAAGGTTTGAGGTGACGGTAGACTGACCATGAACTTGTCACCCCACCTAGTGACGGTACACTGACCATGAACTTGTCACCCCACCTAGTGACGGTACACTGACCATGAACTTGTCACCCCACCTAGTGACGGTAGACTGACCATGAACTTGTCACCCCACCTAGTGACGGTACACTGACCATGAACTTGTCACCCCACCTAGTGACGGTACACTGACCCATGAACTTGTCACCCCACCTAGTGACGGTACACTGACCCATGAACTTGTCACCCCACCTAGTGACGGTAGACTGACCATGAACTTGTCACCCCACCTAGTGACGGTACACTGACCATGAACTTGTCACCCCACCTAGTGACGGTAGACTGACCTATGAACTTGTCACCCCACCTACTGACGGTACACTGACCTATGAACTTGTCACCCCACCTAGTGACGGTACACTGACCATGAACTTGTCACCCCACCTAGTGACGGTACACTGACCCATGAACTTGTCACCCCACCTAGTGACGGTACACTGACCCATGAACTTGTCACCCCACCTAGTGACGGTACACTGACCCATGAACTTGTCACCCCACCTAGTGACGGTACACTGACCATGAACTTGTCACCCCACCTAGTGACGGTACACTGACCCATGAACTTGTCACCCCACCTAGTGACGGTACACTGACCCACGAACTTGTCACCCCACCTAATACATAAACACGTGGTTTTACCAAAAGTAGCCAACAGAGCAGCCGACCAGATAATATCGCCAAAGATGTGGGGGAGAATCAAGATGGCGCCGACTTTCTTGCCATACTTGAGTTGAAACGGATCAAATATCGTGATGTAGCACTCGCTTCTCATCTTCGGCACGAAGGTGAAGGCTCCTACAGTAATAGATCTTTATTGCAGAGTTACTGTCTAAATCAGAAGGTTTGTGAACATTTCAATGTGAACAAACGACATTCCTAATATTTGTTTAGCTGCACACATAAACTTCAAAAAATATATCTGAGAATAATAAGGTGAAAATAATATAAATTATTAAGGCGAAATTTTTTTTTGGATGTCATGGAATTTTGCCGATGTTTAACCCAATCCTTTTGAAGCGCTCGGTCACAAAATGTTAGAACTAATTGTGGAGTAATTTAATTTTGTTATCACTTTTCTATCAAATAAAAAGTATAAATCAAAATTCTTATGTAATACGGGAGTCAGCGTCCTAATATCATGACTTATAATGCCAAGTTGAACCATCCTAGTCTAGCACTAAGAGAACACTTCCTTAAGCTGCATGGAGATAAAAAAAAAAAAGAACACAACACTTGCTGAATTCAAGGAAGAACCACCGTTTTTTTTAACGTGTCTGAAAGGCACCAGTCAAGTTTTTTGTCACGCTAAAACCAAATCTTTACTTGACGCAGTCAAGTTATTTGTCGCGCTAAAACCAAATCTTTACTTGACGCAGTCAAGTTTTTTGTCACGCTAAAACTAAATCTTTACTTGAAGCAGTCAAGTTTTTTGTCACGCTAAAATCAAATCATTACTTGAAGCAGTAATGCCGCGTTACTGTCGCGCTACAACCAAATATCGCTGTCAGCTGATATAAATAAGTGCTTTATCACGAAGTAGACAGGCCAACAACAACAGCTGCCTAACATGAGGCCTCAATATTAACAGTATAAACGCCACCCCACCCCCACCCCCAATTCAACCGCCAACAACAACCCTCCCCAGTCGCGCCAACGACACCTACTCCACAAAGACCCCAATTGTGTGTGCGCGTGTGTGTGTGCGATCACATTTTAACGGTTTTGTTCTTTGAACGCAGTGACATTGATGTACGGTTAATTTTTTCCAACGGTAAAAATATAGGTCTATGCTTATATTCTGAATTTGAAAAAAAAAAAAACAAAAAAAAATCCTATTAATAACGGTTTGGTCGGTGACTGCGCAAATAAAAGCTTGTGCGGCTCGGTACTTTCAAATACGTTAACAACCACTAATCTGACCAGGCTAAAAGGAAATTAAATATAACTAACACAAACAAAATGGCGCCACAACTAAACGCAAAACCCAGAAATGGCGCCACAACTAAAGAGAAATGGTGCCACAACTAAAGAGAAATGGTGCCACAACTAAAGAGAAATGGCGCCACAACTAAAGAGAAATGGTGCCAGTATTACCCAGCAACAGCGCCAGGAAAACGCCCAGAGCAGCCTGAGCCTGTTCAAGGCCAGCAAATGTTGACCTTTCACCTGAGCCATGGACGAAACTTCCGCTGGCGATGGTCGCTGGAAGAAAAGGTTGGTGGGAACAACTCAACAACATCATAATTTACTGCTACATTTTGGTGGGAACAGCTCACCTACATCATAATTCACTGCTACATTTTGGCGGGAACAGCTTAGGTACATCATAATTTACTGCTACATTTTGGTGGGAACAGCTCAACTACATCATAATTCACTGTTACATTTTGGTGGAAACAACTCAACAACATCATAATTTACTGCTACATTTTGGTGGGAACAGCTCACCTACATCATAATTTACTGCTACATTTTGGCGGGAACAGCTTAGGTACATCATAATTTACTGCTACATTTTGGTGGGAACAGCTCAACAACATCATAGGTTACTGCTACATTTTGGCGGGAACAGCTTAGGTACATCATAATTTACTGCTACATTTTGGTGGAAACAGCTCAACAACATCATAATTTACTGCTACATTTTGGTGGGAACAGCTCAACAACATCATAATTTACTGCTACATTTTGGTGGGAACAGCTCAACAACATCATAATTTACTGCTACATTTTGGTGGGAACAGCTCAACAACATCATAATTTACTGCTACATTTTGGTGGGAACAGCTCAACAACATCATAATTTACTGCTACATTTTGGTAGGAACAGCTCAACAACATCATTATTTACTGCTACATTTTGGGGGAACAGATCTGCAACATCATAATTTACTGCTACATTTTGGTGGGAACAGCTCAACAACATCATAATTTACTGCTACATTTTGGTGGGAACAGCTCAACAACATCATAATTTACTGCTACATTTTGGTGGGAACAGCTCAACAACATCATAATTTACTGCTACATTTTGGTGGGAACAGCTCAACAACATCATAATTTACTGCTACATTTTGGTAGGAACAGCTCAACAACATCATTATTTACTGCTACATTTTGGGGGAACAGATCTGCAACATCATAATTTACTGCTACATTTTGGGGGAACAGATCAGCAACATCATAATTTACTGCTACATTTTGGTGGGAACAGCTCAACATCATCATTATCTACTGCTACATTTTGGTGGGAACAGCTCAACTACATCATAATTTACAGCTACATTTTGGTGGGAACAGCTTAGGTACATCATAATTTACTGCTACATTTTGGTGGGAACAGCTTAGGTACATCATAATTTACTGCTACATTTTGGTAGGAACAGCTCAACAACATCATTATTTACTGCTACATTTTGGGGGAACAGATCAGCAACATCATAATTTACTGCTACATTTTGGGGGAACAGATCAGCAACATCATAATTTACTGCTACATTTTGGTGGGAACAGCTCAACATCATCATTATCTACTGCTACATTTTGGTGGGAACAGCTCAACTACATCATAATTTACAGCTACATTTTGGTGGGAACAGCTTAGGTACATCATAATTTACTGCTACATTTTGGTGGGAACAGCTTAGGTACATCATAATTCACTGCTACATTTTGGTAGGAACAGCTCAAAAACATCATTATCTACTGCTACATTTTGGTGGGAACAGCTCAACTACATCATAATTCACTGTTACATTTTGGTGGGAACAGCTCAGCAACATCATAATTTACTGATATATTTTGGTTGGAAAATCTCAACAACATCATAATTTACTGCTACATTGTGTAAGCACATTGCAAAGCTATCTATTAATGTATTTTGTGCTTTTAAACGTTTAAAAACGACCTGGGAGAAATACATTTTAGATGCCTTGAGAAATGTGATCATTTCTACATTTATATTTTAAAAGAAAATATTTACTGCAACGATTGTCCACCTGACCCCCTCCCCGGAGCCAAATGTGTGAAAGAAACACTGGTCACCTGTGAGGCTGGCAGTCGAGAGGAAGTATCCCAGACTCACCTGTGAGGCTAGCAGTCGAGAGGAAGTATCCCAGACTCACCTGTGAGGCTAGCAGTCGAGAGGAAGTATCCCAGACTCCTGTTGGCCACCAGGCCAGCCTCGTGAGTGATGCTTTTGGACGCTCTCTTGCTGCCGAAGATGCCGACGACGAGAATGACGATGAAGATGAGTCCCAGTATTATGGTGCCGACCAGGTTGATTTCCATGGGCGTTCCTTCGTCCTCTGTCCAGAAAATCTAGATTTTAGTGGATCAAACGGGTTCTTATCGAATAGTCATACCCTAATACTAGGGCGCCAAAATGGGTTGGAAAAATATATTGAAAGGTTGAGGGGAGTGCAAATCGAAAAGTTTGTCCCCGGGCGCCGGGAAGGGTCGCTACGCCTCTGTGTGGGTTTAAGTTTAAGTTTAACTCGAGACTCGAGGGTTAAGACTAGTGTGCTCAATAGACAAGGACTGGTGTAGTTCTGGGACCATCGATTCCTTTTTGCCCTGTTGGCAGGGGTGTTAAGATTAAATTATGTGTATTCAGGGCTGGGGTTATGGCTAGTGTTGTTTCTTCCAGACTTTTTTCTCCGGGGGGGGGGGGGGGGTACTTGAAATTTTCGGGGGGGGGGGGGGGGCGGTAGACTTTCTTCGGGGGGGGGGGGGGGGCGGACACTGTTAAATGTATATATATTTTCTAAATAAATTCCATTTGGTTTCCATTTGGTTCGAGGGGGGGGGGGGGGGAGGGGGGGGGGGCGGTAGACTTTTTTCGGGGGGGGGGGATGCCTGGAAAAAAACTCTGGTAGTATCGGCAATACACCAACATGTGTCGTATAGTATCGGAAATACACCTACCCATTGTTAGAAAACGAACATGGCTAATGCAAAGGAAGGCTGCCACAAAAAAGTAGACTGACACAAACACACTTACAGGCTACTTTTTAAAAGTTGTTTTATTCCTAGCTAAATTTAAGGTTTGGTTTAAGATTATAGGTTATCATTAATGCCACCTCTTCGATGACTAACTAGTGTTTCTTCCAGACGCTTTTCTCATTTCTCCGTGGGGGGGGGGGGGGGGGCAACTGGAAGCCTGGAAGAAACTCTGTGACTAACAGAGGCGATGACGGAAAAGCAACACGGTACTTCAGCGAAAAAGTTAGGGCTGTGAATAGGCTGTGATTACTTTAACTTTATGCTTAAAGTATAGTCCACTTTATACTTTATACTTTATGGTCTAACATGGGTTAGATCCAGGTTAAGTCAAAGGGTTATCCACGGCTACAAACCGAACCGCCTTTTAAAATCTTATATGTGAGTCTTGTCTACAAGGAAACCGACGAGTGTATGCGTGTGTAACATTACATAATTTTACCTTTAACTTGAAACACGATTCTTTCTAGTGTTAATGAAACGATTCAATATTAACTTTAATCAAAACATTTTTATTATTTACACTTCCGTTTTGATATTACAAATGTTGACGTCATCTGGACAACAATTTTCCGATGTGCGCATCAAACCGTTAATGTGTTGAGATCTTGTCTGAAAGTTAGCTTTACAAGAAATCAAGCAGGCATTATACACCTGATCAGGTTTTTACTTTCCTACAGAAGGCCTACTGTATAATGATTTATTTGGTCTATAGGCCAGGCTTTATATATTGCCATTTTCAAAATATAGATCCGTGCAGAAAGTGTTTCAAGTGTTTGCCTAATAATGTTGTTGTGCTAAGTTATGCATTTTAAAAAACCCAATCATCTCAGATATCGTATCAATGTTAATTTGTCGTTAAGTTAATTAAGTTAAATAAATGTGAATAGTTTCGGACGTTAGCCTTTGACCTCCAACTCGAGTAAAATAAATACGGGAGATAACTAGAAACTCGAGACTCTTGTTTGTTTGAAGAATACATTTATTTTATGCTCACCAGTTCAGTATAAAAGTATAAAAGAAATTAAATTAGGCCTAGACAAAGCTGCAAGAGTTTAGCCAAGCATTAAGTCACTAATTCTTTTTTTGAAATTTAATTTAGACGTAGACTCTAGATTATATGCGTCAGTAGTAAACTAGACAGTCTATTAGTATTTTCGTTAAAGCAGTGAACAACACGATGTCAAAATGCAGAGATATCTTAATAATACAGACGGGTGGTCAGTAGATTCTAGCTGAGTGAGGGGTGGGACCTATTTTTTTATTTTAAAAAATTTGAACTTTATTTTAAAACAAATAGACTAGTCATAGATTTATAGTAGCCTAATGGGCCCTAGTTAAAAAATTACCAGGCCCCGCCTTCATCAGCCATTCATTAATCATTAAGCTTTAAGTAGGAACAAAAATCTTGGCAAAGAAGAAATCAACTGTGAACTTACCTATTATCATCAACTATTATGACTTAATTATAAAATATAAAAAAATAATATAATTATTATCTTATCTTATACTCATCATACTGCAATTTGAGGGAGGGGTTTTAATATAAATATGTATTTATTCCCCCCCCCCCCAAAAAAAAAAACCCTGGTCAAATGAGTTTGTCTAGTGGTCATTGGGTAAATGATTAATGGTTGTTTTTAAGGCAATTTTTTAATTTAAATTATTTCCGGTTAGACCTTAGGCCTATCAAATATAAATATTTAACAAGTTGGTTTTATATAGGCCTATATATGATATATATATATATTTATTTATATACATATTGACCTATACCTAAATATATAGAGATAAACAAGCGGTGCTATAGCCCTACTTGTAAAACATAAATTGTTAATTGACAAGCATGTTAAGTGAAATGTATTTTGGCCGAAAATAAATTGTGTTACTGCGAATGAGACTGAAGTGATAGAAAGTAGTTTGTTATCCTAAGGATAAAAAATTGACTCATTTTTATTTTACCACTACTAGGCACTATCGACAAAGTCTATCCTCAGCTGCCTGAATCATGTCGATTGAACTTTGGAGAACCTGCAGTAGTCAATATATTAGCACGCAATGCCCCTTGCTTTCCTTATAATGTACAGACAGTCTGCACGAAAGATAGCTATGAAATAACCGAGGAGGACAGGTAGTGAACCATTTTAAACTAGAAGTTGAAATAGTAAACATTTTGGATGATATTTAGAATCGACCCTTTGAATCCCGTACAGATCATCCCCTCGGCGTGGCCTCAACCAAAAGCCATTCCTCTGGGGGTCGTTATTTTCACGAAATCGTTTTCCAATTTGTTTTCATGACACTGGTATTTAGTTCATGAGAATGTACGTAAACCCCTCATGCCTGACAGAGATCATTTTAGGGCATATTTTTAAAAAACTTTAAAAAATCCGAACTACACGTAGAAAAAAATGGCTTTTTCAGCCACCAATCAAAACACGGAGAAAGCATGCATTTGATTGCTTGATGGCGGATAGTATGAAAGCTCAAGGGTTTTCTCTCAATTTTTTACCTCACTACCTTGTATTTGTGTCACTGGCTAAATTTGACCAAGAATCCTTGTCCTATCATAGTTATCCTCTGTGCCCTAAACCTAAACTTAGTGAATATTCTGGCTTACCAGTCAATCAGAGATATAATTTGTACAAGCAATACCGCTAAAAAGGTACCCTTAAGCACCTCATTTCTGCCACTCTCTGTACCACCATTCCTTTTACTAATAAGATTTGATCTTACTGATAAGGTGTTTGGATTTGTAAAATAAAAATACTGTTCAGAATAGAAAAATGTTTTTGTTTTTAAATACTTTTTTTAGTCACCACTGATAGCAATCTGGTTTTAAATTTGTTTCTCCATAAACATTGATCTTAGAAGGCCTATTAATGCATTATAATTTTGATAAGACATCTTATAAAGGATAATAAACTGATATAAAAAATTGTTGCAATTATTTTAGTTTAAAAATAGCGAGTATACAGTGGATCAATTTTTAAAAAAAATCACAATGTCATTTACAGAGAAGACATCTTGCGATATGTTGTAGAGGCGGACCAAGAGCTTGTGCTGATCACTCATGGCATGACTACCATGTGCGAGACAGCTAAATATTTGGTTCACGCTGGTGTCGGTCAAGGCAGTAAATATGGCCCAGGGGTTGGTCAAAAGGTATGGAAACATTTTATAATATCAATTACATTTACATCTTTTTTAAGGAAAAGTCATTCAGAAATTGTGAGTGGGGGATTTGCCATTTTCTATTGCATAAAACAAAATTATCTCTTAAAAAATTAACTGATGCATGAGTTGTTGGGGCAGTCTCAGTAAGCTCCAACACTTTCCTCTGATTGGTTAGGCATTACATTTGTCTAGAAGACAGCATTAATTCCCCCCCACCCCTCTCACCACAGTATAAGGGTTGTTGCTCACAGTATATCATTTTGAGAAATTGTGATAATGCTACCATACTTTTAATAAATGTAAGATACAGAAAAATTATGAAATGTTCCACAAACTAGTAAGGATGCACAAACTATTTCTACCTATCTGAGACAGAAATTTTCTTTGCTTTAGATTGTTGTTCTGACTGGCGCCAGCAAGCCTGAATGCATGAAGGACTCTGATGCAGACTTCAATATTGGCCTGGCATTGGGGTTCCTGCAGGGCTCATCAAACCCAGGAGTTTTTGTTGCAGTGGAGGGGAGTGTCGTTCCTGGGGCCCATGTCGTTAGAACAAAAGAAGGAAAGTTTGTTGACGACAGGGACCTGTTGAAAAGATTTTAAGTGCCACACAAACAGACTTTGCATGAGAAAAGAATGTTTTAATTAGCAGATATAGTACCATTTGTTTGAACTAGGGTGAGATAAATGTGTTTTATAAACACAGTCATGGCGTAATCGAATTTGATTTATAAAAAAGTCATTATTCAGGGATTGATTTGTTTAAAAAATGATGTGTAAAAGAAAGTATAGTCCATTTAAAACTAATAACTTACAGTGGGGTGTTGTTCAAAATGTCAATTTATTTTGTTTTTTTCTAGAAAGTTGAGAAAGTAAAATATTATTTGAATCTCTTTTTGTACATTTCCATTATTTTGTTTCCTGTTGTGAAAGATTTTGTTGGAATATCTTCTTGTATACTTCCATTATTTTGTTTCCTGTGGTGAAAGATTTTGTTGGAATATCTTCTTGTATACTTCCATTATTTTGTTTCCTGTGGTGAAAGATTTTGTTGGAATATCTTTCTGTACATTTCCATTATTTTTTTTCCTGTAGTGAAAGATTTTGTTGGAATATCTTCTTGTATACTTCCATTATTTTGTTTCCTGTGGTGAAAGATTGGAATATCTTCTTGTATATTTCCATTATTTTGTTTCCTGTGCTGAAAGATTGTATTGATGTGTTTTCTCGTACTTTTCCATTGTATTTTTTCCTGTTGTGAAAGATTTGGTTAATGTGTATGCCTGCTTATGGTAATTTTTCATATTTGCTAAATTTGATGTTGGAATGTTATTTTTTATACTTTCTTTTGTTACAATTTGATGAGCTACATTTGTTTTATAAAACTGTTATATTAAATGATGTTGTCAAGTAACTTAGTTGAATAGTTTTGTTTTTACATACCTCATACTTAAAACCAGAAAATCTTTCACCTGGCATAGCTTTCTTTTGTTTATGTATCAAAAATTGTGGTTTGGGATTGGCTGAATTGGTTGACATAAAAGAAATAGAAAAGTAATATCTGAGTTTAAAGCAATGACAACTAACCAAATTCTTAGTGTGTCATATAAAGTATCATTTTCTTGGCATTTTGTCTACATAACTGTCATCCATAATATTAGCTTGGTTGTCACCCCCACACTACCATGGTTGTCACTCTATACATGAACATGGTTGTCACTCATCACTACCATGGTTGTCACTCCACATAAACATGGTTATCAATTTTTTATGAACATGGTTGTCACTCTATACATGAACATGGTTGTCACTCTTTACATGAACATGGTTGTCACTCTATACATGAACATGGTTGTCACTCTATACATGAACATGGTTGTCACTGTAACATGACCATGGTTGTCACTCTATACATGGTTGTCACTCTATAAATGAACACGGTTGTCACTCTATACATGAACATGGTTGCCACTCCATACATGAACATGGTTGTCACTCATCACTACCATGGTTGTCACTCTATACATGAACATGGTTGACAATGGTTGTCCTGAAGAATATGGTTGCTTCTCGTTAACCTCCCCCTCCCCCTGCTGTTATAAAGAAATCTACCAGAAATGTAACACTGATTAAAAAAACCACGTTGGTACTTGATCTGATTATCTCTCATGCTCTGTGTCAAAGTAGCTCAGATTCAAAACCCAAATAACTTTTGTACTAAACATTTGTTTTGTGCACGTTCGGCTTATCGTTTGCTCCCCGTGACTTTTTGAGTTCTATTTTTGTTACTTCTACTTTCGCTTGTTTCAAATAGAACAAAGCAAATGAGTTTCAATACCAGAAATCTTCACTGTGAAAAGGTTAAAAAAAAAGCTACCAAAGTAAATACTAGCCTTGTGTAAGCGGCTTACGGCGAGCCCGGGCTGCTCATGACCTTGCTGGCACGGGTATCGGTTCTCGCGTGAGCCAAACGATTTGTGTCTTCTGCCTTTTTGCACACGAGATGTCCCATGCCTTCCTCTATACGCCTTGTCAAATAGTAAGCTTATTATATCATGATTAGAAGCCTGTGTAGCACGGTAGGATTAGGCCGGCCAACACGTGATCTTGCTAGCAGCTTTGACTACATTGTGCTGCGTCCCCCGTTTCTGGCTTCAGGTTTTGTCCCGTCACGTTTAGCATTAGACGTGTTTTTTTTTTCAGTGCCAGGGCGTGGCCTAGTAAATTATTTTTAGAATCAATAATATATAAAATTAGATTCCATATATTTGAGGGTCAGTGAGGTGGGCGTGGCCAAGATTTCTAATATTAGCCCATGGGTCCGTTCAGGCTTTTGGACAATATGGTTTTTGAAATATTTGAAATCCAGTTGAAAAATCGAAATGAGGTGGGCGCCCCGTGCACGTGTGAGCACAGTTCGAGGTGGCCGTGGCTGGGCGTGGGGGCTCCAGACACGGGGTGTCGGTTATAAAAGGGACGGTGTAGGTCTGGGGCCACACTGTTTTTTTGCGACGTGTCTCCACACACTGCCCTACCTTGCTGGATGTTCTACACGAGATACACATCATCTCGCGAGATCAGCGTGTTCTAATCTACTTGTAGGAAGTCTTCATGCGATCTTTCAATATGTTTTACACCTTAAGTATTCCAGTATCTTGCACTTTGTAAGTTTTCTGTAAGTATTTTTATAATTTCTAACAAAAGAAAGAACTACTTTTTTAAATACCCATAATTAAATTAAGATGTTCAAAATCAAATAGTAATTTTTTTAAACAGCCTGTATTTGAAGTTTGGACATTTAGAATGAGAAACCTGGCCAAAATAAATAAAAATTGCCAGTTGGAAGTCGAGCCAGCACACACAAGTTCGATTGGTTTGTAAAAGTAATTTCAATGCAATGGTTAAAATATTTAAGCGTTAAATAGCAACTAAAGATATTTATAACAAAATGTGTTAGTAAATAGTTTATTTTTAGCGCAATTTCCATTCTGGAGAATTGCGTTTAATAACTCGTCATTTCTGGGAATGGATGGATGAATGAATGAATGTATGGATGAATGCTTTAAGTCGTATCTCCTCCTCAACGAAGCAATATCGATGACTAGTTCCAAAAGCAATTATGTTAAGCAAGTTACGAGAATGAGCATAGGCCATAAAAATTCCGGGTTTCTTTCATGTATTTCCCGGAAAAGCCAAAAAACCTCGAAACAATTCAGTTTTTGGCCCATATCTCGTCAACCAGACCACTTAGCGACTTGAAACACGTACCAATCGATTCCTGCCATAATTTAGAACAATATTGCCGAAGAAAGTTTTCAAAAATATCCTCTCGTTCGGTCACAAATTTTAAAATTACATAAACACCTACAAACCGATCGTTCTTCTAGCTTGAACGCACCGCAGCATTATACGTCAGAGCTATTTTTAGATAACATAAGGAAATTGCGCATAAATGTCACTAGACTTTTTAAATTAACTTGTTTTAAATATGGTCCAGTGGTATTAAAAAGTTTATACTTAATAATAACATTCACACTTGCTATTGTATCCACAAAAGTTTATGACAACTATAGTTTCTACAAATTTAAATCCTAAAAGCCTTTTACTAAAAGGCATTATCAAAATCCCCCCCCCCCCCCCCCCAAAAAAAAAACAACAACAACACAGACACTTGCCTCTATTTGGATTTATCTTCAAGTATGCTTCTGTAACACCGTGTTTACACTAGCTACATGTATATTATACAGTCATGTCTTGGAGGAAAACTCGCAACCAGATATCGTTAAATGAAAAAATAAATTTCCCACGGAAAAAGTATAGGCTACTTACTTGCTGCGATTTTTTTTTCTGGACATAAGAACAAAGGTACAGAACATCACTAATCTGACAACAGAAGTAGCTCTCCATTGCCACCGATGATTTTTTTTTTGACTAGCTAAGTTTAATGGCACACACATAGAGGTGGACCAAACGAAGCAAAACAAAACCAAAAAAAAATCCCTCATCTCAAGTTATTAATCTTTTTATTTCATTAAGCAATATTTATCTGAAATTAGAAAGTGAATTTTAAAGCTGTGTTTCATTCATTCAAAACTGAGACGGACATTTAGAAAACCTTGTTAGTTACGCTAATGCATAATTTTCAGTAAAGATCAGTTAAACTAAAGAACAGTTAAACTAAAGATCAGTTAAACTAAAGAACAGTTAAACTAAGGAACAGATAAAGTAAAGAACAGTTAAACTAAAGAATAGATCAACGATGTAATGTTTTATATTTAAAGGTGCTGTAATGGTAGAAATGTAAACGACTTGCTGTTTGAAAGAAGATCTGGTCATTATTAAACGGTGTCTGAAAAAACGACTGTTCTGGACGCGTCTGGGCCGTGAGGGGGGTGGGGGTGTCAATTCCATGCTGACGTCCGAATGTTAAATTTAACAACAGTATATTTGTAGATTTGAGTAATAAAAACTTGAATTATCCAGCGTGTAAACAACAGTGCTTTGTATTTTAAAAATATAATTTAATTACCAAAACAACAAGGTAAACTGGTTGGCCTAATTAAGTCAACATTACATACTAATATGTATAAATCAGTACATACACAATACAGCCTACATGTCATTGAATCGGTGTGTTAGAAGTTTTTGTGAGATGGAATCTGTTATTTTTGTGAACGTCCACATCACTGTTAGAGGGGGGGGGGGGGGGGGGGAGGAGGTGGATTCCTTCCAAGTTAAACTGGACGGTAGTAAACCTTTGTCTAGATGTCATAAAATGATGCCCCCCTTTGTATCAAATTGTCCTCATACATTTTCATCAACAGCTCGTTGTTAACTAAACACGTTTTTTTTTTTAATGTTATTTCCCCCACTGAACAGCCAACATCCTGTCTCCGTCTGCCGCACCGAAACACGCGACAACGCGTCAACCTGACGTCATACTATAAGGCTCAATCTGGCCAATCGTCTTAACTCTTCAATCAACCGGCATTTAAACGCTGCAACCGGCATTTAAACGCCGGCTTCACGCAAACAACGACTTGTGCATGTTTTTTTTTTGTTTTTTTGCATAATTTTTTTTCTAACTAGACCTTTAAACCTGTTCAGCCCATCTAAACGTTTTTTTATAAGTTGCTAATTAGACATTAAAACCTGTCCAGTCCAGCTCTAGGTTGCTAATTAGAATTTTGACTTTTCTAAAAAAAAAACATATAGATCTACTCATTCCTAGCGGGCAGGATATTTCAATTTCAATAGTTAGATATTTCTAAGGGCGTCATCCATAGATAATGTGACACATTTAAATCAAGATACACCCCCCCCCCTGCCCCTCGTCACGCATTGTCTCAGATGAACAATGACTTGCTAATCAATCTTTACTCTCTTGTATAAGGACTATAGTTGCAAGTTTCTAATCGTGCAAAAAATCGAAATCGTTTTTACACCTTTCTGAATCGGAAAAACCCAGTTTTGAAATCTTCTCTGTACGTTTGTCTCCTCTCCCCCCCCCCCCCACCCTCTCTCTCTCTGTGTGTATGTGTGATGTGTGTGTTGATACGACATCTTGAGTACAGTTTCAGTTAGGTGAAAAAGGTAATTTCAATTATTAGATCTATCAACTTTTGAGCAATTTCTGATAACCGGATGTGGTACTTAACTCTATGTCCGGTTTATCCAAAACATTCGCTCGCCCCTGTTTTCTCACAAACTTACCTAGACTCTAGACCTATTTTTTTCAGTTTCCCGATTTCACTGTAGTCTTATCTGATCCCTTTCTGTTAAGCCTACATTCCCATACGAGAAAGTATGGGAACTCACTCCCGATTTTATTTGAAAAAATAAAACAGGCATGTTTTTCTTGGCTTTTGTTTGAAAATTTTATCACATGGGCTTCAGAAT